TTATCAAAGTGTTAAAAATCGATGATCAACAAAACAAGGAAGCCGCCATAAAGAAAGTGTAAAGCTTAAATGCACTTGACGTGATCGTAATGTTGTGGAAATGCAGCGTCGTAAAGACTTTTGTATGAACATATTTTTAAATTACATTAGCTTTATGCGTTTTCTTTCACAACTGTACTGTACTTATAGCCTAAACATAGAAACAAGCAAAGAAAGACTGGATCCCTAGCAACACAACTAAAATTAGTCTACCACTAGTAATTGGTCTAGCTCTGGCTCAATTTTTTGCCTAAGCCTAAGCATAAGCCTAAGCCTAAGCCTAAGTCAATACATAAGCCTAAGCTCAAGCTTTGAAAGTAGACCTAGCCCTAATCCTTCGATAACTTTTCAATAGGTTTCAATCAGTAACTTCTACTGAGCCGATTTAAAAAACCAAAAAATGACAGTTACAGTCAGCCTATCAGCCGTTAAAATTTATAGCGAAGACATGGTCAAGGTTATTACAATACAATGATTGTGCATTTTTGGAAGTTCAAAGTTAAGGAATGCATTTTGATTACCTGACTGTCAATCAAGATGGTACAAATTCAATTGTAAACATAGTAGTAAAAAACATTGTTTGAATAAACAGTAGGTAACCTCAAAGTACAGTAAAACTAACGTTTTGCTGAAAAAACTTGAAAAACTATAAAAACATAAGGTTGTAGGTAACGTGATTTTAATACCGTATACTTATTTAATGGTATTCACAAACCAAGACTAATTTTTATCAAATTACAGCCAGTCAATTTCCAAATGTCTTGAGAAACAAAGAAAAAGGTGTAGTAAAAGCGACCAACCGTTTAGAAATAAACCGTACCGTACTAGTTGACGTCACGAACACAAAAAACCCTTTTTTTACTTTACAATTTAATGTTCATTTTTCAACAATCGCGCCACGAATTAACGTTTGATAGCAACCTTGGCTTGCAACTTTTTAAATGTTAGCCTACAAAAAAAACAATGATGTATGATTTATAGCTAGGCCAAAAGAAAACTGAAGCTATAGCCAAAGACATTGCGAAAACAAAAACTAAAGCTTGTTTTTAGAATAGAAACTTAGGTCAACAGTTAGGTTAAGTCTTGTTTTTAGAGTAAAGTGAAGGCTCGGGCTAATGCTTGTTCTTAAGATATGGTTTGTTTTAAAGCTAAGGTTAAGACTTAGGTTAAGACTTGGGCTAAAACTTATTTATAAAACTGAAACTAGAGCTCAGGCTAAGGCTATGACTAATTAGAATTGAGAAATAGGGTCCTCGGGCTAGGGCTCAGATGCTAGGGCTCTGGTAATAAAGCTCTGGGCTAGCGCTCTGAGTTAAGGCTCTAGGCTAGGGTTCTCGGCCGGGGCTCTGTGCTAAGACTCTAAGCTAGGTCTCTGGGCTACGACTCTGGGGTTCTGAGATAGGACTCTATGTTAGGGCTCTAGGCTAGGGCTGTAGGCCGGGGCTAAGGCTCTAAGATAGGGCTCTGGGATAGGTCTCCGTGATAGAGCTCTAGGCTAGGGTTCTGGGTAGGGGCTTTTCTTTGAATTTGACGCAATGCAACAAAAATTATTAGGAAATGAAAAAAACCCATTTTTTAATATGTATTAACTTTGTCTAACATAACAACTCATAAAATCAAATTTTAGACTCTTGACAGATTTTCATAGTTGACCAACAAATCTTACTTTAAGATTTTAAAGTTTTTAAAAAAATTAGCACAGGCTGTTCTTTCTTTGTTTGCTTTTTCAATAAACTTAAAACAACAAACACCGCTAACAATGAAAAAACCCGTGCCTGTGAAATTATGCCTATAACCTATGACGTCGCCAGCTCAGCCCTTTTCACTAAATCCCGGTGAAAAAACATCCGGATTACAAGAGTAATGTAACCGTTATGCTTCGAAAACACTATTGTTTCTTTATGCCCGTATACTTTCATTCACATGTTTACCGGTTGCGAAAGATGTGGTAAATCAAAGTTTGGTTTCCAAAGCACAAAACGTAGTCAAGTGTGTTGGCTGGTAGCGTTTGCAAAAGCTGGTACGGTAGGGTAGATTGATGTGAGAGAAATGTGACTTTGTTTGGGAATTCTCGTTGTGATAAGTTATATTTGGGAAGCTTGATTACTTCTCATCAAATACTACTGTGTCAACGAATTTTTAAAAATCACGTTACAAAAGAAACGTGGTTTAAGACTGACTATAGCATGTAATACACTGTGTATAACTAAAACTCTTCCTATCCCGACCTTGCCTTACATTGCCGTTACCCTGCCTTTGCCCTGCACTGCCTTGCCTTGCCGTTGCCTTGCCGTTGGCTTGCCGTTGCCTTGTCGTTGCCTTGTTTTTGTCCTGACCTTGCCCTGCCTTTGCCCTGCATTTCCTTGCCTTGCCGTTGCCTTGCCGTTGGCTTGCCGTTGCCTTGCTTTTGCCCTGACCTTGCCCTGCCTTTGCCCTGCCTTTGCCCTGCCTTTGCCCTGCCTTTGCCCTGCCTTTGCCCTGCCTTTGCCCTTCTTTTGCCCTGCCTTTGCCCTGCCTTTGCCCTGCCTTTGCCCTGCATTGCCTTGCCTTGCCGTTGCCTTGCCGTTGGCTTGCCGTTGCCTTGCCGTTGCCTTGCTTTTGCCCTGACCTTGCTTTGCCTTTGCCCTGCTTTTGCCCTTCTTTTGCCCTGCCTTTGCCCAGCTTTTGCCCTGCCTTTGCCCTGCCTTTGCCCTTCTTTTGCCCTGCCTTTGCCCTGCCTTTGCCTTTCTTTTGCCCTGCCTTTGCCCTGCCATTGCCCTGCCTTTGCCCTGCATTGCCTTGCCTTGCCGTTGCCTTGCCGTTGGCTTGCCGTTGCCTTGCCGTTGCCTTGCTTTTGCCCTGACCTTGCTTTGCCTTTGCCCTGCTTTTGCCCTTCTTTTGCCCTGCCTTTGCCCAGCTTTTGCCCTGCCTTTGCCCTGCCTTTGCCCTGCATTGCCTTGCCTTGCAGTTGCCTTGCCGTTAGCTTGCCGTTGGCTTGCCGTTGCCTTGCCGTTGCCTTGCTTTTGCCCTGACCTTGCCCGGCCTTTGCCCTCCTTTGCCCTTCCTTTGTCCTCCCGATGCTGCTTTACCTTACACTACCCAATATCGCCCAATTCTATGTTTGTCAACATTTGTCTACTGTAACTGTTTCCTCCGTACCGCCGACGTACCCTACCGTACCTAACCTTACCTTACTCTACCCTACTTTATGACACCCTATTCTACAATCTGAAAAAAACGTAACTGACATTCCAAATCTACAATAACTTATCAATAGACACCTGAACCTTACAATAAAATGAGTCATAACTTTTCTCGAACACAAACATATTGCAGTTGCAAAGTGTAAAACGAACTGACGGCTTTCTCAAAATTTTAAGAAAATTTTGATTTTTAATCTACTTCAAGTTATGTTGTTGCGTTTCATATAAAGACCCTTGTTTGTGCATTCCAAAAACTGTTGCACAATTACAGTGGAACTCCTGTATAACAAAACTCCTATACAACAAACAATTTTTCTATCCCTGGCCACCACTACACAGTGCATTTAAAACTCCTGTATAACGAAACTCCTTAACAACGAACAAATTTCAAGTCCCCGAGCAATTCTTTATACAGGAGTTCCACTGTATATAACCTTAGAGTACCAAAAAACCAAATTTACACTTTTTAAAAAATAAATGAAAAGTGTCCCACCACTTTTTGTCAACTTAATAACTAGCCGATCATTAAAAATACCCAAAAATTTCTTCAAAAATCATCCCAAACCAATCAAAATCAAAAAATTTGATGAAAATGTAGTTCCGCGAATCCAACGTCACAACTCTTGTTTGTGACGCAGACCGATACTAATAACTTTTTTAACTCATAAAGTCAAAATTAACGCCTATTAACATCGTTAATATAATAAATTGGATTTAAAAAAATAGGTAAAATAAACACGAAAACAAAAATAGCGGGTGGAGACACGGATTCAGACGGCCTTTTTTTAGGATTATGATTTATTATTTGATTTATTATTTACTTTAAGACTAAAAGTTCAGTTAAATAACGAACCGACCTGAGCCCTAACCCAGGGTCCTAGCCCAGAGTTAGCCCAAAGTCCTAGTCCAAAGCCCTAGCTCAGAACCCTAGCTCAGAACTCTAGCCCAGTGTCCTAGCCCACAGCAATAGCTCAGAGCCCTGGCCCAGAGCCCTAAGCCAGAGCCCTAGTCCAGAGCTCAGTTCCAGAGCCCTAGCTCAACGTCCTAGCCCAGAGCAATACTCAGAGTCTTATCCCTAACCCAGAGCCACAACCCAAAGCCCAAGTCCAGAGCCCTAGCCCAATTCCCTAACTTTAACATTAGTCTAGTCTTAGTCTAAGCACTTTTCTGACTTTCAATGTCGTATTATCAAAATTCCGTTCAAAATCCCTGCTGTATTTTTCAAACGGCACGAACATGAACTTGGTTGAAGTTGTAAAAAAGTAATTACTAACCGCAAAATGTGATAGAAAGACCAAGTAAAATATATCGGATGTCGACGAAAAGCCCATTTGATGATTGATAAGAATTGTCAACACACGTGGTCAAAATGTGATTAACAATTTGTAACTGTAACGAGATCAGCGTGTACGTTTTTTAAAGGTTATGGCTTCTACAATAATTATTTTTGGAGTGTTTTTAATGAAAAAAACAATTTTTACTGTTCTTTTGTGATCGATATACGTTGTATATATCTACTAGAGAATTGGTATTTTGGGTTGGCGAGAAAGTCCACGTTCTTTGTACGTTTTATACCGCTAAAAAAAGCTTATTTACAATTTATTTACAAAAAAATACACGTAGTGTCAAGTTGAACAATCAATAAGTGAATTTCTAGTAGACAAACATTTCAAAATTTTAAAAATTTCACAGCTAAGACCTAATCAAATATTTAAAAGATAAGATATAAATACTAAACATCAAAAAGAAAATAAAGACGTAAAAGCACCAGAAGCCTCATCAAACAGGATGCTTTCCAATGAAAAACCGTCGATCGTCGCAATCGAATTTCAGGTATTTGTAGCCACGATAAATAAAATAATATGATGTCATTAGTAGTATGTTGCATATCAGTGCACATGTTCCAATTATGAGCAATATTGTGAGATCAATATGAGTTGCGTTGAGTAAGCCGTTTTTGTTGAATTCGTTAAGCTTCTCAATGAATACGACTAAACAGGCTAGTGTGTTTAGAGGGACTATTAGGGCCTGAAAATGTGAGGTTGTATAACAAAATTGTAGTACTATGAGGTATTTTAAGTTGTAGTAAATATATATGCTCCTTGAGTAAGGAAGTTCATACTTTTTCAAAAAGCTCTGCTCAGCCAGCGACCCTTCCTTGAACAGTGCTCCAGGTGCACTGTTCGCGATCATCAACGCTCCAGTCGGCTACAATAGCCGGCGAAGCGAGCTTCACGCTCTGGAAGGATCACCACGACTCGATCATCGCAGAGTCAGGTGGTGTAACCTAGACGTTAGACGAGAGTATGCTTACTACAGAAATGATCCTGTGAAGCATGATCTCGAAGAAACTAATCACTCTCTGCAAGGGGTTAAATCGCGCGTTTGTTTCTTGACTGGGTTCGACTTACGGGCGAGGGAAAAGAGAGCGAAAAAGAAATGGAGAGAACGTGCGAGATCGCGGAGGATCAAGGAACGGAAAAGACAGCGAGAAAAAGGGCGCCCGAATAAGAAGAGCCCGATTTTTTTCTCTCGCTTTTTGTTATTTCTTTGGGGTCTCTTTGTTTTTCGCGTTCTCTTTTCCAAGATACGTTTGATTTTTATTAAAATTTGAATTTAAATATAAAATCAGATTTATTTTTAATTACTTTTTTATAGAAACTATTGAAAAATATGTTGTTTTTATTAATTTTATAAACTTTTACTCAAAAGCAGACGATAACCGCAAGAAATTTAGCAAAATGTAGTAGGTATACCTAAAATAAGGTCCCTAATGGGAGTTTATCTTGTTTTTAAAACTATAGGACAATATAAAACTTTGGAATATTATAAAATAGCTTTTCTATGCTCTTGGGTATGTTATTAACATAAGATTTTGCTTATTCGGGATCACAGTTGAGTTTTATAGCGAAAAAGTTGGTTAAAAACTTAAAATAAGGTAGCAAATCAAGCTTTCTTTCATTTTCTTTAACCTGCAGCGCAATATAGAACTAAAAATTAGTTTAAATTAGCTTCAATATGACTTTAAGAATGCTATTAACTTAAAGTTTTTCTCATTTAGCGTCAACCTTTTGTGTTCAGACTAAACGCGATATTACACTAGACATCAACAAACATTTTGCTTTCAAAGCCCAATTTTTTGGCCAAAACTCAATTAAAATAACCTAAATAAACCTATAAAACAATAAAAATCAAAAAAACTTACATGATAAGATAAATAAGGGTAATAGAATTCAAAATTTTTGGTAACAGTTCCGACCAGAACTAATGCGGTAGTGAACCATGAAAGAAATATTAGCCAATATACCCATGATAAGTGGAATTCAATGTAAAATAAGTAGATCCAGCATGATATTGTAAATATAAATTGGTTTAGGGCGAAGAATACGCAAATTCCCTGAAAATGGCATGGTTAATATATCTTTGAAGTTCGAGAAAAAAATTGTTTTGAAAATTTGAAACTTAAGCTAACATTTGACTAAAAGATAAGGCTAGGTGGGGCATTATATTGCAGGGTAAGGTAAATCAAACTAGGCTAGAGTTAGGCTAGGTAGGGTAAGGCAGGACAAAAGAAATGAAAGTTAGGCTAAAATTATAAGTAAAGAATAGAAAAAAGAAGTTATGCCCCTAGGCGAAAACAACTAGTACCCCAATATTACTCACACTAACTTACATGAATATGAAGACCCCAATCGGGATTCAAATATAGATATTTATCGTCCTGAATTAGGCCATAAGCGCCGGTTCTTTTGCTGGGTTTGCGATGAAGTTCGGGCATGATTTGAGCTTCTTTTTGCATTCCGATGATGTGGATGATCAATAGCTTTGTTTACAAACAAATTAAAAATGTCATCAAGTCGTGATTGAGACTTGTCAGGTCCTAAAAATGTCAAAAATAGAGTAGAGTTCTGGCAAAAATAGAAAAATAGGTTTGTGAGAGCGAGAAACGAATTAAAAGTAAAGAATGTGGTGTACGGGGAATACTGTATGGTTCTTAGAGTTAAAATATCTCTGCTATAGGGTACTACAAGGCTAGAGTAAAATGAGAGTAAGGTCGGGCGAGGCAGGATCAACGCAAGGCAAGACAGAGCAGGCCAAAGCCAGGCTGGGCAGGAGAGGGCAGGATAGGGTAAGGCAAGGTAAAGAAGGGTAGACTAGGGTACGTTATTCACTGTCAGGCAAAAAATGATAGGTAAAATACGTGTGGAAGCATTTCATATACGAAAGGACATAGCAAGTAGTAAGCTAGGAAGTAAATGTCTTACTACCCAAAATTGAACTTGCTTAGGCTTAGTAGGCTTAGCAAGCTTAGACTCACTAGGCTTAGATGCAGTAGACTTAGGCTCAGTAGTCTTAGTCTATCTCAAAAATAATGCTAGAACCCCCTAAACTATGCAGGAACAAAACCTACACAAACACAAAAGTGTTTCCCAGAACATCAAGTTTCCTCAACAACAAAATTGGGTAAAATCGAGTTAAGGTTAAACGGAACGTATTATAAAAACGCGTTAAAAGTGAATGTCTCGAATATTCAAATAACCGTTGAAGAACAGACAAATTTAGTTACATGTTGTTTGTTCGAGGAAAACGAAAAAAAGGAAATGGGAGAATTCTGAATATTGGGCTTAAAGGGGGTTGTTTCCGGCCGAAAATAGAAATTGTAAAAAATACAGTAAAACTTCAGTATAACGGTATAACGCATCGCCTGGGGATTTTAAAATTTAAAATTTGTTGGTTGTTCAGGAGGTTTACAAGTTGTTCGTTATACAAGAGGATACTGTAATTTAAAAAAAATGGCATGAATGTGAGAAAGCGAAATTTTTTTTTTCGAAATTAGATTCAAAAATGTGATCATTCAGCGTGGTTTTTGCTACTCACCTTAGGAATGATAACGTTATTTGTACTGATAATACTGATTTGTCGCAAGTGAAGTCACATTTTTGGTTTTTAAAATGTCTTTTCTGTTTATTAATCTTAGTAAATTTAGGATAAGTATTTATGGTCTTATAGTAGGTTTCAGGGCTGGGGAACCCCTCCCCCCCCCTTTCAAAAAAAAATTTTCGAAAAAAGTTGAACGTGGTCCTCCCTGTGGATTTTCGGAAAAAATTTTCCTCAAAAGCTATTACCTGTGCCGATTTTTTCTTAGTAGGCTTAGGCTTAGTAGGGTTAGGACTAGTAGGCTTAGGACTAGTAAGCTTAGGCTTAGTAGGCTTAGGCTTAGCAGACTTAGGCTAGTGTTTATTTTGTTTCGAAAGATACGATAACTTTTGACGATTTGTTATTATCAGTTAAAATACGGCTATATTAACCCAAAGAAACTTAAAAATTTTAAAAAGTTAAATATAACTCCCAATTAAAATAACTCAAATTAAAATTAACTTGAGTGTCGAAAACCCCAGGCAGTAAACTTAGAAAACAATTGGTAAAACCGCGCACATTACTGCTAAACACAAACGTTCTTCTCTTTTCTCTGATGAGCTGTGATGGAGAGAATAACATGACTAGCCGAAACTTGACCTATAAACTGTTCATGGTCTGTTGATCAGTATCAAATAAAAACACTGTCTTTTGTCATGTGATCATGACACTTGTCCTGGCAGCGGTTTTTTTCGAACTTTTTACGAGATTTTCTGTTTTATTTCGACTGGTCTGGCTTTGGCTGGTCTTATGATTGGGGTAGTAGTAAAATCGATGGCAAGGTAGGGTAAAGGTAGGGTAGGGTAAGGTAGGGTAGAGTAGGGTAAATTAGGTCAATGTAGGGTAGGGAGCGTAGAGTGATTTTGGATATTGTAACCAGGGAATTCATTCATTAGGAGGAAAGTGTTAAATAGAAATGGATCCCCCAGAGCCGAAGCGAAAAATCCTTAGGTACTGTAGGTATTGTACGTGAAATGTTGGGAAAAAATAAAAAAACTTTTTGACCGCCACTCTTTCGCCCCCCCCCCTCCCTCTCTAAAAAACTTAGCGCCGTCCCTGACTGTAAGGTCAAACAAAACAAAATTGAAGCTAACAATGAGGTAGAGGATAACGTAAATTTCAAATTTAAACAATTTTAAAAAAATGTTTAAAACAAGTTGAAACAACCACTCAAAAATTTCAACCGCTACGACTATAACCATATCACAAGCCCAATCCGAAACTTCAATACCCCATTTCAAAAACGTTATGAAAAGACATTTTGGGTAACAGCCAAACAACAACACGTCTACGAAACCTAACCATACAAGACCACTCAAAAGGGTAAAAAACAGTTATTGTTCATAAAACGCTTAAAAATTATTTGCGTCCTTTATTATTTCGAATTCTTTTTTTAAAGGAGCTCCATGGAAATTCAAAACGTCCCGGAAAGAAAATACATTGTTTTGGGGCTGAAACGATGTTGTAATGGGTGTTGTGTCAAAACTCAAAAATTCTTAAAAACTTTTTTTTACTTTTACCTTACTTTACCCTACCCTACCCTACCCTACCCTACCACACCCTACCCTACCCTACCCTACCCTACCCTACCCTACCCTACCCTACCCTACCCTACCCTACCCTACCCTACCCTACCCTACCCTACCCTACCCTACCCTACCCTACCCTACCCTACCCTACCCTACCCTATCCTACCCTACCCTACCCTAACCTACCCTACCCTACCCTACCCTACCCTACCCTACCCTACCCTACCCTACCCTACCCTACTCTACCCTACCCTACCCTATCCTACCCTACCCTACCCTACCATGCCCTACCCTACCTCCCACTACCCTCCCCTCCCCTACCCTACCCGTACCCTACCCTATCTTACCTACCCTACCCTTACCATATTCTACCCTACTTTGATTTATCTTGCCCGACCCTACTCTAACTTATCCTACACTACTCTATCTTACTTTATACTACTTTATATTACCCTAACCTCCACTACCTTGCCATTCCCTATCCTACTCTACCCCACCTTACCCCCACTGTGCTTTACAGTTTACAGTTTGGTTTCAAGATTTAGGCTTATTTAAAAATTTTTGAATAATAATCGAAAAAACTCTGAAAATTTTGGTCACAAAAAACGTGCAAACTGATATCAAGTTCGAAAAAAAGATCAAAGGGAGGGCAAAACGTAAAAAGTAGCAACTTTAAAGATTAAAAATAGCTTCATAAACTAATGGAAAGAAACAAATGATGATTCACTGCCAATCGTAACACTCTTTCGAATTGCACTTACCTTGATATTATTTCATGAGGATGTAAACATGTTTTTTGATTTGTAATTTAAAAAACAATTGAAAAATCTGAAGAATGCGATTTTGTTGGGGAGGATATAAACAAGGTTAGTTTTGCAAGGCTTAGGCTTAGAAAACGTAGGCTTAGAAGTATCAAGCATGAAAGGCTTATGCTTAGAAAGCTCAGCCTTATAAAGGTTGGGTGAGAAGAAATGGGATTAGAAGTTAGATGGTTTGCATTAAGGGGACTTAGGCTTAAAAGTCTTATGCTTAGAATGTGTAGGTTCAAAAAGTTGGATCTGGAAAGACTTATGCATAGAAAGCCTAGTCTTACAATGCTATAAAGTAGGCCAAATAAACAGCAGTCCAGTACATGAAAAAGAAGTAAAATCCCAACACTCGCAGTCATTTGTTGGGTCGTTTTACACCGAGGCAAATATTATAAAATTAAAAAATATTATATAAGAAAAAGTTGCGTAACACCATATCTTGCAATTTCTCTAAAGCTACCTTATTATGTGAATATCTTACGCAAAGTAGCAAAATGTTTTCGGAAAAAATAGGTTTTGCTGGTGTGAAGCAGTACAAAGATAGCGAAAGGTAAGGTAGAGCAGGGTATGAGTTTGCCAAGGCAAGACCACAATAAATGCTACGGTAAGCAAGAAGAGTATCGTAGGGTAGAATAAGTTACGGTAAGATAAGGTACAGTAAAGTAGGATAGAGCAGGTTGGGGTAGAATAAGACTATGGCAAGACATTATAACTGAAGAATCAAGAAAAATTAATATTTACACGCAGTTTTTTAGACGTTGCAATAAAGTTTACTTTAAAAAACCTTTTACGCCATAAGTGGTTTGAACAACAATGAACATAGTTACCATGTATGGTGATTGTCTACGCATAAAACATTACTCTTTGATTTTTAAAAATTTTTCTTCATTGTTTACCTTTATTTGTTAATTTCGTTATGTAGTAGAATGTTTTAAATCTCCGGGGTGATTGGAGCATACTGTACTATAACTTACACATCTTTAAAGAATTTTTGACCTTTTTATTAAGCCTAATCATTCAAAGCCTAAAAATTATATTATAGTACAAAGCAAAAAATTGATTTAGGTCGTACACGCATTGCCCATAGTACCACTCCTAGCACCGTTTTTTAACCTCTCATCAATAGAACCAGTGAGCCGCAGTCTCATAGCAAACTTGAAAGTCTTCCAAACATTATCGCCTGCAGCCACTGTCATTGCAAACACTACCACCATGATTTGTGCCAGTGACTGTAGGACATGATAGTAATGATTATTATCATCTCTGCTTTGAAGGTCATCTTGTGCTGTATCATTTTTTGGCCACAGAAGTTTGTGGACTAGCTGGGCTGATAACAAAGAAGCTGCTGATACTACCACTATCAGGGTTATTACCTAAAAACGTAAGAAACCTTACTCTACTCTGCCCTATTTTGCTATGCCTTGCGCTGCCGTGATTTATCCTCCCCTACAAAAAATTGAAAAAAAAACTTACATGATACACCAAAAACGGTGTAAACAGTATGAATTTCCTTCTGTAATAACCATATAATGCTAGTAATGTTGTTTGAATCGATAATATTAAGCCAATTTCTAAGAATGTTTTATCGACCGGTAAAGATGCTTGTTCTTTTGTCCAGAAAACAAATGCAAAGCATAAGCCACATTGAATTGACAGCAGGAATGGAATATCTCGCTAAAATTTTTATTTTGTAAAATACGGTTACATAATCTATGCCAGCCCACGTTACTTACACTAATTTACTTTAATCTACCCAACCTTACCTTACCCTACTCTATCTTACCTTGCCTTACTTTACCCTACCCTACCCTACCCTACCCTACCTACTTAATCGGCCTTACTCTACCTTAAAATACCTTTAAGAATCTCAAAAATTCCAAAAAGAAAACTCACGTGGTTCTTATCAGTAGACATTGCGCAAAAATAAAAATAAAATTGGGGAAAGACAGCTGGTTGTTTCTAATAGACAGCAACAACCTTTTTTTTACAGTTTAAACATGACAACATGATAGAAAGACAAGTAAATGGAACATAAAACATTGAAAAGCTTTTTTGGAGGATTAAAACTGTACAAAGTCAATCAAAAAATAGCATTGCCGACGTGTTTAAAAAAGTCTTGTCACTTTTTACTGTGGAAATCAATGCAACTTGGCAACAAGACTTTTTTTTAAAGAGCAAAAATAAAAATTTTACAAAAAATTACAAAGCGAGTTTAAATTAGACCTAATAGTCAAATAGGCATGATCTCGACCCGGTCCGGGCCGAAGTAACTATGAAAAAGGCCGGGCCGACGAACAGGTCCCAAAGCCGGAAGCCAAACCAAGGCCCGGCTATTTACAGTTCTAGTTTAAAATGTCTTTTGACACCAACATTAATAACTTTAATCATGATTTTTTTTCAACTTTAAAGCTTAAAAAAATTAAAAAATAATTTATTTATTCACCAGTTCGAAATGACATAATTTACCGTACATCACACTAAAAATCAAAGTTCATAAATTACCGTACATCAAATTAAAAATCGTCAAAAAGACCTAATTATAATATCTATAAAATTAAATATCACAATAAATATCAAGGTTGATAGAATACCGCAAAGTGACAGAACTAAACCAAGGTATCTGAGCAAGAATAATCGATATCGATTTGAAAATCATGTACATATGTTAAATGGAGTAGTTTTTTTATAATACATACACAAACATAAATTTGTTTTATCTTAAAAAAGGTCGAAAATGTCTTGTCGTCAAGTCTTATGTCTTTTAACGCTGAAAAACGACAAGACTTTTACGTAACTTTTAAAAATGAAAAAGCTAGCTTATGATAAACGAAGAATCCACTAATAAATATAAATATTCAATTTACCGACTCTTTGTACTATAATATCAAATATTATGCATTTAGATGGGTAACATAGATGAAGAAGAAGCCTGACGCTTCATTGTGCCCGTGCAAATCGAAGTAATGAATCGAAGGCCTCGCTCACCGCCAGGAATATAAGTGAGGACATACCAAATCAAGGCTAGACCTTGAAAACTGGCCGATACAATCGTGAACAATGTGCTTTGGAGCTGAAATTTTAGGTTTGATATTACAGTAAGATAAAAATTTCTAAAAATTTATAATTTTCGCAATTTTTAAAGCTTGAGGTAAGTGGTAGGGTAGAAATTGAGGTAAGGGTAGAAGCAGAGTTATGAGTAACGGCCCCACGCCCAATGCTATAAACTATACGACAAGCGTGAGAGCGTTAAAGACAAAGTTAAATTAAAGTTCAAAAAATGATGTAGTAAATCGTATACCTGTATTACTACATCATTACAAAAACTGTAATCAAACCTTGTCCTCAAAACTCCCACCCTTGTCGGCTAGACTTCTCACATTATTTTTATTGTTTATTTTTTGAAAAGTATGACAACTTTTTCTATGACGGTTTGTTTACTCGTCTATGAAACTGATAATAATCAATCACACCTCAATTACACTTGTGAACTTTTGAAAAGAATTTTTTTGTCATCTTTATAAGTCAAAGAACAGTTAAATTGCCAATAGATTTAGATGGAAATTCACTAGGCCCGGCCCGACCCCAAGCCGAAACAAATTTGCAAAGAGCCGGACCGAATAGTGAAAGCCCGAAGAACGGGCCGCAAAATTGATCCCGTCCAGGCCGCTTAATAAGTCCAATTGCTTTTTTGCCAGTTGTTAACTAGGCTTATACCGTCATGTCAATGAGTAATAGATTAGCTAATAGATTTTAACCAGAAAGTCAAAACCCAGATAATAGGTTTAGATCACAAGGCGACATTATAGTTAATAAATTATAACATTGGTCTCCAATATTGAAAGGTCAAGTCTCGGCTCGAAAGATTAATGAATTGTTTGATAATGACCAAGAACTTGGCAACTTCCTTGATTCTCAAATAGCCTTAAGACTCAGATAAACAAGAGGTCTAATTGATTTCAAAAAGAAATCAAAGTAAAATCACATAAAAATAATTCTATACCTCTATAAAAACTCCTTACTACGTCAATCTACAAATTATAATTTGATTTAGGTCTATCAATTTTGAATAAAACAGTCCACAGAGTTCACGTCACATTTTTTGTTCTGTCATGTGGCAAGACATGTTAAACACAATCATTTACCATCATTTTACACCCCCACACGAAATAGTTTGGTTTGATTTTTAAAATCCATAAATTTAAAGTTGAGCACATTGCCATTGGGGAACTTCAGTTCAAAGCCATTCAAATCACTCTATTAAACGGCATATGTCAAGATGGGTTGTTTTATTAGTCTAGTCGAGTAGATTTAACCATGGTTAACATAATCTTCAGTTATAGTTGTGTTAGGGCTAAGACTAGTAGTCAGGGCCGGGCGGGGACTTTTGGTCTGGGGGCAGGGGTCCAAAAAATCCACAGGGAGGACCACGTTCAAATTTTTTGGAAAATTTTTTTTCTGTACCCCCCCCCCGTCCCCCCCCCCTCGCGCCCGGCCCTGCTAGTAGTTTAAGTCAAGACTAATGCAACGCTTAATCTAGAAAGGCTCATAGCTTAGACTAAAACAAATTAAGCTAAATTTACGCCTAATTCTCAAGCTTCAGCCAGAACTAAGCCTATGGCCTTAGGCTAGAACTAAAACTGAGGCTTAGGCTAGGAATACTACTAGGTTGAGCGTTTTCTACAATGCCAAGAATTTTACCTATCTTCCCCTATGTAATAGTTCCGTCCATTTTTTTGGCAATTTTAACTCCACTTCCTGGTAGTTGCTCTTTCCGCTCCTTTGTATATAATATACTCCGTAATTTAATTAAGGTCTAGTCCTTCAAAATCTCAACCCAATTGCAAGGTGATACACTATGTGCTATCAGAGTTCATAAGCTATGAGCAATCAGGCTTCACAAGCTATAGACAATCATCCTTCATAAAATGTGAGTAATCTGACCCTGATTAAAGCCACTCGATTTATGTTTATTATTTATTTGCACATCTCGTGTATGTTGAATGAGGGAGAAAATTGAATTTCTTGAGTCGTTTTTTCGCTAATTTTTATTTATTTAATTATGCTATTCAATTATGCCACGATGCGCAGCTGATTTCATTGTGCAACCCGAGCCGTTCGCTTTTTGTTTTGTTGCACTGGCCATAGATGTTTTTTGAATTGTGTATATCGTTTTTTTAATTGAGTCTACAGGGTTTATTTGTTTATGTACAGTATGTTTTTTGTCTGTTTTATTACTGTATTATCTTGAAAATTATTTTTTTAGTTTTTTTATTTCAGCTTTAAGTTTGTAAGGTAAATTCGTAAGGTTTGTAAGACAGCCTTACAAAATTTCTAGGCCTTACAAACCTTTTGCCAAAGTTAATATATTGATTAAATATTCCAATTCATATTCAAAAGCGTTTTTATCATTTCCGTTCGAAAATATGTTATGCATTCAATTTTTATTATGCCAACAAAGTTTGTATTGTCATACCCACACGTGTCTACCGTCATTCTGCATATGTTTACGGAAAAATTGGCTATCATCATCCAAACCTCATAAATAATTTTGGCTAATAGCTCCGGAAGTAACCTGATTTACATTTTAGAAAACAAGAGTTTTTTACAGTACCCATTTTGTACTATCTCAAAGAATAAGATAATACAAATTGCGTATTGTAAAAAACATTAATATGTAAAAACCATTTTTCAAATTACCAAGTCAAAGTTTTCAAAAATGTTTGCCAAAACAACATAATCAGCCATTTGTCGTTGCCATTATGACTCAAAACAACCTTTATTGCCTTGTAGAGTTATTACCTTTGTTAACGTTAAATGTGTCTGTAGCTGCAAAAATCGTAGCAAAAAATTTTTTATTAATAAACAACGATAGCCACAGACTCCTTATCAATAAAAACGGTAGCGACAGACTTTTTATTAAGAAAGCAGCTCAATCATATTGTAACATTTTTGATGAGTTGGACTTCCGCCAATTGGCCGTAAATTGGCCTAATGCTTTCTATAGTGTATTATATCAAAATTTTTTTCGAGCGTAGTAATAGTCTTCAAGAGCCCTATTAAATTTTCATTATGTCGTATCCGAATGTCAAAGCATTCGTATCGAATTGCACTTTTATTTCCACCACCACAATTTTATGAGCTTTTCACGTAAACAGCTTATGGCCGCTTGATTTACGCAAAGAACTGGCTTATGGCCATTTGATTTACGCAAAGAACAATCCTTCGGCAGTTTGATCTACGCCACGAACTAGCTTTTGGCCGTTTGAATTGCAAAGAGAACAAGTTTATGGCCAATTGATTTACGAATAACGGGCTCCATGTCCACCACCCCCAATTGCACCCTCACTTTTGAATTTCCGTTTGCAATGCCGGACTGATGGTCAGCCGGAAATTAAGACGAAAAAAGTGGACGTTTTCAAAAAGATTGATTACAGATGCCAAAGTTTTCAAATTGAAAACATAAAAAGAAAAGTTTTTAACATGCAAAAATTTTGCTGTAGATCAGCTGTCCAAGTCCATATAAAAAACTAAGATTTCGAAAACTAACCTTGATATAAAATGATTTGTGGAAGTACTTTAGACAAATAGAACGCTTTTAGACTGCGATTGAAATTAATGAGTCTAGAATGAAACCACTAGTCTTGAAAATAATTTGTCAATTCCGCTGTGCCAATAATAACAAGCCTAATAAAAATGCACTTTTCAGCGTTATTTTAATAGCTTTTTAATGATCGCAAAGTAAAAAAAACTTTTTTAAACCTTTCAATTAAAAAATTTGAATTGACCGCAGGCAAAAACACTTGTAGTACTAGATAAAAAAATCCACAAAAACTCTTCACATTCCTGTCTAAACTACAACTCTTACTGTTACCACACCTCCTCATAAACTAAAATAGGATCGGATTCACTGCTCAACCAAACATCATGAGGAAGTGTGCTCAACCCTTTACGTCATCGTACCTTTGATCACACGTTATATCTGTTTTAGTGTTAAAATTTGTTTAACGAACCTTTTGTTCGCGTTTCGCGCGGTGTTAAATTACCGAGTGTTCAGTTGAAAAATGTTAAGGTTAAGACCTCTAACGTGAAATGGTTTAGAAATAACTTCAAAACAATTTGAACAAGATGGTCGATTAAGTGGTTGTGGTTGTTTTATGGCCAATTGTTTGGTAAAAGTCAAACAAATTTCACTTCCAAAAACACTATCAGTACGGCTTCTTCATAACAAAAAAAAATTGTGCTACATAATTACTATTCCTTGTAGCTCCAAAATCGAAGGACTAATTCCGCGGTAGCTACAACTTTCCTACTGACCTCATCACATCATAACAAGCCCCTAACGTAAGTTACAAACATTTCCTTCTTGTTTATTTTTGTTTTTCGACCCGGCTACTCATTATCCTTCCCTCCGGTAAAAACAAAGCCGTTTTGACATTCATAAGGCTACAATTTTGGCCGACATTCTAGAGATTCGTGTGTTACGTAGTCATTGTGATTGAAATGTAGATCCCGCCCAAAATTCGAGTCTTGGTTTTTGTAGAGTATCGGTTACAGTGTGTTTGGGAGTTTCTTTTTGTGAGTCAAGGGTTAGTTAGTTAAACGTTGTGTAGTGGGTATTGTGGTTGATTAAAACTGACAAATCTGTGATTATTTTGTAGAACTTTTTCATTATATTCATATTCTTGACTTTGATTATTCAAAAGTATAATTGCCATTAAGTGTCGTCTTAAAAAACGGAAGTTCTTGCCATTTTAGGAACACTTTAAAGCTGTCTCAGCTGTTTTTTAGTCAAGTGTTTGTCTTGAGACAACAAAATTTCCTACATAAGGCATTTTAAAAGCCACATCATTTGAGTTAGACTAAACCCATATCCTTGTATCGTTTTACAACAAATTTTCCCCTATTTTCTTACAAACATTATCACACCCTTATATCGTCTTACATTATGCTTCAATTTGTCTATCTCATCTTACAACATATAATCTTTCTGAACATGTTTTTTTCATCGGTTGACCTACCAAACAAAGTAATGTTTTTTTAATTCTAAACTCAAAAACTACGTTTGCCATCCAGAATCAGCCATTTTACTGTATTTAATGTTACACTTTACACACAATTTTCTGCTTCCTTGTACCCTGGTTTAATTCTCGCTGTGTCAACATCTTTATTGCAGACGTGACCTCATATATTAACCAATATTGAATCCAATTTCGGCTTTGAAGCACTTCGTTCTGATTAAGAATATTGAGACATGTTCTCGTATAAATATAAATTGGGTTTCGCACGTGATTCGGCTCTCAAAAGTTTTCGGAATGTTGCAAGTTACAGTAATTTTTGTTTTTAAAAATTTTTTTCAATTAGCTTTTTTCATTTTGAGGAAAGTCTCTTAACTTTTTCAATTCTAAAATACGTATAGTATGTTCATATTTACAGTATTTAGTTCAGTATGTTCAAAAGTTTATTTTTTCAAATTTATCTTACTTCCTTTGCCCCAAGACTACCAAGTTCAAAAGCAAAGGGAAAGTAGGCTCATTGACAAACATTAAGGTCTAGAGGAATAGAGTTCGGAAACGATCCGGAAACGAATAGATTGCAAAATTACATCGACGGCAAACTGTTTCAACTTTGACCAGAAACCAAGCCTAACCTAGAAACCAAGCCCAATCATATAGCCTAGCTAAGTTTACAAAATTACCGTAACATTCAGCCAAAAAAGAGAGCCGTTTTGTTACAATATCCTATACTTTCAGTATCTTACAGTACCAATTGCTAATCATTTTATACAAAGTTGAGTGTAAACAATGCTTGTTGCTTTCTTGCATGTATGTATACTTTCACATATATTGTCATAAAAACGTCATTTTACCCGTCTACAAATTTTTACTGCCAGATTTCTAATTAAAAACGCGGTTCTTTGATGTTAGCCACATTTACAGAGCAAAGAAACAAAATAATTAGACAAGCTCAAATTAAATCTCATAGAAGATGCTAAGAAAAAGCGTCACAATGTAATGTATGTTCATTTTTGTACATCACAGTAGATACACTACAAAATTTTTCGATTACTTAATGACTTCTCAAACATTCATTTCTAGTACTTTTATACTGTTCTATAACCTTTGTTATTACACTCATTATCGTATATTTTAAAACATTCTAATCCCCGGTATTCATGCTACCATATTCCATAACTTTTCGCCTTCTATTGAGATATATAGAAGCACAATAGACCTTGCTAATATTTAAAAACCTTTACATTATAAAAGCAAACTGTTTTACCGTCTAACTGCATTTTTGATTCTAAAAAAATTAATAAAACAGGTTCTGATGTTATGCATAATAAAACTAAGCGCACTCTATTTGATACAGGTCCATTAGACAATGCCCGTTACTAGATTAATGGAGCGTTTTTTCGAATGAATTACCGCCCCGGTTGCAGAGGAAATGATGCCAAATAATGTTGTATAAACAACATTCATTTGATTTTTGATAGTAATCATTGTTATCAAAATTCTGGATTTTTAAAATTTTTTTATCACTTGAAAAGCAAGCCTTAATTATCAGTTTAACAACTATCTCAATATTGATAAAAACAAACTTTAAAATTAGGCAGAACTAAACTATTTATAAATTTCTTAAGCCTAAAATAGGAAATGAGCCAAAAGTGAACGCTACGGAAATTAAATATTTATCAAACTTTTTAAAGTCATCGCTAAATCTACACGCCAATTAGGCATTCCTCGTCCATTTTAAAACAGACGATCGCATGGCTTTTGATGAATCTGCTCAACTTTTTCATGAAACATTGAATTTTAAATTCGTCCCACCCACGGCCAAACAATGATAGCATGCCCTTCTTTTTCGGCCATCTATCATTGAAACGTTAAAGGTGAATAGATAGACACCATAATTATGCGCAGTAAAAATATAAAGTTTAAGCGTTTGAATGAAAGATCATAATTTACTGTACTCTGCTTTATGAACTCATGACTTTTTTTATAAATACATATACGGTAAAATCTTTTCAACTTCTACTTTGAGTCACAACCAGACCTATAAAGGTCCTTCCAAATCGTCGGCTAGGCCCCTTTCAAAGCTGGACCTAGTGGGCCGAAACAAAGCAATTTTGAAAAGGGCCACGCCGAGGCCGAGCCTAGTGAACCCTCTTTCTAGTCTACTCAGAACTCCTATTCAAAAACTTTCCAAAGCGTCGACTATCCAGTTGTCAACAAACTCTGATCATCCAAAATTAGCTTTCTTCCACAATTCTCACTAATACCTCCAAACTAATACACATACCGTGTATGCCTAATACCCTCATACAAAGACTTTTCACACCTAAACAGGCTGTTACCAAAACTAGTGCAAATTACGCGTATTCATCCAGTTCGGACATCCTGTTTCTCACCTATTTCCTCGTTGTTTCATAGACCAGATGAGCGAAGCAAAAGTATTAAAGTAGACTTTTAAAAACAAATTATACATATAAGTAGGGCTTCTTATTCGATAATTAGGTATCAATGCACAAAATTTGACATTAATTGCTTGTTTTGTTAGTATTTTTAAATCCGTGATTTGTTTAATCTTAAACAAACTTTTATATAATAGTACCTTTAAACTTATCTTTGTCCCAAACTGGCTAAAATTATCATTTTTTATTATCAAATCAAATTTTTCAGATTGACAACACATTGTACGCTCAATCAACCTTTATTCACTTTAAACATCATTTTTGATACAAAAACTACTTCACTTCGCAAGTAGTTCAACAACTCTTAACCACTATAGTTATTATAACCCTACTAAAACGTGTTACACTCAAGTAACAAGTACAGTAGCAAGTTATTAATAATAAACTATATCGCACTCCGCATTCAAAAGTATCTTTTTCCTTCTTCAATAGGAAAAAGATAGTTCAAGCGAGCAGACAAACGACAAGACACTAGACGCCGTTGAAGAGACCGCCGAGGGCCACGCCCATTTGGCCCCAAAACAAAACAAAAAAGGAGGAGAAAAAGCGGCCAAGGGATGAAAATGCGCCTGAAACGCCATTTCCACTCCAATCACGACAAACGCGACTCGCCGAGCATGTCGACGCGCAAATTGTCGTTGTTCAATCGCTGGAAGAATCAGGCGTTGAACGAGACCGAACTCGATGGAATCAGCGAGGAAGAGATGGTCGAATACAAAGAGGCTTTCAGGTTATTTGATAAGGTTTGTTTTTGTGGAACTTTTGGAATTTTTTATTCAGAGCTTTGATTTTTTCAATTTGGTTTTGGTTTACATTTTTTCGATTGAATTCACTGTTTTTAAATTTTTGTTTGTATAAAACATACCTACTGCTTAGATACATCCGTCGCGTGTATAAATTGTCTTTTTAGTTTCTAATCAAACCAAAAATTTAAATTTCTTTGACCTCAAGTATTTTTTATTTTTCCATTAAGCATATTTTCAATTGTTTTATTTGTATGAAACCATTAGGCCATTTATTTGTCCGGTTCAACTTCGGATTGTTTTTGATCAGCCCATTTAAAAGTCGTTATGTCATTTAACAAGGCTATTAATTTTGACGAATGCTTACATAATAAAAATAGAGCCAGCGGCACAAATTTACAACTAAACAAACAAATCCTGAGCAAAACGGGGCCTTCTTAACCTATAATGACCACAAGCTGACGTTAAATTTTAGAAATTCACAATCTTATTATCAGGAAAATATTTTGCTCTAAAACCTTTTGTATATAATACCATAACAGTTCCATTCTCAACTTTTATGACATTACAATAGTTTTAAATTAATCATATTTTACAACTTTAAAATATTAAAACTTTATCCATTTGTTATTGTCTTTACAATTTTGATGTTTAATGTAGTGGAGAAAATTTAAAACTTCCTGCGAGTTAAGAACTCAAAGCGATGTATTGTCTGGCTCCCTTAAGGGTTATGACTACACGCCGTTTCGGTGTGATAACTCAGGGCCTACTCAACTTTTTTTGATGTTGTTTTTCACAAATTCTTAGTTCGGTACGTGAGGAGTGTGGTGGTAGAAGAGAGGTCAACGGAAAGATTGAAATGTCACTCAAAATTCGTCACATTTTCGAGACATACAATTAGATTAAAATACTGTGTTTGTGCATTAAAAATTTGCTGCGTTCTTTTTGAAACAAATTTGATAAAATTCGTTTTTTTAATATTCTAAGCCATCCAGATCAAGACAAAGCTTTAGAAACATCAAAATTTCTAATTTGATCAAATGATGAAAAAAAATTAGCCCTTTCTAATTTTATCAAGCCATGAATTTTGAATCAATTTAAAAAATCGAATCACATGCCAGACGACCCTTGGTAGTCCGGGAATTCCTCAGGGCCACTGTTCGAAATCTCGAAGATCAAGGGCAATTTCTAGTTGACTTTTCATTCGAACACCTGATTGTTCAAAAACAAAATCTCTCTCATTGTTTTCCCACCTGTCGTTAAACATCCCAAACACTAGTCCAATTAAACATAACTTCTTTTTTATGATTCTCTTATTGAATTACAATTTGCACACAAAACGAATTAGATTCCGATACCTTAGCACACAAAATGAATTAGAATCCGATACCTTTGCACACGTTAACATAAGTCAATTTTACGTTAACATACTTAAGCTTCTAATTTAGTTTGTAAGCAAAAAAAGATACCATAACCTAGATGACAAGCAGGTTTATACATGAATTCCTTGATGTATAAAAACTTCTTAAGTACTAGCATTCCACTCACTCCTATCAGTACAAAAATGCACTTTAAATTCGACTAAATTAGTAAGCCTATTAATCAAGCTGTCTTTGAACCTAACGTTGATACTTTTATTATAAGCATTTCTCACATGTGATCCGCTAATTTTTTTGGCCTAAAAGATCGAACGTGACTGTTCGATTGGTCAAGCTCGCTTCAAAAACTGACATTCCATCTCTCGCTAATTGACATACCATAATGTGGAAAAAGTTGTTTTGCAAAAAAGTTGGCAGGTCAGATTGAGGAGGCATATTTCACTATTTTTAATATTGGCAGAGAACAGGCATTTTAAACTTTCAACTTTGATAACTCAACAAAGTCATTGAGAGATTATTTTTCATGAAAGTATTTAAAAATTACTTTAAAGTGCTTTAGGACATATGTTAAACAATAAATGACATTGTTAAACAAGTCATAAAATCTTTCAAAATGACTTGACCCGCTTTTAAGCCGACCCGCTTCCGGTAGACTGTGCATAAAGAAAAGGATGTGATGTCTTTCCTTTGTTTAGCACTTTTTGAAAACAAGACATCAACGTCATTTATATGCAAAAACGAGAAAAGTTGTAATCGTGTTTTGCTTACACGGTATTATAAAAACCGCGTTTTTATGTGTAAACACGTGTTTATGGGTCTTATTGGTACTTTACTGACGTCTTACATCCACAAAATACAGTGTTATATCCGGAAAATACAGTTTTACACCACCCACGAAACTTTTCGTTAGTTTCTTTTTAAAAATTTGCATTTGCCGTTACGTTTACTACATTTTTTTAATCGCAGCTTTTTTTGGTATCTTAAAGTGCAAAAACATCTTTTGATTTATTTAAAGATGTAAAATTGTTCTTTTCCGCAAACCGCTCGCTATTTTCAGAATGTGTCAAAATATTGCGTCGACATTTTTGGGTAAACGTTCCCCGTTGTTTTTTTTTGAGTAAAAGTTCCCCATTTTGAGTAAAAGTTCCCCTTTTTCCAGTAAAAGTTCCCCTTTTGCGGGTAAACGCTCGATCTAAGTTTTAATCGTCTGTTTTGACAAGTTCACAACTTCCTGGTAGTGGGGGAAGTTTGTGTAGTACCAGTCGGGCTAGTCGACTTCATTGCAACGTCCTCAAATCGCATCATTTTTGCGGACAAAGCGTTTTCCTTTTCTGTTACATTACATTCATTCATTTCCTGTTCAAGGCATGACGGGAAATTCCCGCGAGAATGAAATGAAGAAGTGGAATTGATTTGCGTTCCCGGAATTCACCCGAGTTTTAATGTTACATTGTTTTAGACCCCAAATGTTTTAGAAATACTGTAGGTGAGCTCAAAATTTTAATCATCAAACTGAACAAAGTGTTTTACCATGAAAGCGCAACAAGTGCAGCATGATATTGTGAACCTTTCACAACCGATTATGTTATGAATCTAGAGTTCACATTACGCATTGAAATTTTTTGTTTTGATTATGAAAATTTTCTTTGGGTAAGAAAGTTTAGTTTATACTTAAAAGTACATTAAGACAGATGCTTGGTTGGGAGTAAACAGTAAACTCGGAAACACTGATGCCAGAATATCAAAAAGAGGTTTGAAGACGAAAAACAAACATCTAAACTCACCATTAGTATTCTAAATCAGAATTTTTTAAAAAACGTCAGTGTGTCTAATCAGAATTTTAGCAAACATTATTTATGATCAAAATTCTATAGCAAATGTAAATGTTCCTAATCAGAATTTGATAGCCCTGTATTCAAGATAATTAACAACCAGCTGGTTTAAGGTTTCAAACACTTGTACTTTCTTCACATGTTCTTGTAAACTATTCTTCAAATTTATATTCTACTCAGCGTTGTTTATTCTACGAAACTTTTTAAGCATTCCATTCTCGAAAAGCCAATTTAAAATCCCGGCAATTTAAAAATCATATCGGTGCGGCTCCTTTCAACACACTTATACTCTTATTTTGTGGGTGGAAAACAATGAAACCGAGAACTTGTTCATAAAAACAACAAAAGATTTGGACCTGAATTTTCCCGGCTCTATGTGATACGTAAAACACGACGTGCTGCTTTTCATTTGTATCTAGACGGCGGTGTTGAAAGTGTTTGTTTGGGAGTACAATTTATGCATCGTATGCTAATTTGCCGGCCTTTTGATTTAAAAGCATACTCAAAAATACACGTTTACCGGTAATGTTTGGAGAATCTATAATTGGATGTAAAACGTAGTACTTTACAAAATGTAGTATGAGGATCTATGATTGAAAGTGGAAACGCAAAAGAGCAACGTTAAAGTATTTACTAGAGTGCCTTCAAAATGTACGTGATAAACTTCAAAAAGTGATGTTATAGAGCCAACTTTTTTCAAGCCTAGTACAATACAAAGCCTACCTAAAAACACCAAAACCTAATTTGCAAACTGACCAAACACCATGTCTAGTTTGTGAAACTTGAAACCTGTAACAAAATTCTTCAAAGTGTAAACCAGTAACCAAATTGAATGAGTAACCAAGTTTGCTTAAAACAATAACGATATTCAATTTTCAGGATGGTAATGGATCCATTTCCTCGAAAGAATTGGGGGTGGCAATGCGCGCACTCGGCCAAAACCCCACCGAACAAGAGCTGTTGGACATGGTAAACGAGGTTGACATTGACGGGTCCGGAACGATAGACTTTAACGAATTTTGTCAGATGATGAAACGAATGAACAAGGTAATAATATTAGCAAGGCCAAGAAATTTTTGTCATAATGATAATAATATGATCAAATATGTTCTGATAGCTACACTATTCTAACTGACTAACGTCTTTTACAAAATTATTTTGAAGAATGCGTTTTAAAATTAAGTTAGAAGATAGTTCAATTAAGAAAGCATGATTAACTACTGCTATATATAGGTTTTCTTTTTGTTTCTTGAGGTTTATGACCAAAAATAGTAGGTTATTTGAGAAAAATAATTAGGTTTTGTGAAGAAAAATCTTGATATGCCAAAATGAAAACTATTAGCACAAAAAGAAATAACACCTAAATAATTTATGTTTTGCCCTATAAACAGCCAGATATCAGTCTTTGACCCCCTTGACCAATCGACAAACTTTTTATCCAAGAGATAAGTCAATTTGAAAATTATAGGAAAACGATAGCGAAATGATCCGTGAAGCCTTTCGGGTGTTCGACCGAGACGGCAATGGTTACATTACTGCTGACGAATTCCGATATTTCATGACGCATATGGGTGAACAGTTTAGTGACAAAGAAGTGGATGAAATTATCCAAGAGGTCGATATTGATGGTGACGGTCAAGTAAGTTTTTGCCATTTTTTCAAGTAGTTTTAAGTTTAAGGCCAGTTTTAAGCTAGTTTTTGCGATTTATGAAACAAAATGTATCTTGCAATTGAAGTTTAACCGTAAAACATACAAAAAGAATTTTAAAGCGTAGGTGAACACAAGCCGTTAATTGTAGTTAACTATGCTTCATTTAAAATGATGTCAAGTCATTAAATTTCTTTTGCATATTACACCCCTCACGTTAAGTTGTAGCCATTTGAACAATTTTCACACCCACCACAATTTAATTATTACGATTTTAAACTCGTTAGTGTCGTAGCCAATTTTTAACCAATTACATCAAGCACCCAGTCTCTTGACACCTAATATCAATAGAATTTTTTATGATGTGTAACGCTGTAACTGTTGTCTCATACTACATGTGATAGAAAAATTTAGCCATACTAATATAAAAAGCCTTTATTTATTAAAGAACACTCCACACTCATTATCAAGGGAGCTTTTAACGCACAGACTACAGAATATCATAACAGGAGGATTAACCTACACTTTATGCGTAGTTTGTTATGAGTTCGAAAACAATTTTGGGGCCTACGCTTTGCTATTTTTGAGACACTTAAGCGTCGTTTTTTAATTAAGCGTTCTTAATTTGGTGCCAAAAAAACAAGTCCAAGTTCCGTTCGTCAAATGCTAATCTGGTTTTAGTGGTAGCACGTTGAGCTTAATTCGAATAGTTTAGCTGACACAGATACATAAACTTTTGTAAAATTTTTAGTGTAAAATACGGCCATTTGCTGAATATCTTGTAAAAATCAAGCCTTTGACTGAAAATTCAGCCTTTAAAGCCATTTTTAATAAAGAAAATCCAGCCATCTTGTACAATTTATAGATAAATAAAGCTTTTTTGCCACATCTTTATACACAAAAGTTCAAAATAAGTCCTGAAATTTTATGGCTACAACTCAAACACCACCGTGTCTGAAAACTTACACAAAATCCTTTGCCTTCTACTATAATAAGCTTCTTTCGCATCATACCAACCACTGATTACAGTTCAATTTGTATCTTTTGTGACAGCGAAGAAAACACTCGAAAAGCGCCTTTTAGCAACGCGTTTTACTGTATGGTTTCTTATAAGATTCTTATAACTTTGAGTTCTGTTCTTACGCTTAAGGTACTTAGCTTGTTTTCCTATCTTTACTGTATGTCGCAACTAATCTTGTGGTTTGAGGTTACTGTTACAGTTATAAGAAAAGACAAAAATGTGTTAACCAAAGACAACAACTTTTGACAAAATTCAAATGATTTTAATCAAAATGTCACGAGTAACGCTTACTATAACAAAACTCATAAACAATCTACACAATTTTTTCGTTTGATGCTTTTTACAACTTTTCCTTCGAGATTACATTACTCAGACAAAGCAAAATAACCCCACACGCTGGGATTATTTTCTACCATGAGCGTAGTAAACACCATGTCTATAAAAACACATTCGTCTTTGCCGTGCGTTCGAAAATTGTGAACGTTCTTGAGCCTTGTAAAAAAATTTTCTTTTTAATTTTTAAGTTGTTTATTTTAAGTAATTCAAATAATTCTGTGCCCCAAACGCTAAAAATTTGTTTTGAAAAAGATAACAGAATTAATTGAACAAACTAAGATTTTCAAAATTAATAAAAACTAATTTAACAAGACATAAGCACGTTTTTTCAAGATTTAAGAACGTTTACGCGAAATCCGACGTAGATTAAGGTTTCTTTCTGTGGTCGATTATAAATCGTAATTATAGGTAATCAAAATTATTATAATCCGACCATGTCATGCAATATTCTAATCTGCCACTTATTTGTGAAAGAAAAAAAAGTAGAATTCTCAAGAACCTTCGAAATGTCAAACAATATTAATGACTTTAGTAAACTTTTAGTGTTTTCTACAGCATAAATTTTTTCAGCCCATCACAAAAAAATTTTCCGAAACAACATATCAATATAGGCATTAGCGCATGAGCTTGTTTTTGACCTTTGGTCTGTGTTTTTGCACCATCCGTTAACTTAAGGCTTTGCAAACGTTTCTTTACAGTTTTCTGGATCTTTAAACTTCCAAAAGTTAGGAATGACAAATTTAAAAAAAGCGTCGAAATTTGAGTTTTCACGATTTTTCAAAAATTTCAAGTTGCATCTCTGACAAATTTGTTTTACCAACTTTCCGGAAGTATAAAGATGAAAACACTTCCAGAAAGTTTGTGAAACATTGTAAAAACCCTATGATAAACTGTGAGAGTTCAAAAACTGTTCAAAAGACAATCTCTTGGGTCCTATTATAGCGCGCTGCAAACTACTATTCAACAATCTTCATGTCAAAAATGGATAAACGAGCTTGTAACGTTGTGTTACAGTTACTTTTGTTTTTTTTTGCTTGGGAATAGTGTTGAGGCTTGTAAATAGCAGTGTTGGTCTTTGAGTCCCTTGAGGGTGATTAGGGAAGTGCAAGGCTACACGGATTTCTAAAATCTCAACGTTTTTGAGCTTTACGTCAGTTTTTGACACATAGGGTTTGAGGATACAAAAAAAAACGTTGAAACAGGTTTTGAAATTTAAAAACTAATTCAATAAACAATAAATTAAAATTTTCAAGATCACACAAAACAGCTTCTAACCTTAATATTTTTAGATCGATTACGAAGAATTCGTCCGGATGATGGCTAGCTAATCAATGAAAACATTAATAATGGCCAGTCAACCAACAACAAAACCACTACTGGGCTAGCCAACATTCAAAAACCACACCAATGACCACCAAATCAAGAATAACGTAACCACTTCAAAAAACCCAACCAAATCACCAAATGCCTTACAAAAATTGTCACACAGTCGATTCGCCTTAATATGAAACGCAACCACATGAACATATACCTTTTTTCGACCGACAAACCTTGTACAAATCACTTGTTTCAACCAGTAATATTCTTTGTTCGGGTGTTTTGAGTTATTGGAATACTGATATCTTTCTTGAGATTCTTTTAACGATCTTTCTCGTACTTTACAATTTTTTTCATAGTGTAATTGGATAGAGTATTAGTACCGTACTATACCTTCTATATTATTTAAATTTTTTGTTCTTTTGACAGAGTTTGTCATATTGTTAACAATATTCCAATAATTGTCATCAAAATTCGCTTATTTCTATATACTATTAAAGACAGTTCAATAAACTTGTTAGATTCCTCTATACACCGTGTAACATAAAAATAAATTTTAAAATTTAAATTGTTAGCCCCATACTGTATTGTAATCATAAACCCATGTGTATTTTGTCAGTATGTTTAATATGACTAGATATGTGTAAAGTTACCAAATAAAGTGTCTTAACTATGATCAATGGGCCATATATTAGAGTAAAAGACATTTTTTAATACTTTCAATTCAATTTCCCTATCCTAAGCTTTAAAACTTAAGCAAAAACGTTTTGTCAGCTTCAAAATTTGGGAAAAAACCTAAACTCCGAAATTTGCATAAGTTCAAAAACTGTAAACCTACCCATAATGATGTGTATAAGGTAAGGACAACCGAGCTGAAGTAAGCTGCTGTGACATATCGTCTCTGTGGAGTGAATAGAAACTGTACATACGGAATTGGACCCCATAAGAATCCGAAACTAAAAATTTTCGTAATAAACCGAACCAATTACAATACATGTTGCTGTTACCAAAGTTTTGTCGCCGAATCACAAAAAATTTCGAGTTAAAGAACGGCAAAACTTTTGTAAGACCCTACTAGCTCCTAAAACATTTAAAAAATAAACCCCCACCACTGCCTCATCATGAAAAAGACGAAACATCAATACTCACCTTATAATAAAGAACACAGACCCAAGAGTGTTCAATGAAGCAAACTTTCTCGTATTTACAATCAACATCGGCAACAATAATATAGCCTAAAAAAATATAAACTTAATCTTCCAACCCTCAAAAACAAACTTTTCTTTACAAAAACATTATAGTTAAGTCTAAGAATGGTAAAAACCCAAAAACAAGAATTCAAAACAGATAAAAACATCAAAAACTTTTGATGAGTCTACCTTAACATCAAGCAAAACTCTATTCCAATCAAAATTTCTAAATTCATGGCCATACCACCAATACTTACCGTGCCGAAACAAAAAGCAGCTCCAATTATGCACATGAAGAAGAATGCAATCCTCTGTAGCCGTGATAGTCCACAACACTGTGTTTCATCGCTTCCAAAGCCAAACCAACCTCCTAGACGGCTAAAAATTTGAGTATTAGATAAAAAAAAGATATCCAAAATCTTTAAAATCAAGAAACTATGTGTTGTAACATCTAATTGTGTTCCTTAACACCAAAGACACACTTCTAAATCTAACATAACATCCAAAAAAATCGCCATTAACACCTTTCTCCAACCTAAAATTCAAAAAAATAACAAAAAAAACCTTACCGATTTCGACTTTGAGGCATAGAGCCGCTAGTACTCGGTGTATCAGTCAAAGCTTCCGTGTCTCCATCAACATCCGTTCTCAAATAGCCTTTGAACGCATTAGCAACGTTAGAGCCCAGATTAGCAACATTGAATGTTCGTGTAGAAGTTGAAGTACCAGTCTTGGAACGATATTCATTCACAAAATCCGAAAGAGCCGACATTTTTGTTTATGAACCTAAAATAATGACAAAATACTAAAGTTTTAATAAATTTATTTAAGACATCGTTGCTCAAACGTTTGAAAACTAAAATACAAACTTTACAACAACAATTTAAAACAAAAATGAATAAAAACAGAAGCAATACACCCATATTATTACAAAAAACATCAAAAACATGTTTTCCCAAACCTTCCAGCTCAAATAAAACAAATATAAACGTGCAAACATACCAAAAAACTAAATGAAAGTAGTCTAAAACAATTTATCCAACAAACTAAAAGCTTTTTTGCTCAAGAATCCTTGATTTTAATTGTGATATCCACGAAGAGCTTCAAAAAGCTGTTTTTCCAAAATATTTTTTGCGAATTTTACGAAAAATACGAAGTGTCACAAATTGAAGCGATTAGAACGAAATGCCACGGGATTTATTGGATTCTGGTTTTTCATGTTTTTAGTAGTTTTTTTCATTTAAATGCGTTAAGAAAAGTAAATTTTTGACCTGACAGAACTTCTTCGCATATGTTAAAGTATTTTAAGGTAAAAACGTAAGTCAAGTACAATATTAACCGTTTATAACAAAAAAAAAACAAAATTAAAACATGTTATATTGCAAAAAGTATGAAAACTGAGAAAATACAAAAAAAATTAGTGAAAAGTACAAACTTATACATATACACTACAAACTACAAAAAAAACAATCAAACTCAACAAAATTACAAAATATATCAAAGAAAAATTTAAAAAAAAACAAAAAAAATTTAAAAAAAAGGTACAGTGGAACTTCTGTATGACAAATCGCTCGAGGATTACAAATTTGCTCGTAGTGCATTTAAAGCTCCCCTATAACGCAACTCTTTTATAACAAACAAATAAATCTTAAATCCCCGAGCGATTCGTTATACAGGAGTTCCACTGCATACTCAACATTAAAATGACAAAAAATAACAAAAATCATCAACCGATCATAACAACCTAATCAAATAAACCTTAACCAACACTAGCGAGACTATAATGCCTCCCTATTCATGTAGCACAAATTGTCCAGATTACTTCTGATGACAACAACAACACATCTTGTAGTATTGTATGATACGACTCTTGGTGTAATGAATAATCTCCAAGTTGTTCATAGATCTCAAGTTGCGACGAGTTGGAAGACGGACGTTCTGTTTTGGTTCAACAAGTTCGAGGAAGAGTTTTCGGCCGCGGACAATGTAGAGCACATTCAGGGCAATGTTCTGAAATGATTCACTTATTTTAGCATTAGAAATGGAAAGAAATTTCTTTACAAAAAATAAAATGGCAAGAACTTTCTTTACAAAACAAAATATGGCAAAAACTTTCTTTACAAAAAATAAAATGGCAAGAACTTTCTTTACAAAACAAAATATGGCAAAAACTTTCTTTAAAAACCAATTTTTAGAAAACTTATCAAGATATAAACCCTTACATTAGCTTTGTCCACAAACTTTTCGCTAAACCAAAACTCAAATTTCACTCCTTTGGCCACTTTTGGTCGATTCAAAAAGTTTTGTCGCATAAAATCCAATGTCAATCCAACTTCTGGCCATCTGTCAACGCTTGGAATCCACATATTTCCAATGATTTCAAATTTACGTTCGGCCGAATTTGTCACTACAAATTTGGTCAATTGTTTTGCGTCTTTCATTGATTGTATCAAAGATAATATCGAGTCTAGGCGGCAATCCTGATCTGTCATTGGCCATGAAACTTGAAGGTAGGTTACGAATGGGTTGGAGGTTTCGTGGATTCTGAAAAAAATATGAATTTAGGTATGAAAACAACAAAAAAGGCAGTAACTTCCTTTACAAAAGAAAAAATGCCAAGAACTTTCTTTACAAATCAAAAAACGGCAAGAACTTGCTTTCCAACCCTCTTTTTTCAAACTTAAGTATTTTCTTACCTAAAAAGCTTCGTATCTCCGAAATCCATCCTTTTGTAGTTCAAATACATCTCTTTTGTGTTAACCAACATCAAGTTCTTCTCGTTGTCATCATTAGTCATTTCGCATGTCATTTTATTCAATTCCAAGCTTCTGGCGAACTCTTCCGTGAGTTGATGTGAATATAACGTAAGCTTTTTCAAAGTTTTGGTCGAACTCTCCATAAACGGCTCTTTTGTCACATCTGGTACACCTATTGTCAACTCGGCTTCGGTTAAAGCTAAAAAATTGAAAAATTAAAATTTTAGGTAACCAAAAGTGAAAATATAACTAAGTTCTCTCTCTCCTTTGCTTAAGATCCTTACCTCCCAAAAAGTTGTTCAAATTCGGCGGCAGACTTTTGAAAATCTTCGGATTCTTCTTACTGACCAAATATTGTGTAGCTTCTGCATGTGTAGCCAAACATATGACAACACTCTTGGCTTTGAGCTGATCATCAAGGATTTTCAAAGCTGTGAGATCGTTCCAACAATATATTGAAAAGATATGCTTCAATGGACCTTCACCAAAGCAAATCAAACGTTCGAACACTAAAACAATGTAATTTTAGGTAATAAAACTAAAAATAGCCTAAAAAATAAAGAAAAACATCTTCACGTTCTAAAAAACCTAAAAATTGCTTAAAATTTCATCAAAACTCCTAAGCAATCATTAAAAGCAATATTACACTTGACTTACCGCAATCATTTGCCAATTTTTGATCTGCCGCATCAATGGTCCTTGAAAGCTCTTCAATTCCTAACTCAATTTCAGGCTGAGATACTCCTTTATCATCTAAAAACAAAAATTTAATTCATAAGTTACGATTTCACATCAAAAAATATTAAGTTAGATGAACAACACCACTTACTGCAGAGTTGAAGATGAACAGGCAAACTGTTGAAGTAAGATGTAACCATTTTGAACCATTCTAAGCTGATTGACTAAAATAAATTTTTAAAAACAGTTTTAGACCAAGATTTTATCAAGAATTGACAAAAAAACTGCCGTTATTACCTAAAACCCTTTAAATCCACCTAAAACAATATAAAAGCCAAAAAATAGAAACTCACGATCAATCTCAATATTTTAATTTCATCACATCCTGTCGCAAATGTAATTTTACCATTCTTGCCCTTCAAAACATAGTCGCTAATGGCCGGTCGCGGTTTCTGTAGGTAATAACAAATGAAATACTCTGTCGCTTTCTCCGTCGACAACTGTTTCTTCCTTCCTTCAGTCTTGCATATCCTCATACAAGGACAGATTATGGAGAATACGTTTCCCATGATTACATACAGTCAATTTTACAATGTCAAAGGCGAAGAATGGTGGTTGTTTTAGGTAACAACTCGGGTGATATACCTGAAAATCATAGATTTATTTAAATATTTGAAAAAAAAAACAAATTGCGTTAAAAAAGAGAAGCCTAATCGAGAAAGCCTAACAGTAAATAACATTTATAAAAATAGTTGAAAGAATCCGCATTCCACAATTTAAATCCTACAAAAATATTTTTATTTTTGTTTCCTTCGTATAACCATTCTTCGCAGCCTGCAACTGCTTCTTTTCGAATTCGGACGCACTTTGCTCAAACAAAATAAATATTATTTTTGCCTTATCGGCTTTATAAAGCATTCTTTCGTATTCTACCTTGATACAGTTTGAAATTAGTATTTTTTGTTATTAAAAGCCTTGTATATTAACTTTCTTTTGTTATTTTAAAGGTATTTTGTCGTTTTAGGTAAAATGTCGGAAGAACAGCCAGCGAACAATAATGCAGAAGCTAGTACTTCAACAGATTTACCAGAGGATAACTTGCTTTATGTTATGGACGGAACGAGCTTGAAGGAAAAGCTGAGAGAAACTATAAGCCAATTGGAAGCCGGAATCAAAAAGGTATGGGGATTTGGTTGCTTTTATTTTGTTTTAGGTATCTCAAACTTTAAAAATTACTTGAAGGCTGATAAAAAATTGTTCTAGAGTTTAAAAGCCATCTTCCAACCCGATGTACCTCAAGATGATCGACCTAAGATCTTCAACGAAGGAAATGAGGCGTATATCGTGTCAAGAATAAGGTTAGAACGTCAGTTGGATTTTGTGGCACCACATCAAGAACGAGAAGCTGATAAACGGTTGCTTAAGGCTCATATTGACGATAGAGATCTGACAATTTCAATTTTTTCGAAAAAATTGGAGAAAATCGAGAATGTGCTGCTGGAAACTGGTCTACAGGTATGAAATTTGCCTTTTTGTTAATTTTTAGGAAAGTAGACGTTGCTGCAGACATCTTATGTAGATTTAAAAATGGTCTAATGAGCTGGTTTCTTATAGAAATGAAGTAATAATGATTTATATTATGTTACACTAAATCAATTATTCAAAAATTTAAAAAATTAATCATTTCAGGTAAACAAACGTTTAAATATAGCGGAAACGGCTCGTAATAACTTGGTAGATATGAATTCCGTGATCAGAGCGTCATTTTTCATGTCCAGAGGTTATTCTGTGAGTGCGCCATTCAATTGGAATCAAGGAGATCCATCAAGACCGTTCCCAACTGAAGCCGACTTTGCATCTTCACAGCTTATGCAAGCTCAACAACTGAAGCAAAAGGTGTGGTAATTGGAACATTGTGATCATGCTGACGCTGTTTTTGGAAAAACAGCTTGTTTAGGGCTTTGAGTTGATTTTTGGGACAAAAAAGTCATTTTTGAGGTGTTTATTAATGGAAAAAGACATTTTTGATGTGTTTTGGTTGATATCACTGCACTTTTAATGAATTTTCATTTAATTTCACACACTTTCAATGCTTTTGTTATATAAAATCACATTCCTCACTTAAAATTGACTTTTTCTAAAAGGCACTTGACAAACAGGTCTGACAAACCTTGTTTTAGGCTACTCCATCTGTTCTAAACCTAATCAGAGGTTCAGATTCGAATCAATCCACCCCCAGAGCTAACTCTGCGGCGTCTACTCCAACGTTCCCCCAACCGCCTTCTGTCGGATCTTCTGGGTCATCGTTAGGTGGAAATCGAATAACACTGCCCTCAACATCAGGCGTAAATACACCACCTTTGGGCCATAGATACGATATGAATATGTGACATAATGGTTTATACTGTAATAAATTATTGTTTATTTAGTTTTGGGCAACAATTTTAAGGTTTTCTGGGTAATATAGGCGAAAGCTGGCATATTTTTAGTTTATAAAGAAAGTTCTTGCCATATTTTATTTTGTAAAGAAAGTTTTTGCCATTTTTCTTTTTGTAAAGAAAGTTCTTTCCATTTCTAACCTTGTAAAGAAAGTAATGGCTATTTTTTGCTCTGTAAACAAATTTCTTTCGTCTTTTAACAATCCTTGTAACTCAACGATTGTAATTCATTGATCTTTCAGGAAAACAATAACAATTTAATCGCCGAGAGGCATAAATATTTGCCAATTTTGATAAGAATTCATTGAAACAATAATGTCCAGCGGTTTTTGTGTTTTGTGACTTTATATGGGACGTTTTGTACTATTAATACCTACTATAATATACCGGTTTGTACTGTTTACATCTACTATAATGTGTCTTTGTTTCTAAAAACAAAGAAAATAGGTATGATAATATAAGACTGAACCTAAAAATAACTAAATCTTTCCTTTGCAATGTTATTATCGGCACAGAAAGGTGTAGAAAAGTCTTGTCGTTCATTTGCACTGGCTTTTACCTAAAAAAACGACAAAACTTATTTACCGGTTTTAATAGTCCAAAAAATATTATGATAGCTAATCTACTATAATATAGTATGATTATAGATTACTATATTCTTTGTTCTTTCAAAAATTCAAAAAATTTTGTTCAAAAAGCATAGTATTCATGGTCGACCGTGATTGTTTACCTCCGCGACCGTGCTTATCAGCGAGGGGGCGGCGAAATGGCCGGAACCTGCGGCGTTTATTGATTGTGGCTTGACGCAAACGGCTTTTTATTGCCCAGATAGTAATGCTTTTAAACTTTTAAAAACGTGATTACCATCTGAACATGTTCTATATAAGAGGAACGTGTGAGGGTTAAATTATCAAAGTTTCATTCGTTTTCTGGTTGATAAGTTTAAAGAGCCTTTAGATCTGAAAATTGATTCTTTGAGCCTTAAAATTTAGTTTGGACTACTTTTTTTTAAAATGAAGTTTTGAAAGTGTTTGGAATGCCCTAGTTCTAGCCCAGAATCCTAACCCAAAGCCCTAGCCCAGAGCCCTAGCCCAGAATCTTAGCCTAGAGCCCTAGCCCAGAGCCCTAGTCCAGAGCCCTTTCCCAGAGCCCTAGCCCAAAGCCCTAGCTCAGAGCCCTAGCCCAGAGCTCTAGCCCAGAGCCCTAGCCCAGAGCTCTAATTTAGAGCCCTATATAGCCCAAAACACTAGCCCAAAGTTCTAGTCTAGAGTCCTCGCCTTTCCTTTTGCCCAAGCTCTAACCTTAGTCCTAGACATTATCTCTAGCTCTAGTCCTAATCCTAATTCTACGCTTTAATTTCGTCTTAAACTTCATCCTGACTTACCTCTACTCTATTAGTAAATAGTCTTATATTTTCTTTACTTTACTGTAATCTTGTTCTAGAGTACCCTTTCTCTACCATGTGTTTTCTCGTCTTCTTATTCTATTTTAAAGAACTCGTTATTATCTACGTTTACTATTTTTTACAAGATTTTAAAGATTTTAATCAATATCTTCATTTTAATTTCAGAATCCAAAAATGAAATTCCTAATCCTAGCTTTTGCTATCATGGCTTGCACCCAAGCAGCTTTGGTCAGTCCTCGTAAAGAAAATCCATTCAAAGTTGTAATGGAACAAAAGGGAGACGTTAGAGGTCTGTCACTCCAAGATAGAGAAAAGGTTTGCAATGGATGTGTTGGCTTCTTCACTAAGGTCCAAAAGTACATCGAAGAGGTTGGTGAACTGTCCAAGGAACATCTGACCAAAGCTTTCAAGGTAAAATACGAGCTCATAACTGCCTTCTAAAATAAAAAAAAATTTTTTTTTCCAAATTAAAAAATTGCAAGAACTTTCTTTAGAAAACCAAAAATGGCAAGGACTTTCTTTACAAAACCAAAAATGGCAAGAACTTTCTTTACAAAACAAAAAATGGCAATAATTTTCTTTACAAAGCAAAAAATGGCAAGAACTTTCTTTACACACGTTTAAAATGACATTTTTACGATTAAAATTTTTAGAAAGTCTGTGACAACCTGCCAGAAGACCTTCCAGGACACCATGAAATTTGTGACATTTGGTCGCCAAAGATTATTGACTACGTTTACGAACACTACAAGGGTTTGGCTGACAATATTAAGCCACAGGAAACTTGTGAGCTTCTATTCTTGTGTCAACGCCACACCACTCTGGCTCCTACCACGATTACCGTGCCTCCAGAGACCATTGAACCATAATTTATTTAAATAAATTATTTATGACTTAAATTGTAAGCAATATAAAGAGAGTATGGTAGGGCAGGGTAGGCTGATGCTAGGGCAAGAGCTATATAAGGCTATGGCTCAATTTTTTTGGACCAGGGCTTTGAGTTAGGGCTTTGAGCTAAAGCTCTCGGCTAGGACTCTGGGTTAGGAATCTGGGCTAGGGCTCTGGGCTAGGACTCTGGGCTAGGGCTCTGGGCTAGGGCTTTTAGCTAGGGCTTTGGACTAGGGCACTGGGATAGAGCTCTAAACTAGGGCTCTGGGCAAGAACTTTGGGCTAGGGCTTTGGGTTAAGGCCAGAAATAAATAAAAATTCTGAAAATTAAAAAATTTTATTGCGCCATTTATTCACAACTTAACAATGTGTAAACATAAGCTTTCTTAGAAGTATCTTTGGGTACTACGATCTCAAATTCAAGGCAAATCTTTGTATTTTTTAAAGATTGTAGATGTCCAAGAACTTCAACTTTATACATTGTATATAAGTCCAGAACATCTTTCTGCGCTGATAGTACTGATGCCATTACGTAATCTTCATCTGTTACTTGACTATACCGTTTCATTCCTACTTGGGCTGCTTTCTAAAAAGATATGGCATTCAGGGCGACTTAGCCTTAACCTCTATTTTAGCTCCAACTTCAACCTCAAGCTCTCCCTCATCCTCAGGCTAACACCCATCCAACACTAGTCTAACTTTGGCTTAATCTAAAATAAAGCTTAAATTTTTTTACACAACACAAGTAACTACTTACAATAACCTCCTCATCGTCAATATCAACTTTCTCATAACGATAAGCATAAATAATACTGAGAATACAGAAAATAATAGTAACGTGCTTTAAAATCATTTTTCAGCCAACAAAACAAACTATATTTATAAAATATATGTGTGAAATATGCGAAGCGGTGTTAGTTTTTCTATCTAATTATCATTTCCCTAAAATCAGTTTGAAAAGAAACCAAATAAGAGTTGCTTAAATGTCTAACTGCACCTTCATATCTTTATGTACAATTGAGAATTGTGATTTGTTTGGAGTAAAATGTCAGAAAAAATCAATTTTACATAAATTTACTATTATCATTAGTATTATTATTAATATCAAAAAAAAATTTTTTTTTATATTAATTTATTGTAACCACTAAATAAAAATTTTTGTTAAATGATCAAGCCTTTTTAAAAAGCTGGCAATCATGTTCCGGTACAATTCCTTGATCAACTCCGGCACTAATGATTTCATAAATTATTTGGCTGGCGCCGGGACCAAGGTTCTTGCAGACTAGTTCGTGTCCTGGTATCTTTTTTACGATTTCGTTGTTGCAGAATTTCTAAAAAATGGTGATGATAGAAATAGGCTTAAGACCGCAAGTTTGAAGAAGGAGAGGACAGCTCAATTTTGGCTTTATTTAAGCTAAAACTTTGACTTAGGGTTAAGCTTAGGCTTAAGCTCAGGTTTAGGTTTAGGTTTAAGTTAAGTTAAGTTAAGTTAAGTTAAGTTAAGTTTAGATTTAGGTTTAGGCTTAGACTGACCCTCAGGTTTAGGTTGAACTTTAAGTTCAGGCTTAGGCTTAGGCACAGGTTTACACTTAGGCTTAGGTTTAGACTTAGGCTGAGGCTTAGGCTTAGGGTTGGTTTAGGCTTAGGGTTAACCTTAGGCTTAGGCTTAAGCTTAGGTGCAGCTTTAGGCTTAGGCTTAGGCTTAGGCTTAGGCTTAAACTTAGGCTTACACTTAGGCTTAGGTTTAGACTTAGGCTGAGGCTTAGGCTTAGGGTTGGCTTAGGCTTAGGGTTAACCTTAGGCTTAGGCTCAGGCCGAAGCTTAAGCTTAGGTGTAGTTTTAGGCTTAGGCTTAGGCTTAAGCTTAGGTTCAGGCTTAGGCTCAGGTCGAGACTTAAGCTTAGGCGTAGGTTTAGGTTTAGGCTGAGTTTTGACGGTGTAAGCTTAGACGAAAAATTAGATTCAAACAAGTTTCGAAATAGTTTCCTCTTAATGGCATTACTCAGTTCTGAAAGTACTTACCTTAAAAATTACGTCAAAATCTTTCTTTGTTATTTCGGCTTCACCACTAAGAACATCGCGCAAAATTTCAAACGTTGTTTTGCACACGAAACAAGCGAAAGAACCCCGATTGGGCGGGTTTTTTAGCTGAGTTTCCCTTAACTGAACCGCTTTTCCAATCTTCTTGTCTAATTCGTGATTGTCTACAAGAGCATTGACAGCTACATGCAAGAGCATAGAGAACAGTAAAACCTTCATTGTAAGTGGAGACAAATTGTGATGAAAATGTAGGATTTGGCGGGCTTAAATAGTATTTTTTCTTCCTGGTTTGAATTCCGTAGACTCAAATTTTAAAATTAAAAAATTTAAATTTTTATTTGTTCTAATTTAAAATTAGTTTTTGGCGTTAACCTTTAGTCTAAGCTTGATATTTTGGTTTCACCCAATTAAATTAATTTGATTGAATTAGAATTTTAATTATTTTAACATTGCAAATCTTATTGCCGTTTTAAAATATTATTACATTTTAATTTTTTTTCATTGACATCATGTAATATTTGACGACATTCATTACTACCTGAATTTTTAAGGGCTTCATGGTTGGCTTTGGGTTTGATACTTCTGTGGAACTGGGGCGGTGCTAGATTTTATAAAAAGGCGCAACCGGTGCTGGAGCCGAAGCCAGAGTTGAAACTAGAGTTGAAGCCGGATATATAGCCAGAGCTAGAGCTAGAGCTAGAGCTAGAGCTAGAGCTAAGCTAGAGCTATAGCCAGCGCTAGAGCCGGAACTAGAGCCGGAGCCTAGAAAAGTTTGAAGCGGACGTTTTAAATTTAGGAACTTTGCTTGTAACCTTGTCTTTATTTATGCGTAACTTGATTTACAGTGGTTATTATTATAGTTTTACACTATTTTACAACAAAAAATATAAATAATCTTATAAAATACGGTAAAATGTTTCAAAATTTTGATTTAGTTGCACTTTCAATAGCTTTTTGAGACTTGGTGGCTCTCCTAACAATCCTAGTTACACAAGGCCGTTTGGTATTAGGTTCAGTAGGCGAAGGCTTAAAAGGGCAAAGTAAGATCAATTTACAGTCGTGTTCTGGATCAATTTTTTTGTCAACTTCTGTTATGTAGTGGTAGACAAGGTCAATCATTGCTGGACCTAGTTTGTCGCAAAACTCTTTTCGGCCTGGCATGTGCTTAGGTATTAGGAAGCAAGTTATCTGAAATATGATAAATGTAAAAGTTTGTAAAGAAAGTGTTTACGATAGGATAAGGTGACGTTAGAGCTAAGATTGGGTAGTATAGAGTGCAAAAAGCAGGGCAGGTTGGCAGGATATGGCAAGGTCGGAAAGTAGAATGGGATACGTAAGGTTAGACTATGAAAGGATAAGACAAAGTAAAGCAAGGTAGGCAGGACTGAATAAAGTAAAATAAGGTAAGATAGGATACAGTAGGGTAGGGTAGGGAAGGGTAGGGTAGGGTAGGGTAGGGTAGGGTAGGGTAGGGTAGGGTAGGGTAGGGTAGGGTAGGGTAGGGTAGGGTAGGGTAGGGTAGAGTAGGGTAGGGTAGCGTAGGGTAGGGTAGGGTAGGGTAGGGTAGGGTAGGGTAGGGTAGGGTAGGGTAGGGTATCACTTACTTCTAATGATTTTGAAAAGATTTCTTTGCTGATATTATTCGAAGCTCCAATGACATCTTTGGTTATTTGAAACCCTAATTTGCAAATGTCACAAATTGGATTAAACTTATTTTTTGAAAGTTCTTCAAAATCTATATTTCCAATAGCACGGTCAATTTTGCCATATAATCTTTGATCGTCTACAGTAAGATTTTCAGGAATGACAGAGTAAAGTAGAGGCACAAATAGAACAAAAATTAGTAGAACTTTCATTTTCCACAAACTTTGATAACAATATTAATTTCCTGATGATTAAATATTAAGTGTTCTGATAAATTATGAAATGGTTTAACGCACGTTTTTTTTAAGCCATTAAAAAATTTTAAAAATATTTGAAATTCTCAAAATTTTAAAGACGAAGTGCAAAATTTATGTCACATTATGACTTTTATAGAAAGTTCTTGCCATTTTTTGTTTTGTAAAGAAAGTTCTTTCCATTTTTTGTTTTGTAGAGAAAGTTCTAGCCATTTTTTGTTTTGTAAAGAAATTTCTTGCCATTTTTTGTTTTGTAAAGAAAGTTCTTGTTATTTGTGGCTTTGTAAAGAAAGTTCTTGCCATTTTTTGTGTTGTAAAGAAAGTTCTTGCCATTTTTTGTTTCTTAAAAAGTTCTTGCCGTTTTGTGTTTTGTAAATAAAGTTCTTGTCATTTCTTGTTTTGTAAAAAAAGTTTTTGCCATTTTTAAATATAAACTATCATTTTTTTAAAACCTTTAACATTAGAAGTTTCTAAAAGCCTATAAAACTAAAAATCACCAAAATTTGAATGCAAGTCCAATTAAATTACAAAAAAAAATTAAAATTTTTAATTTTGGGAATCTCACATCAATAACATCGTACATGTATTTAAACACATCATAGCTTACATTACACATCATAAATTGTAATTGTTTACAATGAATGTTCTACCGTTCCTTTTACTCTTTGGTGTAGTTATCTACGCTCAACTGAAGCCTGAAGAGGTAGAGGAGAAGATTAAGAAAGAGCTTGAAGAAAAAAAGCCGGATGGAGCAATAGGACCCGTTGGCAAAGTTGTTTGTAAAGCCTGCACAGTGATTTTGAGTGTTGTGCGTGATGTCATTGGTGGTGGCAACAATGTGACAAGAGATGGGCTGGAAACTGCTTTGGGGGTAAAAGCTTTTATTTGATTTTTGTTTGGCTAATGAGGGAGGTAGTATAAGTATATATATATAGTTGTAAGGTACCCTAGCAGTCAGACCAAGCCAAGCCGCGCAATGTAAAAAGCGAAACGGGCTGCGCTTGGCTGAAAAAGTAGCCCGGCTCAATAAACACGGCTAGGGAGAGGGGGTAAAGCTAGAGCTAGGGCTCTGGGGCTAGGGCTCAGAACTAGGGCTCTGGAATAGAACTCTAAGTTAAGGCTCTGGACTAAGCTTCTGGGCTAGAGCTACGGCTATGGCTATGGCTATGGCTATGGCTATGGCTATGGCTATGGCTATGGCTATGGCTATGGCTATGGCTATGGCTATGGCTATGGCTATGGCTATGGCTATGGCTATGGCTATGGCTATGGCTATGGCTATGGCTATGGCTATGGCTATGGCTATGGCTATGGCTATGGCTAATTACACTGATGGCAAAGTAATTTTTAAAATGTAATGTTTCAGATTGCATGCAAGTACACTAAGCACTGGCCAGGGCACAAACAAGTCTGTGAAAAGCTTGGTCCAGATGCCATCGAAACATTGTATGCAATTATTTCTAGTGTCGACAATGGAATCAAGCCTGAACATGATTGCCAAATCTTGCATTTGTGTCCGAAAAAAGAAAACTAAATTTTTTTAATTATTCAATAAATTTTAAAAATTGTAAAAAAATTTAAATTTTCAAATAAATTTATAGAACAGGCTCGGAACAAATTGAAAGTTCACTAGACTTAAGTCCATTTATTTTAAGACACAAATCATAAAAACCAACCTCACAAGAATGTTGTTATCAAAAAAAATTTTACTAAAGGATATCCATAGTTTGTCAATGACATTTTAATTCCTCAGCTGTTGATAGTAACGCATACGCCTCCGCTTTACGGTAATTGTCTGGGATGATAATGAAGGAACGGTCGTAAAACAAAGTGTTACACTAAAGTCAAAGTACGTTTTTAAAAATATATTTAAAATTTAAAATCAAATCTTACCATGTATAAAAAATTCATAAAAGTAGATTAAAGTTTATAAATTGATAAGTTAATACTTGTTTATCAATAAAGAAGATTATAATTAAAAAAGAACAGTTTGTTGAGCAAAGTTTGAATTTAAAAAAACAGTATTAAATTTTATAAAAAAAAGTTCAATATGTTTGCTTTAGCCCGACGTGGTCTTTGATAAAAATTCAACAAAAAATAACAAAACCAACTTGTATATTACTGCTTCTGCGCCCTAAATAAATAACTCCTTAACAATTTTAATTTTTAAAAACGATTCACGAGTGATTATTAAGTAAATAACTTTAAAATCAGACTTGGATTACATTTTTTGCAAGCTAAATCATTTGTCATCAATCGACATGATCGAGCCCTTGGGACCTTGGTTTGAGTGTTGGCTAGGCTTACAATTAGACACAAGACAAGGCATTGGCAAATTTTCATGCCATGCTCTGTTCCAAGCTGTGCATGCCATTTCCTGTAAAAAATTTTTAAAACATGCCCTATACCATGTCCTACCATGCCCTGCAACAGGTAGGGCATGTTATAGGGCGTGTAACAGGGCGTGGTAAATGGCAGCTGCCCTGCGTCCAAGCCTGGTCTCGGCCTTTGAGCCCACGTGATACCCCGTTCTTTTAAAACTGCTTGGCCCAGCCGATTCTAAGACTTAACCAGGCTTATTGGGCCTCTTTTCAAATGTAGTTAATGATTATAACTTGTCGATATGTTACCCAAATGACACTGGTTATCTTACCTATCTCTTATTGCGCAATGTCGAACTTTTATCAATAGTACTTCCTTACATCCAGTACTTTAGCATTACTGTCACACCGAAAATTGTGTTTTGAGTCCCCCACTAATTTTATAGCTTTCTCTTGCACGTCATACCTATTAAAATAAACTGATGATTAAATTAAACAATAACTCGGGCTTTAAAAAGTGTTATCAGTTAAAAACATTTTGATATTTAACCGTGCAACAATCTTTCAATTATCATTTAGCTTTCATTTGAATTGTCATTTCTCTTTGACTCTTTTATAAAATTATCATTTGTTATTTCTATTTTTGTCAATAGTCAAATGGCAATGAAGTTTGCTTTGTTTGTGTTACTAGTAGCAGTCGCTAATGGAGCTGTTGTGAATAAGATAAGTGATGAAGATCAAGAATTGGCTTTGGAAATTGAGCAGGCGATTCGAGAGATGAATTTAGATGACTTCCATGCTACTGGCTACAACCCAATTTGTGAAGCTTGTAAACTAGGATTCACGATTGCTAAGAGAGTTCTTGGTAATAGCAACAATATCACTAGAGAGGCTTTGGAAAAGACTTTGGAGGTGAGCAAAATATTTATATCTTATGGACATAGCTTTTACATGGTCTACAATATCCATAAAACATTTTTTTAAAAATTTTTTATGTGTAGAAAGGTCATAAAAAGTCTTGCCGCTAATTTACATTGTTATTCAACAGAAAACACGACAAGACTTTTAAGAAATTTAAAAATCGAAAAAACTACTCAATTTCAATTAAAAATGCCATTTTATATCAACCATAATTCTTCAGATCACCTGCTCTTTAATCCCCAAGCCCTTGCCAGGCCGCAAAGAATTTTGTGAAAATCTTGGCCCAGCCGTTATCGACCTCATCTATCACATCATCAATGAAGTTGACAAGGGTATTGTGCCCGAACATGACTGCCAATTGATCTTCCTTTGCCCATGGAACCCAGAGACCACGGTAGTTCCAACTGAAACGCCATTACCCACTACGCGAGTAACAACTACTACTGTTGAGCCAGTCACTGACAACAACTTTTAAATATAACGGATTTAAGAGTACTGTATTTATTGTTGATAAATATGTATAACTGATTGTTTAGATTAGTAAACATAAGGTTAGAAGGCTTAGTTCTAGTAAGGTTTGTCTCGAACGTAAAGGTGAAGCGACTTTACACCTGGAAGACTACGGTCAACAAAACAAAGAAAAAGATTCGGTAGAGTTATATAAACCAAACCCCAGCACCCGCAGTTATTTGTTGGGTCGTTTTACACCGAGGTAAATATTACAAAACAAGAAATATTGCATAAGAAAAAGTTGCGTAATACCATTTCTTGCCATTTCTCCAAGGCTATCTTACTATAAAATGATATAAGGTAACTACGCAAAAATTCGTTAAATAACACTTTTTACTGCTTTTTAGATTTATAGGAAAACGTCTTATAATAATAGAGATAGCACTAGGGTAGTGCAAGATCTGAATTTAAGCTAAAGCTAAGGCTAGAGCTAGAGCTGGTGTTGGAGCTAGAGCTAAAGCTAGAGCCATAGCTAGCGCTAGAGCTAGAGTTAAAGCTAGAGCTAGAGATATATCTAGAGCTAGAGCTAAAGCTAAAGCTAGAGCTAGAGCTAGAGCTAGAGCTAGAGCTACAGCTACTACGATCTATGGTATTAAAAAAATAACGAGGCAATCAGGAAATGCTAATAATATATCAATATTCAAGTATTATTTTAACAATAAGGAAATGATACTTTATATTTTGCAACAACATATAGAAATATTGTAACAAATATAGTAGCTTATATTCTGTATTATAATATGTTATTCGAGGTAGGTAAGAATTAAAATTCTAGTATAAATTTTCACCTGTGAGACATTGAAAATTTAATTTTTCAACGCTTCTTTGTACTTACTAAACAACGTTTTCATGGTATCAATTACATACTCAATAACTGGTGGTTTATAATCATGTAAAAGGCTAGTATCTCTTTATGAATTGCTAGTGTATTAAAGGCAACGAGTGTTCAAAACAAGCCATGATTAATGTCTGCACCAGTTCTAATCCACTCAAACTCAACTGCAACCTTATTCTTCACTCAGACTCAAGAGTCATTGTACCAACATGTTCATATTGCACTACTAATCGTATCTACTTTCTTATTTGTTTTCACTGTATTTGTTATCATCAAAGCACCAAACAGACAGATCAGTGTGTACAGATGGTTCATATTAAACGAACTATGTAGTAGTTACTTCTGGGACTTTATACTAATGCTGTTACAGCCAATAACCTTACTGCCATATCAATGTGGATACAGTGTTGGGATGTTTCGGCAGTTTTCGACTGATCAACTACAAATTGTGCTAAAGTTTTTGGCAGCAGCAGCTGTTTGGAAAGTTACATCGTTGGTGGCTGCGTTATATTATCGGTATTTGAAGTCGGCACCACCTAACACTCATTTTGGGCAGCGATTACTTGAAATAAAAAGCTATTATAGTGTTCTAATATTTATGGTTATAAACATTGCTACAGATTGCCTACTACTTGTAAGTTTCATAACTTGAAAAGTTGCTTATGCTCATGTTCATTCTCTTGCTCAGGCTCAAACTCAGGCTCAGGCTCATGCTCAGACTCAGGCTCAGGCTCAGGCTCAGACTCAGGCTCAAGCTCACGCTCAGGCTCAGGCTCAGGCTCAAACTCAGGCTCAGGCTCATGCTCAGACTCAGACTCAGGCTCAGGCTCAGGCTCAGGCTCAGGCTCAGGCTCAGGCTCAGGCTCAGGCTCAGGCTCAGGCTCAGGCTCAGGCTCAGGCTCAGGCTCAGGCTCAAGCTCAGGCTCAGGCTCAGGCTCAGGCTCATGCTCATGCTCAGGCTCAAGCTCATGCTCAGGCTCAGGCTCAGGCTCAGGCTCGAGCTCAGGCGCAGGCTCAGGCTCAGGCTCAGGCTTTGACTAAGGCTCAGGCTCAGGCTCAGGCTCAGGCTCAAGCTCAGACTCAGGCTCAGGCTCAGGCTCAGGCTCAGGCTCAGGTCAGACTCAGGCTCAGGCTCAGGCTCGAGCTCAGGCGCAGGCGCAGGCTCAGGCTCAGGCTCAGGCTTTGACTAAGGTTTGAGTTTAAGATTAATCTCAAGGTCAGACACACCCTCAAGCTTATGTTTTAGCTGTAGCACTAGCTCTAGCTTTAGTTTTAGCTTAAACTTCTGTTTAGGCTAATAGGCTTAAAATTTTTTCAGTCAATCTTATCACTATCCCAGCTATCAACAGAAGTTGCCAAAGTCCACATAATTGACAACTCACCTATAGCCCAACTATCTCTTCATGAGCCATCCATAACCTGCTTTACTTTCCTTCCAACTGACTATAGTTACGGCTTACTTCCATTTTATGTCCTAACAAGTATTCTTATCTTTGCCATGTTTTGCCTTGTTTGTTATTTAGGCACGAAGACGTACTACAATATAATAAAAAGCAATGCCAGCATAAAAGTCAACGCATCAGTCGTATGTTGCTTTTGTCATGGGTAGCTCAGCTCACGTGCATTAATATGTGTGTTGCTTTGCCATTACTGATTGAATTATGTGTGTTCTTTATCAACCCACCTTATACTAATCTCATAACGTGTAGTATCTTTCTGTGCATTGGTCTACATAGCACCTGTGATTGTTTTGTATTACTTATTGTTATCAAGCCTTTTAGAGCTTTTATTCAGAATATTTTCATGGGTGCTGAAAATGAAACGAGTGTTGTGGTGGCTAGAAGAGGAACAGTTTCTGTTATTCAAGTTGACACAACAAAAGGAGCTTTTCGTTTGATAAGACGACTTACTAATTGGAAACTTTGATTACAAATGTGCCGTTGCGTTCTCCGCACAGACTTCCGACTACGGCCTGAAGACTTGAGAAGAACCTCATCACGACTAGGTAGCTTGAGATAAAGTACCACCTGTATAACACATAACTGCAAACAGCTACAATAAATTGCATTGATGATTTTCACCAATCTCTCAGTATCTCCCCTCACGTCCACAATAAGGTTGCAGCTTTACCAGGCCTCTGCTGACTTTATTTAGGCAAGGCTTAGGTTTGAGCCCCGCCTTTAGGCTCACATGTGTCAGACAGCCTAATGGGCTAGCTTCAGATCTAGCCACATTAGATTGCTATGAAAGCCTTCACAAACCGTTATATATCCTCCCTCACGTTCCAAATTATATATCTGGTTTAAAAATAGAATAAATATAATAAACCTTGATTATACATGCATAATTTATTGAGCTTCGACACCTTTTAAATAATAAATCAAGTATGAGCGACATTAAAGAATTGATTCAATGCCTCAATGTTGTTCACCAATGATTTAATAAGCTAAGGTGTTGTACACCAAAGACCCTTATTACACTTCATTACTACTTTTCAAAAGAGGGCAGTAGTATCTTCTTCGGGTGCGGTGGTTGTTGTCGTAGGTGCTGGATCTGTTGAAGGAGGGCCAGTAACGGTGGATGTTGGTTCGGTGTAGATGGGTGCAGTAGTCGTACCAGTGAAAGCAGTAGTGGTCCGGTATGGGTCCGGAGTTGATGTGGTTGGAAAATCGCTTGTTGGTCGTGGTCTCCATGTGAAGGGGTCGTGAGTTGGTCTTGGCCTCCATGTGAAGGGGTCGTGAGTTGGTCTTGGCCTCCATGTAAAGGGGTCGTGGGTTGGTCTTGGCCTCCACGTGACGGGGTCCTGGGTCGTTCTTGGGCGCCATGTAGGCCAGTGTGGCGGAGTCCACGGACCTCTAGTCGGCCAGTTTGGTGGAGTCCACGGGCCCCTAGTCGGCCAGTTTGGCGAAGTCCACGGCTGTCTAGTTGGCCAGGTCCATGTCGGATGAGTGGACCATGGTTGACCAGTCGTCGAGGGCGCCTGAGTTGTGGTTTCAGCGGGCTTGTCGCAGCGAAGAAAAAGCCAGCAATCAAACTTGGGCCATATTTGCTTGGCCACGTTTCTCAGGTAGTTGTAGATGTACTTGTGTTGCTTTTTTAGGGTGTCACAGACTTCTTTGTATTTTAGCTCACCGTTACCTTTTAAAATACCGCAGGCGGCCTGAAAACGAGATTTTAGTAGACATAGAACTAGCTAGCCATAGCCATAGTCATATCTCTAGCCTTGTTTTTAAATTAAAACTTCAAAGACCCACCTCAACATGCTCTTTGAAGTCCTTCTCACTAACTTTTTTCAAATCTCCTCCAACCAGCTCTTTCACCAGATCAAAGGCTTCAACACATCCACTACACTCCTTCTTACTCGGTTGCCCGAAAATACGATAGGCACTGGTCGTACCCAATACAAGGCCCAAAATGAACAAAATTTTCATTTTGAAATCTAACCATCCTGACAAACATTGCCCTATTCTTATACACCAAACAATCGCTGATAAGAAATTTTAATAATCGTCAAATTCCACGATTGTAATAACTTTTCAAGATGATAAAAACCGACGTAGGCCCCAATTTTAGGGTTGCCGCCTAAAAATCGTGTTTATTGTGGGGTTGATTGCAGCCGGAAAAAGGTGTGGTCGTTAACTCGTGTGATATCTCAAGACATATATCAGTACCAAGAAATGGTTTAAAAATTAATGACGAATTTTGTAAACGTCAGCTAATGCACGTATGAACAGAAAATGCTTAAAATACAAATTTGGGCTGGCTAGTTAAAAATAGAGCTAAAGGTGGATGATGTTAGAATTATGACTAGAGCTTGAGGCTACAGCTTAAGTTAAGTTTAAGGACAAAACTGAGGCTAATGCTGAAGCTAAGGTTGAAACTAAAGATAGACTTGAAGTTAGGACTGAGTATGGGCTGTGGCTAATAAGCCAAAACATAGATTTCAAATTAAAGTTGAAGTCATAGATAAAACTAGAGCTTAAGATAAAGCTGAAGCTATGACCGACTGTGAGGCTTAAGCTAAAGCTAAGGCTGAAGCTAGAGCTAAGGCTGGTGCTAAAGCTAGGGCTGAGGCTATACTTGTCGCTAAGGATAGAGCAAGAGCTAAGCCTGAAGCTAGAGCGGAGACTAGTGCTGAGGCTAGGCCTGAGGCTAGGCCTGAGGCTAGGCCTGAGGCTGAGGCAGAGACTGAAACCGAGCGCAGCTAAGGTCAAAGCCAATGGTAAAGTACTAAAGTAAAATTAAAAATGTCCTGTTACTTTAGCTGTTCTAGTACCTTCATTTATGTGTTTTATAAACTCAACAGTGTTGTTGACACTAAAAGGAAGCTTTATCTACAAAGAATCAATTATGTTATAATAAACACCGTTTGAAATACAGTGATAAGAAGTGATATTTGCTTTTTAATGCCGTAATAGTATTGTTTTATGGTTTTCCAGAACAATAACAACACAGTTGATATACAAAGAGTATATAAGTAAGTATAAACAGGTTTGGCAATCTATATTTTCAGTATTTATTACCTTTTGATAATTGTATTGGTTTAAAAAAGTCTTGTCGTGTTTTAACTTGCACTCATATGGTAAAACACGACTAAACTTTTAAGTTGGCTTATGTTACACTAATTTAAAAAGAAATTGTTTTGTTAAGTATAGCAGTCGACCGAAAATGGGCCTTACTACGCCTACCCGAGCTCGTGTCAGGCCGGTTTGTCAAAGCAAAAGGGCCGCGAGGTAAAAAATACTTTTATATTTATAATTTGTATTTTCAATTGTTTTTTATACCACTCCGTTCACTTTACAATGTAAAAACCGCTTATATTTCAAAAGGAAAGAGAAAGTTCGAGGCGCGTCATTCTGGCCGAGTGGTCTAAGGCGCTGCGTTCATGTCGCAGTCCTCTTCGGAGGGCGCAGGTTCGTATCCTGCGGATGACAGCAAGCTTAGTTGGTCTTTTATAGATAAAAAGTGGATGACAGCAATTTTTTTTTGATCATTTTTAGATAGAAAAAAGTAACAAAATCACCAAAAAATATTATTTTTCAAATTTTAAAGCGAGACTTTATAATGATATGCATATGAATACTGAGTGTACTATAACTTGCTAGCTAAAACCGTTCAGCAGTTTTTGAAAAAAATTTTATTGGTGACTTTTTATGTTCTTTTATCTTATATTAGACTTATTCTAAAGCCCGATTGATATTTAGTGTAACTCTTCTGTAAGCCTTAACCTAAATCTCAAATTAAGCCTAAGTCTAAGCCTAAATCAAACACTAAGTCACAGCTTTTTATGAAGTAAAAAACTAATTTAAGATCAGTCTGTTTATAATGTGCAAAAATTCCCCTTTTGCAATCGCTTTTTGAAAGGGATTTGCGCAGTGTTCCATTCTTGGGGAGATGAAACTCTTTAAGCCGGCAAACAATCAGGATAAATAAATAAATCCTGAGCGCGCTCGAGGTCAAAACGTAGAAGAACACAATGCTCATGTTAGTTTTTATGAGATACACGGATTTTTGGAATTGTCATACATTAATTTTTTATTTTTTTTTTATTTTGAGTTTTTAAAACGGTCAAAAAAGTCTTGTCGTTTTTGACAGTGAAAGACATAGTAAAAAAATGACAAGACTTTTTTTACTTTATATTAAAAATAAAATGCGTGACTTCCTCAAGGAGCCGCAATATTAAAAAAACTTTTTTTTGGGGTTTACTATGGTATTTTACTTGATTTTAGCGACGTTAAGATCAAGTCTTAACCTTTTTTGTAAGGTATATTATGCAGATTTACCGCTGAGTAATCCAGCTTTAACTGACTTGACGTCCCTCTATACTATGAGTAAGTCTTGAGTCAATAGCTGCGCTTTTATTATATTGGCAAAGTGAGAAATCACTTCGCGAAAATGAAAGTCTTATTCTTATTTTGGTATGCTTGCCACAACTTATTTGTGAGTTATCTTTATCCTAGGGTACGGTAAAGCAAAGCAACTTAGGGCAAGAAAAGGTAGGGTAAAACAAGTCAAAGTGAGGCAATGACAGGTAGGGTAGAGCAAGACCAGGTTCGAAAAGGCCGATTACAGTAGGCTAATCTTGTTTGACTAGTCGACCGTTGTCACCAGGTAAGTCAGTTTGGCCTGGTGCTCTAATAAAGCTAACTGGTCCTTGTTGACTTTCTTTGATCTTGGCTAGACCACGTGAGCATGGGGCTTCTGGAAGAATTAAAATTTTGATTAAATTATGTATCTTGTAGGGTAGGGTAGGTTAGGGTAGGTTAGGGTAGGTTAGGGTAGGGTAGGGTAGGGTAAGGTAGGGTAAGGTAGGGTAGGGTAGGGTAGGGTAGGGTCGGGTAGGGTAGGGTAGGGTAGGGTAGGGTAGGGTAGGGTAGGGTAGGGTAGGGTAGGGTAAGGTAGGGTAAGGTAAGAGTCTAAAACTTCATTTTGTCTTCGAAAAAAGTTTTAGAATAGCCTAAAATTTTATTTTTTAATTAAAACCATCATGATTTGCCAAGTTTTTAGCCACTGTTCTGACTAACAAGCTTCTTCTGATTACACATACACATGTTTTTTTCGCCAGCCTTAACAATCTAATTTATAAATTAGTCAAAGTGCCAGCATAGTTTTAGCTTGCCATAAGGAAGTGGTTTACTTTTTATAACCTCAAATTTTGAACTTAAAAAAATTTATTTTATTGAATTTCTGAAACGAAAAAAAATTTTTTCGGCCAAAAATTTTAATTTCGGAGCCGCAAAAACTCTTTGTTTTACGTTTCTTAAAGCTATTAATTTTATTCCAACGAGCTTTTTTGATATCCGAGCGGGATAGGGCAAAAAAAAAAGAAAAAAAGGTTTATTTATATGTTTTTGAACCAATAGTCTGGACGTCAATTTGCATAAATTTTATTAAGCGAGAGGCACGGCTGGGGCTAGATAGGAGAGACCTAATGCTTGATCTTGAGTTGAGCATAGAGTTTGAATTTGAGCTTGGACTAGCGCTAGCGTTAAAAATAGAGAAAAGTAAAATTTAAAAAAAAACCGTAAAAACTTTGTTTACAGTCAAAAAAAAGGACTGGGGCTAGAGTTAGGTCTAAGGATAGAACTATAGTTTAGGGCCCGAGCTAAGGCTTGATTTTGGACTTGAGCTTGGGCTAGGACAAGAATATGGCGCAAGGCTGGGGAAGGCTAGGGCTCTGGGCTAGGGCTCTAGGCTAGGGCCTTGGGTTACGGATCTGGCTAGAGCTCTGGGCTAGGGCTTTTGATTAGGGCTCTAGACTGGGGCTCTGAGCTAGGGCTCTGGGCTAAGCTTCTGGACTAGTGCTCTGGGCTAGAGCTCTGGACTAGGGCTCTGGACTAGGGCTCCGGGCTAGGGCTCCGGGCTAGGGCTCCGGGCTAGGGCTCCGGGCTACGGCTCCGGGCTAGGGCTCTGGGCTAGAGCTTTGGGTTAGAGCTCTGGACTAGGGCTCTAGGCTAGGGGTCTATGCTAGGGTTCTGGCTAAAGCAATTTGTTATGAAAAATGCTAGCCAAATTCTAAAGACTTTTGCTCTTTTGATGGAACGTCCATTCGAACGTTCTTTTCCAACCGAAAAGTGAGTTGTTGTGACCGATTGGAACTAATCAATTTTCGGTACATTTAACTTGACTTTTCCGGATCCAACTAGTTGTTTTTTACATAAAAAAACACTTGTCCATTTATCTTTGGTTTTTTATGAAACTTGTGTTACTGACCCAAATTTATGGAAGCTTTGGCCAGGTTTTGTTGGGATTAGGCTGCTACTAAAAAGTTTATTTATAAGTTGTAGATTAGCTGGGGTTAAACCGAAGTTCTTTATAAGGTGGGATAGGTACGGTCAAGGCTGGGCTGGAGGAGAGAGTTTAGGGGAAGGGGGCGCCCGGCCCTGTGTACTGCCATTTATTGCTTTAGATAAGCATGTTATTTTACAGGCTAGGACTTGGGCTAAAGGTAAAGATAACGCTACGGCAAGGCAAGGCAAGGCAAGGCAAGGCAAGGCAAGGCAAGGCAAGGCAAGGCAAGGCAAGGCAAGGCAAGGCAAGGCAAGGCAAGGCAAGGCAAAGCAAGGCAAGGCAAGGCAAGGCAAGGCAAGGCAAGGCAAGGCAAGGCAAGGCAAGGCAAGGCAAGGCAAAAGTTAGGCTTGTGCAGAGAAATATAAAAATTTAAACTTAGTGTGTAGCAGCTCATTACATTCGACTAGCTAGCTTGAATAGAAGTATTGTAATTTTTTACGTCGTGACTTCCTCAATCGCTTTCTTTAAGACAAGTTTTTTCTCACTTACAAAAATCCGGTAGTTACGCAAGGTGAGCAATTATTGTCTTTTTTGGGATTCATGATGATTTAGGAACTTAGGAAGGGTAGGGTAGGGTAGAGCAGGGTAGGGTAGGGTAGGGTAGGGTAGGGTAGGATAGAATAGGGTAGGGTAGGGTAGGGTAGGGTAGGGTAGGGTATGGTAGGGTAGGGTAGGGTAGGGTAGGGTAGGGCAAGTACTACTGATACCCAATTGTACAACATAGTACAAACCCTAAAATTTTTAATAACTCCCATATGTTTTTTAATTTTAATGTTGTCTATGGGCTTTTACTACGACATAACTTTTATGACAAAAACATGTACATAACACGGATTTCAGATGCATCCAGTTAGTTTTATTGTACTGTGTTTTACTTGGACGACCGGGCTTTTTATGAGCCATCTGGTGGAAAAAATTATCGTAGAATGTGGATGTGATTTTTTCGTATGTTGTCATTGCGGGGTCTTTTATAATTTTGAATTTTTAAAAATTTTCAAGGTTTGAATATTATTTTTTAAAATAAAAAAAAATATAAAATTTCTAAAAAAATTAGTTTTTTTTTATTTTTAAGTTTAAAATTTTCAAAAAAAAAATTTTTGATTTTTTTTTGACATTACATTTACTTTACACTGTAAAAACCGCTGACATCATAGAGCAAGAGAGAAAACTTCAAAGCGTGTCATTCTGGCCGAGTGGTCTAAGGCGCTGCGTTCAGGTCGCAGTCCTCTTCGGAGGGCGCAGGTTCGAATCCTGCGGATGACAGCAAGCTTTTTTGGTTTTTTTTCAGCCATAAAAAAGAACTTTTTTAGTTTTTTGAGTTGGTATTGTTAAATAATGGCATAATTCAGCATTTTTAAGAATTTTAAAACTAAAAGTTTTAAAATTTTACAGATTTTTTATAATTTTTGAATTTTTGTTTGGTTTTTCTGCCATAACTTTTGTTGGGTAACTGAAATATTTTAGCATATACATTAAATAGAAGCCCTAAGGTGTTCTTCACACCGCCCACATATAAATTTTCTCGATCTTAATCGACCCGTTCCGATATCGAGCGTTTGGAGTGGGCCGCGCGCGTAATTTCTTTACGTAAAACAAAAGAGTCGATATTCGGCCGCTTGCAGCCCTTTTCCTTTGATCTCGCGGTGGATATTTGATAGGCCAAGGAGAGGATTAAGATCCGCAAAAGTTTCGGGATTTGTTTCTGAACTTTGCATTTTATGTTTTTACGTGTTCTGGCTAAACTTCTGGGATATTTTTGGTTTTGAAGGGAAAAGAATAGGTAATAATGGACAGAGGGGACCAAACATAAAAATTTTGGGTTTTCTATGAATTTTTGGACTTAGTTTTAGCTAGAAAGTGAAAAAGCACGGGTTTGGGCTTACAAAAACGCTGAAGACCTAATTTTTTGAATAAAAGAAATTTTTTTTGAAAATGTTGCACAGGGGGGGGACCAAGCTGAATTTTTTGAGCAACTAGAAGATTCTGAAAGCTTTTTGACTTTGCGTGATGTAAAAATGGTTTTATACTAATTATTGAATCATAATGAAGCTATATTTTTTGAAATTTTTCATTAGGCGTGGCAATATTTTTTTCAGATTAGAAGTTGTGAACAGGGGGGACCAAGCTGAATTTTTCAGTAAATGTAAGCTTCTGAAGACTTTTTGACCGTGCGTAATTTAAAAATGTTTTTTATTTTTCTTTTAAACTTATAAGAAGCTATATTTTTGGAATTTTTTACTGGGCGTGGCAAAATTTTTTTGACGAAAAGTTGTGAACAGGAGGGGCCAAGCTGAAAAATTATAAAAAACAAAGATTCTGAAGACTTTTTGACTTCATTAATATAAAAAGTTATGGTTATGTTGACTCTAGGTACCTAAAAAATTAATTTTTGAAAAAAAAAATTGGGGCGTGGTAAATTTTATTTTTTGATTTTTTGGGGTGGATTTTATAAATTTTTCGTGTTTTGTTGCTTAACTTGCTTATTACTTTGAATTTTACTATTTTTCACTACAAACCCAAAGCACTACCCGTTTTTTCAAAAATAATTAACTTTTTACTGTATACATAACCCACTCACAGTTACTATTTCCATCTTCTTTACAATGTCAAGTGGCTACCGAGTAGTTGTTTTTGCGTACGTTCGCGCGCGCAACTCGATTTTGTTGTTTTTTCGATGCGTTTGTGACCACTCTCGACAATGACAAAAATGCGATTAAGGTTTATATACAGTCGGGACAAATATCATTGGGAATACGAAATGGAATATGTTGTTGTAGGGCTAGAAGGGGGGAGACATAAAAAACATATTTTCATAGGGGGTGGGGGTAAAAATTTTTTCTTGTAGTAAAGGTGGGGTAGAACGGGGAAGACATCAAAAATTAAAGAAATTAAGTTTTTAGACGAGAAAAAACAAAATTTTGTCATTTTTTACATGGCGGGGTAAATTTTTTTGGGGGTGGATTTTTTATTTTTAATTTTTTTTTGTTTTAGCAAAGTCGACTCTCAATGTCAATAGCTTCAAAATTCAAAATACCCTTCCCTTTTTTAACTGTATCTTCTTTTACCCCTCCCCAATTGGGGGTTCTAATTCCTTTATTTGCGCAGTGATCGCGAGACTTTTGAACACGTAAACAGCCCGTAAAATAGGTTTCTACAAGCAAATAAAGCAATGTGTCAAGAGGTTTGGGTGTTCTTTTACGTTCGAACTTCAAAAACAGGAAAATTTTTAAAGTTGGGACCGTTTTTACTAAAAATAGTACTACTTTTGACTGAACTGTTATAACTTTTAGCCATTTTTAACTAACAAGGAAAATATTCTACCTGCCCCGCTCAGAATCAGCTCAAAATTTTTATATGAATTCTTTGTACTACCAATAGTACCCATAAAAAAATTTTAGCTTGCGCTCTTGAGTTTTAAGTTTAAATTATTTGGGGTTCCCGCCAATTTGGCAAATTTGGCATTGTGTTTCAAGCACTTTTTTCGGCTTTTCAGACAAGATACGCTTACAAATTTAAAAACGTAAGTTCATTTAAAGGTTTTCTACTAGTATATCAAAGAAAAATTATTAAAGTCAAAAAATGACAAAGTTACAAGCTTGAAACACAATGCCAAGTTGGCGGGAAATTCAAAATGTCATTTTTTTGATTTTTTCGACATTTCCTGGAAAGCGCGATTTAGTACTTTGCTGAAGATCTTATATTTACATGATCTTTTTTTATAAAAAGTTTGAAGTCAATTAGAGCGGGGCGGGTCGGGCACTTTCCTTGTAGGTAGTACCATTTTTAATTACGTTTGTACCATTTTCAACTGAAAGTATTAGTTTAGCCAATCTTTATCAATTCTGTTAAATTAGTACTCTTTTTATCAAGCTGGTACCCTTTTTCTCCAGTTAGTACCAGTTTTGTCAAGGTGTACTATTTATAGTTAAATAGTGCCATTTTTAGTTAATTTGTACAACTTTTGTCAAACTTGTACCAATTTCATCAATTCTGTACCATTTTTGTTAAGTAAGTACTAGGTTTATTAAATGAGTACCATTTCCAGCCATATTGTACTACTTTTATCAATAAGTACCATTTCCAGCCATTTATATTACTTTTATCTATAAGTATCATTTTCATCCCATTGGTACTTCTTTTATTTTGCCCCGTACAACTAATGGCCAAGTGGTACCAATTTTATCAAAAGTAGTACCATTAGTACTAAAAATTTAAAATTAAGTATTAACTTTTAAAACGGTTAAAAACTAGAATTTAAAAAATTTGTTAAATTTTTTCAAATTTCATAGTGTTGTGGTACCTCCTTCTCTGACTTAATGTGATATAATCCGAAGCGAGAGATGATAGCTTCCCGAGGCGTGAGCAGCGTTTTTCCACGATTCCCCAGTTCAAAATGTGTTGTATTTACCTGACTGTTAATCCGTTTGTCCTAGACGTAGGAAATGGATCGGGCTGGGCCTGGGTGTTAGGCTTGGTCTCATCTTCATTTTTCTCAGGATTGCCCCTTGTACGATCTAAATTTTTCACAAGTCCGGCCCAGCTCGAATTTTTTTACGCGCAAACAGGCCGGCTTTTTTGGGCCGGGCCATGCTTTTTGAACCAGGCTTTTCGGGTCGGGTCATGCTTTTTGGACCGGTCCGACCTATATTTGGGCAAAGGCCGGTCTGTTCTTTAAGTCTAACCTTAGCCTTAGCTCTAGCCTTTGCATAGAGCACTAACCCAGAGCCCTAGCCCAGAGGCCTAGCCCAGAGCCCTAGCCCGGAGCCCTAGCCCGGAGCCCTAGCCCAGAGCCTTAGCCCGGAGCCCTAGCCCAGAGTCTTAGCTTCAGACACCTAGCCCAGAGCCCTAGCTCTATCCTAAAGCATTAGCTCTTGTTTTAGACCTAACTCTAGTCCCTAGCCCAGAGCCCTAACACGAGAACCCTAGCCCGAGAGCCCTAGCTCAATTTCGTAGCCCAGAGCCCTAGCCCAGAGCTCTAGCCTTAGCCCAGAGCCCTGGCCCAGAGCCCTAGCCCAGAGTCCTAGCCCAGGGCCCTAGCCCAAAGCTCTAGCTTTATTTTTTTTTGCCTGTAAACAAAGTCCTTGCGTGTTTTTCTAAATTTCTAAATTTTAATTCTATTTACAATGTTGAAACATGACATTTTAGACGAAAATGACATCAATGTCGATGTCAATGTACAGCCCCAACACATACGGTGCGTCCTATCGTTCCGTTGCGTTTGGAACGTGGAAAGTCGGCGAAGCACGACAATTCTCCGACCGCTACAAACGGCACCGCACGCCGGAGCCGTTGCTGGATGAGAGAATTAAACGGTAGGTTTTTTGAATTTGTAAAGAAAGTTTTTATCATTTTTTGCTTTGTAAAGAAAGTTCTTGCAATTTTTTGCTTTGCAAAGAAAGTTCTTGCCAGTTTTTGTTTTTTAAAGAAAGTTATTGCCATTTTTTGCTTTGTAAAGAAAGTTCTTGCAATTTTTTGCTTTGTAAAGAAAGTTCATGCCAGTTTTTGTTTTTTAAAGAAAGTTATTGCCATTTTTTGCTTTGTAAAGAAAGTTCTTGCCATTTTAATGCATATTTAATATAATTTCAAGACCTGCAGGCTTCGAGGACAAGTTATACGATAAAAAAATGTAGATCGGGCCTTACGATCGGGCCGGCTTGAGTAAAAAACCAAGCCTCAACCTTGGCTCTTGGCCCGTTTTTCATCCCTAGTCCTACTATACCCTCCCCTAACCTACCCTTATTTTTTGAAATAATGTTGAGTCATAGTAGTATCGAGAGTGCGCGCGAAAGATTAGAGCCCAAGATACGATACGAAGATAACACTGAATGAATAATGCGCATCTTCAGTTTATAACTTGAGTAATTATGGCTTACTCAAGAGTTAAGAGTCGAGATTGTGATCAGTATAAAGGCATTGTCTTTGGCCTTCAAAACTCTTTTTTTAATTACAGTTAACTGCTTTAAAAGAGCTCGTTTTAAGACCATCGTATAACATGTTCCCGCAGGCTGCAGGACTTTATTTTGACTAGATATCGTTTCGACCTTTAAGAATAAGGAAAAAAAGTTCTTGCTATTTTCTTTTGTAAAGACAGTTCTTGCCATTTTCTGTTTTGTAAAGAAAGTTTTTGCCATTTTTTTTGTAAAGAAAGTTCTAGCTATTTCTTGTTTTGGAAAGAAAGTTCTTGCCATTTTTTGTTTTGTAAAGAAAGTTCTTGCCATTTTTTGTTTCGTAAAGAAAGTTCTTGCTATTTTTTGTTTTGTAAAGAAAGTTCTTGCGATTTTTTGTTTTGTAAAAAAAGTTCTTGCATTTTTTAAGCTGAGACGAAGCCTAAGACAGGCCAAATGTAAAGCTAGAGCTACCTCTTAAAGTTTGTAGGCTTACTATCGACATAGCGAAACATATTTGCAAGGTCAACAACCCACTTTTATTAATTTCCTGAAGCTTAAAAAGATAATGTCGTCACGTTTCTCAACGTGAAATTAATTACTTTCCCTTATGTTTGCACTCGAACCTAATGAAATCTCACGGAAAAAACAAATCCTCCCCCATTTGACAAGAATTTGGCACCCGAAACGCTTCCCTCGCCAGTTGTTTCAACCTTGATTTTTTCATTTTTTTCGTTTTTTTTTATTTTATCAATCGCAGTTAAATTTTTATGGGATATATAAGGAAGCGGGTACACTTTTTTTACTTGGATTGTACAAGTTTTACGAGACGGCGTGGATTTTAAGTTGGCGAGGTTTTGTCATTTTAGTTTACGTGTGAGCTTAGGTCATGGTACAGCAGGATGTGATAGGCAGAGCAAGATGTCTTATAGGGTAGATGGGTTTGGTAAGCACGGGTCGGACATAGTCTTTTGTTGGGCATGGTAGAGAATGAATTTTTATAGGGTGTAGGGGAGGGCATGGTATTTCATAAGGTGGTGTTGGTGAGGAGATACGATTTTATGAAATAGGGTTGGTGTTTGATATTCTAGAAAAGACGTATTATAATCTCATAGAACGTGTAATGTATAGTCTAGAGCAGAAAATGGTAGTTTACAGCGTAGAGTAGAGCATACTATAACGTAGGGCATGGTATGGCTAAGGCTAAGGTTAAGGCTTTTAATATTCAAGGCCAAACCTTGATTTCAAACTTTTATGACATTCCAATTTGTTATCCAATAAAATTTGAAAAACCTTCAAATGACGCTTCGAATGACAATCAAATGTTTTCTTTTGAATTCAGTCCAAACCGCCCCAATTCTTTTATCTCAACAAAACAAACATCGGATCAAAAAAGACTTTTGTGACTCTCAGGTATTTTCTTACCTTTCGGGATTTCTCGAAAGAAGAAGACCACGTTCTTACTGTCTGGCGGGTTTACGAGGGAGGGGAGGGTTAGGGTTGGAGCGTGCAACGGTTTTTTAAAATAAAATTTTTTTGATGTATAGGTCTTGATCTGGGGCTAGGGATAATACTAAGGTCATGGTTAGGGCTATGACAAGTCGATATTCTGAAAACTTTAAAGTTAGGTGGGGAGGGGCATAGGGTGTAGGTGAATGTGTAAAATTTTGTAAAGAAAGTTTACTATTCTTTGTTTCGTAAAGAAAATTCTTGCCATTTTTTGTTTTGTGAAGAAAGTTCTTGTCATTTTTTGTTTTATAAAGAAAGTTTTTGCCACTTTATGTTTTGTAAAGAAAGTTCTTGCTATTTTTTGTTTTGTAAAGAAAGTTCTTGCCATTTTTTGTTTTGTAAAGAAAGTTTTTGTAATTTTTATAAACATTTATTTTAAATTATTGAAATCGTCAAGGGTGTTTAAAAATTTTGAAAGCAGTTGAAACTAATTTTCAAGAGTTTAATTGAAGCTCTCGAAAAGGGCATTTGACCTCAAATCGTAAACTCTTACAGAAATTTTACAGCTTTTTAAACGTTTCTAATTCAAGCACTAAAAGCAAAAGAACTTTCTTTACAAAACAAAAAATAGCAAGAACTTTCTTTACAAAACAAAAAATATCAAGTAATTTCTCGGGTTTTAACTCAGGCCGGCCCGATCGTAAGGCCGGGGCTACATTTTTTAATCGTATAACTTGGCCGCCGCAGTCTGCAGGGCGAATAATTAAAAATAAATTGATTAAATATTGCAAAAACTTTCTTTACTAAGCCAATAAAGGCAAGAACTTTCTTTACAAAACAAAAAATAGCAAGAACTTTCTTTCCAATTATGGTTTTTTAAACTTTTTTTTGCCATTATCATTAAAAACTTCAAAAATCATGTTATTTTTGATTGAAATTTGATCCAAGAACGAAAAAAGTCTTTCGAATTGATTGATATTTTGGCGAATGGCCAGAGGCAATTTAATTTGTTGATAAGGTCGAGAATCGGTTGTTTTTGCAATCAAAAAAGCTGTTAATTGGTTGTTGACACTTTGCTTTATGACGGCTAGCTGAGCACTTGTTTTTGGCTACTTTTTGACTCTTGTAAAGAATGTTCTTGCCACTTTTTGCATTGTAAAGAAAGTTCCTTCCATTTTTCGTTTTGTAAAGAAAGTTCTTGCCGTTTTTTGTTTTGTAAAGAAAGTTTTTGCTATTCTTTGTATTGTAAAAAAAGTTCTTGTCATTATTTGCTTTGTAAAGAAAGTTCTTGCCAGTTTTTGTTTTGTAATGAAAGTTTTTGCCATTTTTCGTTTTGTAAAGAAAGTTCTTGCCTTAGCCAACTTTTTTTCAGAAACCAATCCACGGACACATCAGAAGACGCCCTTCTGCCATCCACTTCAAAGTCGTTGAGTCAATCATTGAGTTGCGCCCAGCTGGACGTCTTTATTAAGCCTACGGCGAATTTGTTAAGCCTAAATTTGAAAAGCCGGACTTGTGAAACTCAGCGGAAGTTTAGGCACATCAACTTGGAACGGCAAGAAAGTGTTGACTTGGGTGAAGGGTACTACAACAATATACCAACTGGTACTGTTGGGACTGATTTTGGGGCTGATAGTACTGTTGGTACTATAGATAGAGCAAATTTTGCCACTGCAGACCATTTGGAGAGCTCTAATACTCAAAAAGTCCAAGTTGGTACAAGTGGTACTACTGGTACACATTTCGGTACAGCTGGAGGTATTGATACTCAATTGAAAGAGTTTAGTCCACTTTCAATAACAACTGAAAAATCGACCAATTTCAACTCACCTGAGTGCCAAAATCGACTAAAGGTCGATAATTTTGAGAAAGAAGGTACTGTAGATTCAACAGCATCATTCGAAGCCCTAGAAGCCAGTATCAGTCAGTCAGAAGGTCCTAGAAGCCGAAAATTTTCAATTTCAAAGAATTTTGAAAACTCGACCGAAAATCGACCAAAACGACTTAAAAAACAAGATACTGTAATTTCAAGCGACCAGTCGATTATTGAAGACACTATAACAAAATCTACAGATAATTTGATTAGTTTAAATTTATCGACCAACCGACCAGTCGAATTTAAAAATTTTGATTTTTCGACCCAAAATACAACTGAAATTTCAAAAACACTCCCTAAGTCGACCAAGCTGGCGCCCCATCCGCTAGCTAAATCTAAAAGCAGCTCAGCACCATTCCAGCACAGTACTAGTTTAAGCAAGAATAGTACCAGTTTGGCGAAGAACAGTAATAGCTTGTCTGAAGCGGAAAAAGAGCTGATCAACAAATTCCGACCGGTCGATATTTATGCCACTTTGAAAGGTCACAAAAGCCAAGTTAGTCCTATGGAAGGGAGAAAAGAACGTGCTATGAGTTTAGCACCACATCATCAATGTGAATTGTATCATGCTACTGAGTATGTACAATATTGTCAAGAGTATAGACCTAGGAAGAGCTGTTGCAATTATGAAAATGGTAAGTTGAGCTTCTGTTTTATATGGGCTAGGCTTAGGTTATGACAAAAGCACTGTTTAGGCTGGGCTACGGTGTGAGAAAGGTACTATTAAGACAGGGTATGTATTGACAAGAGTAAAACTAAAGCAAGACTAGGGAAAGTCTAAAATAATGCTACAGTAAAGATATACCACTTTTTAAAAACAAGGATAGGGTAATTCAAATATGACATAAGAAGAGATCAGAGCAAAACCAGCAATGATCCCCCACAGTATTTCAGCCTTCAGTATGGCTAAGTTAAGGCTAGGGTTAAGCTAAATTAATGCAATTGGCAATAGTAAAGCAATGGCTAGAGAAGGACAGTGGCAAGGGTAAGGAGTAGAAAGAGTAAGACAGTAGAAAGAGTAAGGTAGTGGCAAGAGAAGGGCAATGGCAAATTCAAGGTATTGGTAAGTGAAAGGCAGGAGCAAAGAAAGGGCAGTGGCCAGGGAAGGACAGTGTCAAGAGTAAGGTACTAAAAAGGAACAGTGTAGTGGCAAGAATACAGTAATGACAAGAGTTAGGCAGTAGCAAAAAAAAGGTAGTAGCAAGGATAGGACGGTGGAAAGGGTAGGGTAGCGGCAAGGATACAGTAATGGCAAGGGTTGATCAGTTGCAAAAGCTGGACAGTGGCAAGGGTAGGACGGTGGGATGGGTATGGTAATAACAAAGATAAGGTAGTGGCAAAGACACAATAATGGCAGGGCTAGGGCTGTGACAAAAGTAGGATAATGTAGGGCAGGTTAGAATAGGGTAGGTTAAGGTAGGGTAGGGTAGGGTAAGGTAGGGTAGGGTAGGGTAGGGTAGGGTAGGGTAGGGTAGGGTAGGGTAGGGTAGGGTAGGGTAGGGGTGGGGTAGGGTAGGGTAGGGTAGGGTAGGGTAGGGTAGGGTAGGGTAGGGTAGGGTAGGGTAGGGTAGGGTAGGGTAAGGTAGGGTAGGGTAGGGTAGGGTAGGGTAAGGTAGGGTAGGGTAGAGTAGGGTAGGGTAGGATGGTCGTAAAACAAAGAAACAGGTATTCAAACAGAATTCAGGAAACGCTAATTCTAATTTCCTGAAGAATGGTCATTCCCCTCTCCTCCGATTTTTAATGTCATGCGTTTACGAAAACATTTGCACATTAGTTATTGCTAATCAAAACTCTCTTTTTCCTTCGGCGATTTTCGTCTCGAAATTTTCGGTTTTTTGTTTCAAAAACTGAGTCATAAGGATGTTTTCTTAAAGCAAATATTTTGTTTTTTGAGATTATAAGGTTTTGGGACATACTAGGGCTTGGTTTTTGATTTTGAATATTGGGATTGTGGTTATAAAAATGTAGTTTTATATGATTCTTCTATATTATAGTGGATGGCATAAATGAAAGTGTTAATTTTTTTTAATTTATAGGTTAGCTTAGAAAGCGGATTAGTAAGCTTAGTAAGCTTGGGCTCATTAGATTTAAGTTTGGTAGGTACAGGCTACGTATGCTTAAGCTTACTAGGTTTAGGCTTAGTAGGCTTTGGCATAGAAGGCTTGGGCTTATGAGGTCTCGGATTAGTATTCTTTAGCTTAGTAGGCTTAGGATTTGTAGGCTTAGGTTTAGAAAGCTTTGGCTTAGTAGGTCTAGGCTTAGTAGGCTTAGGCTTAGTAAGCTTAGGATTAAAAAGCTTAAGCTTAGCAGGTTTAAGCTTAGTAGGTTTAGGGTTAGTAGACTTAGACTTTGTGGGCTTAGGCTTTGTAGGCTTAGGCTTTGTAGGCTTAGGCTTAGTAGGCTTAGGCTTATTAGGCTTAGGCTTATTAGGCTTAGGCTTAGTAGGCTTAGGCTTAGTAGGCTTAGGCTTAGTAGGCTTAGGCTTAGTAGGCTTAGGCTTAGTAGGCTTAGGCTTAATAGGCTTAGGCTTAGTAGGCTTAGGCTTAGTAGGCTTAGGCTTAGTGGGCTTAGGCTTAGTAAGCTCAAGCTCGGGTTTAAGCCTTGTATATTCAGGCTTGGGTTTAAGTTTAGTAAGCTTTGGCATATTAGGCTTAAGCTTAGTAACCTTGGGCTTAGCAGGTTAGGCTCACTATTTTTTAAACGTGTGAACAAAAGTTTTGTCTTTTTTACAAAGAATGTTTAAATTTCAAAACAATATTATACACAAAGACCTTGTGAATTGTGAGTTGATTTGAAATTCAATACATTCAGCGTTCTAGGAAGTGATTGTCATTTCACACTGAGTAATCTTGTGTTTCTTGTCAGCTTACTTTTTTTAAATTTTAAAAATTTGTCAATTTTTTTTAAAAAAAAATTTTAAATTTAAAAAATTCGAGTGAGTTTGGCGACAAATTTGGTTAGAATGGAATTCTTTAACCTTAAATGTAATCAGCCGTATAATGCATCCGTTCGGCGGCAAGCCATGAAACCTACGACGCTGTTTTGAAATTACAAAAGCTTTGTCATTGTTTTACTGTTAGATCGAATTTGGATTAGTACAAAATAGTACGGTTAGTTGGATTAGTATAAGGCTTAAAACGAAAAGTAGACTTTGCTTTAGGTTTAGGTAATGCTAATTTAAAGCTTAGATTTAGTTTAGTCTTTGACGAAGACATAGAATCTAACATATTGGTATGGGACAGACTTAGGCTTAAGATTAGGCTTAGGCTTAGGCGTACGGTTAGGCTCACCTTCAGATTCAAGCTGAAGCTGGTAGGCATAGGCTTTGTTTTAGGCTTAAATTAAACAGAATTAGGTTTAGGTTTAGGTTGTGCCTTGGACTTGGACATAAGCTTGGGCTCAGGTTTAGGCTCAGGTTCATGCTCAGGCTCATGCTCAAGCTCAGGCTCGGGCTAAGGCTTAGGGTCAATCTCAGGCTCAGGCTCAAGCTTAGGCTCAGGCGTAAACTCAGGTCCATGCTTCTGCTCAGGCTATATGCTTTGGACCCTCGCTTAGATTTGATCAACCTTAGACTCAAGGTCAGGCACGTGTTTAGGTTCAATTCTAAGCTAAACGCATGTCCTTGTTAATCTAATTTTTTAAATTTAAAACGTAAAAATTACAAACTAGGACCGGTTCACAAAACATTTTTCTTAATATTTTAATTTTTTGTTCCGTTACAATAGGAACACTCTAGCAGGCGTTATTCTTGTTTCGGGCGTTCCGATTATTATCTTTTTCAAAGATGTTTTGCAGTTTTTTTTCAAATTTTTTTCGAAACAAGCCCTCGAGCAGCGTTTCCGTCGCGCATTCTCGAGCGCTTCCTCAACGCATGATATTGCCCTTTAAGTGCCGTGCCGTTGGTGCTCTTGTTTTTGAGATTTGCTTATGAATGGAGGGGGGGGCAAGGTAAGATGGAAGGAGAGGAGGGATGGAGGGAGGGGTGGGTTAATGGGAGGGAGTTTTAGAACTAATAAAGATTTTGAGGGTAAAGGGGGAGGTGTAATTAAAGAATCTTTGAGTAAAGGCTAGAAATTTAAGAGAAAATTGTTTTTTAAGAGCGGAGGTAGAGGGCGGGGGTAAAAATATTTAGGGGGTGTTTTTAAAAAATTTTTTTTGCAATTACTAACAACATTTTTTAGTCACAGGGCAGTGTAAGATTTTATTTTAAAATTTTTTTAAATGTAAAAACATTTTTTTTTGAAATTTTTAAAAATTTTAAAAATTGTTAATTTTCAGTTTTCATCGACTCCCACCCACGCCCAGACCTAAACCGCTCAATGGACGCATTAAACGACCGTATCATTCACTACCCCCAACCCATAGCCGGCCATTTCGCCTACATACCACCGAACCAAGCCCGGACCGTTTCACAATTCGGCGGCCGTAGCTTGGCCGAAGTGATAGGACAACGACGTATGGTACAACTACCAGTTGGCGGTACTCTGGGACGAGCGTTTTATCCAGCACCGAGAGATTGTAAACGGGCACCATTGAATGTGGAGAGAACTTTTCAACCACCTGTACCAGTGGTACCGGTTCAGAGAGAGTTTGTCATTGATTCACAGTTTGGAGAAGGATTACGGTATCGAGCTAAGAGTCTGGAAAACACTAACAGGTGGGTTTAAGCTTAACTTTTTTTTAAATTCAAAAAATTTTCAAATTTCTAAAAATAAGTTGGTTTATCTTTAATAGTTAATGAAAAAATTGTATAAAGGGTAGTAGTCTAAGCCAAATACTGCAGTTGAAGCTGGGATTGAGGCGAAAGCAGGGCTAAGACTAAGGCTAAAGATAAGGCTAAGGCTGAGGTTTAGAATTTAGGCTTAAACCTTTCGGCTCACGCTCAAGTTAGGCTAAAACGACAAAAAACTTTTTTTAAATTTAGGTTTAAGGCTTAAACTAAGACTAAAATAAGTACTTTTAAAATTCTCAAGACCTTGTTTTACATTTTGATGACATATTGACATTTTTTCGCTAGAAAGTGTCATTCAATCTGCCTTTTTTATCTCTGGAAACATTGGTTAAAGTGAGGTCAAAGACTGGCCCAACACCTTAACAAATTGTGTTTCATAACATTAGCTGTTAGTTTTTTAGTTTACTATTTTTTTAATTTGTGGTGATTTACGTAGTACCAAAACACTGTAAACGCAAAGGCTTTTTTTGGTAAGGCAGGAAAAGGTTGGGATAACAGTTTAGCAATGTCAGCTGCAGGATTAGCGTAGGTCAAAAATTTGATAAGTTTGGCTTGATTGTTTTAAGGGTACTGATAAAAACAGACGAATAGAGTAGTGAGTACGAACATGGTAAATAATAGTAACGGCTAGGATGCCCAGGATAAGGCAAAGGTAGGGCGGATCGAACTAGTAGCTGCGGGCTAAGATTGAGACTCAGAACCAGGCTCTGTCCCAGGCTGATGCTCAGATAAAGCTCAAGCTTGGGCTCAAGCTCCGGTTTCGGCTTCGACTTTAGCTCAGGGTCAAGCTTAGGCTTACCCACGTGGTCATGCTCTGGCTCAGGCTTAGGCTCAGACGCAAACTTAAGCTCAAGCTCAAGTTTATGCTCTACTTCATGCTCAAGCTCAAGTTTATGCTCAAGCTCAAACTCAAGCTTAAGTTTACGCTCAGGCATGGCTTCAGGTATAGGCTCAGACTCATGCTCTGGCTCAGGTTGAAGCTAGGCCAAAATATAAAGTAGACCAAATCCAAAAGCAAAAAATGGCTTGCTCTCAGCTGGCGATTGTTTATTTACATTCAAAAGCGTCATCAAAAACGTTCAAAAGCCCAAAACTTTTAGCAAAGCGTCAAGGGGAAGGGGGGGGAGTGCGGAACTAATTTGTCAACATTATGCCAACGGGACGTATTATTAGTATGAAATGATCCGTCAACCAAAGATTGAGTATTTGTTATTTGCTTATGATATGGAGGTGACAAAAGGTTACGAATGTGATGAAAGGAATGGCATTTTTCTCACACCCCCCCCCCTCCCTCCACCTCTTAACTATAGCCCATCTCATCTAGCATAGTCAAAGGTTAAAGTGTGGCCATTTAGAACATGAGTAATTTGAAATCGTGTTTTTACTCGAACATATTGAATCTCGGCCACGCTTTGTGCTTGCGGTCAATTCGATCTAATGTCAGCCGGTTGGCTCGAGGTGAATCGTGTTCCAAAAAACAAGAGCGCCTTGTTTTGACCTTTCGGCTTTCGATGCCATTTGTTAAACAGGGTTTTTATAGGCGTGGGGAGGTGTTTTATATATTGGCATGGGGAGAGGTTTTACCATACTTTGGTATGGCGGGGAGCGGGGGGGAGGGGTGTTAGATTTTTAACCCACTGAATGACAATTTTAGTTTGTTTTAGCGTTTATTGAAAAGTCAGATGTAGTTTAGGCTTAAGAGTGGAATTTTAGGCTTAAAACTAAAATTTAGCTTTAAGAACACATTTTTATGGTTAAGGACAGATTTTAGACTTAAGTGTAGAATTTTAGGCTTAAAAACCAATTTTAGGCTTAAGAATATACTTTAGGCTTAAAAATGTATTTTTAAGCTTGACAACTAACTTTAGGTCTAAAAATTGAATTTTAGGCTTACAACTTAATTTTAGGCTTAATTATAGGGTATTAGGCTTTAATATACAATATTAAGTTTAAAAATGAATTTTAGGCTTAAGAGTTGAGTTTCAACCTTAAAATAAAACATTTAAGCTCGAAAATTGATATTAAGCTTAAAATTAAAGTTTTAGGCTTGAAATTGCCTTTAAGGCTTAAAACTGAAATTTTACGCTTGAAAATAATTGTTAGGCTTAACAGTAGAACTTTAGGTTAAAATGGTTTTGAAGGTTTAAAAATAAAGTTCTATGCTTGAAAATCAATCTTAGGCTTAACAGTAAAACTTTAGGCTTAAATGAAATTTCTAGGCTTTAAATGAACTATTACGTTTCAAAACATTTTAAGCGTGATTTTTTAGTTCAGAATGACGATTTTAATCAATCACAGCAATGTTATTTTACTCAAAAACAAACTTTTTTATCCATTTGTATTTTTTTTCAAATAAAGCCAATTTTCAAATTCAATAACCCTACAAGTGCTGAAAAACTGTTTATATAACGCGCAAACATGTAATATAATAAAAAGTAGTCGAAAGTGACGAAAAGGCAAATTGAATTGTGTCCAGAGCAATTTTATTGAATAGACTTTTAAAAGGAAAAAACCACCTTTTCGAAACGTTTTTTTATCAATTCGAGAGTACGTTGTGGTTGAGTACAGAGCAATTTATGATCTTTGGGCATGTAAAAAAATTTTTTTTTAAATTATGAAAGAATAGGGTAGAGCTTTTGGTAGGGGTAGCATAAATAGCATAGAAATAAGATTATCTAAAGGGTAGGGTGAAGGCAAAGGGCTAGAGCGTTAGAGTAGACAATATAATTAAATTACAGTAAAACTACAGTATGGCAAAAAAAAGCAAGATAAGGCAAGGGCAGGGCAAGATAAAGCGTATTATAGACAGGATAAAGCGAGGGGAAGGCAAGACAAAGACGGGACGAGGTAAAGTAAAGGCAGTGTAAGATAAGGCAAAGACAAAGCAAGATAAGGTAAGGGCAGAGCAAGACAAGGCAAGCTAATACAAAGGCATAGAAAGATAACGCAAGGCAAGGCAGGGCAAGACAAGGCAATAGCATGGCAAGATAAGACAAGGCAGGGCCATTTAAAGCAAAGGATAGACAAGATAAAGTAAGGACAGGGCAAGGTAAGGCAATGGCAGGCCAAAATAGAGCAAAGGCACGCAAGGGAAGGCCTTGGTAACCCAATGAAAAGGTAGGATAGGATAGGAGTTATACCAAAAAAGCACCTCTTTCCCATTACATTTTTGAAAGTTTTCTCTTCGCGGCATGAAAAAAGAAAATGTTTGAATAATTTTTTTGTTGGTTGAAAGTAAACACGGAAAGGTTTTTTTATATTATACATACTTTTGTTATTCAAATATGAAAAACGATGCGCATTTATAATCAAAAAAGGCTTGTTGTAATCGAAAACTTTTTCAACATTCTGTGGTTTTTTGGCATTTTAGGGCTTTTAAAATTGTTTTTGACGAAAAAAGTGTAAGGCGGGGTAAAAAATATTTGAAAATTGAGGGTAGGGTTTATTGGACTAGGCTGAAATTAGGTTTAAAGATTGGGGCTAATACTAAAGGCTGAGGCCAAGGCAAAAAAATGAAAGGCAGGCAAGATAAGGCCAAGGCAGAGCAAGCTAAGGACAAGGCAGGGCAAGCTAAGGCCAAGGGCAAGGCAAACTAAGGCAAAGGCAAGGCAAGATAAAACTAAGGCAGAGCAAGCTAAAACAAGATAAAGCCAACACAGGACAAGCTAATTATTCCAAGACAGGGCAAGCTAAAAACCAAGGCAGGGCAAGATAAGGCAAAAGCAGGGCAAGATAAGACTAAGGCAGGGCAAGCTAATGCCAAAGCAGGGCAAGGTAAGGACAAGGCCAGGCAAGCTATGGCCAAGGCAAGGTAAGGCCAAAGCAGGGAAAGATAAGACCCAGGCAAGGGGCAAGGCACTAGGGCAAGGCAACTAGGGCAAGGCACTAGGGCAAGGCACTCGGGCAAGGCACTAGGACAAGGCACTAGGACAAGGCACTAGGGCAAGGCACTAGGGCAACCCATTAGGGTAAAGCACTAGGCAAGACAAGACAAGCCAAGCCAAGCCAAGCCAAGCCAAGCCAAGCCAAGCCAAGCCAAGCCAAGCCAAGCCAAGCCAAGCCAAACCAAGCCAAGCCTATGTCTTTTAAGATTAAAAATTTAAAGTAGATTGGAAGCTTATTCAAAATTTTAATAAAACGTCATTTTTGACACCTGCCAGCTTTAATTTTTTTGTAACAATTTGTTACACAAGTTGAAATTAGGGGAAAACCAGCTGGAGGCCGCAAACCTTTTTTTGAATATTTCAATTATTCCAGAACAGGGGCATTTGTTTAATGGCTGTAGGGCACGGAACGCTTATCTCGTGCATATTTATAAAAGTTTTGGGCCGTTTTCGAAAGGCTGGTTTTGCGAGGGTAAGAGGATATTAGAGGGGCAATTTGAGATATATAGGCTTACTTCGGGCTTGGACATTGGGCTAGGGTAGCGTAGGTATAGGCATGGCGGATTATTATAAGCTTTCAACGGTAATTTTTTCATGTTTTTATTGGGCATAGTAAAAAAATTTTTTTTGAGCTGAGGGGGGTGGTTATAAAAATTTTTTTTGGCATGGTAAAAAAATTTTTTTTTAGTTTGTGGGGGTGGCTATAAAAAATTTTTTTGGGCAAGGTAAAAAAATTTTTTTTTGGTTTGGGAGTAGGGAAAAGTGGTTAAATTTTTTTTTTGTTTTTTGATTGCTTCTTATCAAAAACACCACCACGATTTGATAAAAAACTAAAAATTTTAAGTTTTAAAAATTTTTCGAAAAAAATTATGACATAAAGTTTGTTTAATGAGTACCGTGAGAATTACCGCAGCTTAAAAAGCAACCTCGGAGTAGAAAGAGCTGGCCGAAGGACGTTTACTCAATAAAAGATTGGCTTTGTATGCCACCAATTGCGGCTACTTTCTGAATAACAAAAAAAACTTGCGCATTTCTTTAAGGATGATTCATTTACTCAGCTGAAAATAGGTTTTGTAAGCAATTTGAATAAGGTGGGTTTAAGTAAGTGGGTTTTGATGGTCAAGTTTTAGGTGTTTATAGGTAGGGTAAGATGGGGTAGGTTGGGTAGGGTTGGGTAGGATAGGGTAGGGAGATTTTTATTTTATTGGTTTTATACGTGTTAGAAAAGCTTATGTTTGAGGCATGGCGGATGATAATCATCTTTTACTAGTGCGTTTAAACAAATTTTTAAAATTTTTTGGGCGTGGTAAATTTTGTTTTGTTTTTTTTGACGGATAGGTATAAGTTGTTGATTTTTCAACAAAAATTGTAAAGTAGGGTAGGGTAATATAAAGTAAAATAGGACAGGCTAGATGGACAGTGATGTTATTCAAGTTTTAGTCTCAGTAGTATAGCAAATGGTCACTTTTCAAGCCAATTTAAACTAAATTTTGCCTGGCTCAAACGTCTTTCTTTGCATGGTTGGCTAGTACAAAGTTAAATAAAGTTTGTACGAAAAATTGACTGGCGGTGTTTTACTGTTTTGGAAAAAAATTTTTAAGCTTTATTATTAACTTTTTGTTTTGCGTTTATTTTAAAAAGTGATAAAGTCAGTAAAATACATATTAAGATTTTCTCACCGACTTTATTTATTTTATGCCTATTAATATGACACATTTGTTTTTTGAAACAGTGATATCACTGATAGAAGTAATGATTAAATAGCAAAGCCCGCGAAAATTGTGTATAAAGAGTAAGTTGGTTTTAAATAGTTTTAGTTATAAGTTTATTCTTAGTCCTCTTTATTAAACAATAATAATGATGAATGTACCCTACCCTACGTTTTTTGTATGATAGGGTAGAGTAAGGTTGGGTACACTGGGGTTAAGAAAGTTTTGAGTGTAGGGATTGCAAATGATTATAAGTTTTCAATACTATTATATAATACCTTTTATCTGTTTTTTTGGATGTGGTAAACATTTTTTTTTGGGCGTGGTAAAAAAGTTTTTTTGGGCGTCGTAAAAAAGAATTTTTTTTATTAGGCGCTGTAATTTTTTTTGATTTCAATTTTGTTTGTGGATTCTTATAAAAAACACAAAACAATTTTGGGCGTGGTAAAAATTTTTTTTACTAAGGAGTGGTCAAAAATTTTTTTTTGTAGTTTGGCTTTTTTTTTATTGATAAATAGGACTAGAGCAAAAAAATGGAGCTAGGACTAGGGCGTTGAACATTATTACAATTATAACATATTACATATACACCCACATCATTAAAATTCCACATTTTTTGCACAATCTATGGTTTTTTTATTTGTTGCAATTTCGAGTTGATCTTCAAATTTCATTGCCTCATTTACATTTGAATCGATTGTCGTTCGAAACGCATCATTTCACATTGTTTCTTAGTTTTAGCTTACGATAATACAAATTTAAACTAATGTTCTACACCATGCGGGTCAAGGTGTTCGCTGATGGGAAACTGTAAGTTATGGCTGGGAAATTTATAAGGAGGGGGGGAACTTAAGATTGAAAAAGCCATTTTGCCTTTTATAAAGTAGAAAAACAGGGTAGGGCTGGTTTTTTTAAAAAATTGGGCGGGGTAAAAAAATTTTGGGGGTGGATTCTTAATTTTTTTTAATTTTAGGATATAGATGAACGGGGAGGGTAGTACGGTTTTTTTGTCAAAAAAAAGAGTTGTTAACAAAAAGTTAAGCGGAGTAAAAAAATTTTTGTGAAGTAAAAAAATTTTTTTTTAATTTTATATAAAAATTTTTAAAAAAAGATATAAAGGATGTTTGTTTTGTTCCAAAAATTTGCGTTTAATCTAATCCAATAAGTAGAAGGCGATTAAAATATATTATAAATCTTTTCGCGCGCCCCATGAATCACTAAAAGTTCTCGGACTAGTGAAATCGCAAATAAAAATATTTGCACTGGGGAAGACAGCCGGTTCATTTTAAGAACGTCATCTGTAAATAAAATTTTGGGTTCGTCTTATTTTTGATAGGTATAGGGCTAGAGGTAGGCTAGGGCGCTGGGACTAGGGCTCCTCCGAAACTAGGACTCCTCTGAGGCTAGAACTCCTTTGAGGCTAGAGCTCCTCTGAGGCTAGGGCTCTTCTGTGGCTAGGGTTCTGGGCTAGGGCTCTGGGCTAGGGCTTTGGGCTAGGGCTCTAGGCTAGGGCTTCTCTGAGGCTAGGGCTTCTTTGAGACTGGAGCTCCTCTTGGGCTAGGTCTCTCCGGCTAGGGGTCTGAGGCTAGGACTCCGTTGGGGCTTTTGGGGTTAAAGCTCTTAAGCTCAAATGCGAGATCTAAGGCTAAACAAAAGCCAAAACTAAAGCCTAAGCATACGTTTAAGCTTAATCCTAAGCTTACTTTTAAGCTTATAACAAAGTTTTAGCCTAAGTTCAAGTTAGAGCCAAAGCCCTGGCCGCAGTCAAAGTTATGATAAGCCTATGCCTTATACTGAGCTAAAGCTAAAAAATATAAGCCTAGTTCTCAAGGTTTAGCCTACTACCCCATCGAAATTTTTTAAATGGCGAACTAGCAAAGAAAAACCACTTTTGTTAAGCATATCGAAAAGTCAGATGTTTCGTGCGTATTTTATGGCGCCGCATTTTAAACAGTCTGGAGATAAGGAAGGGCTAAAAATAATTCAGAGACAGTGCTTTAAAAGGATCGTCACAGCATTTTAAATATTTTTATAACATTCTTTTAAAATTTTTAAACATACTTACATTTCAAATTTTCATTTTTTTTAAAATTCTTTTTAATGTATAGGCCAATTGTTTTAACCAAATTTAAATAAACTACTTGAAATCTTACAAAACCTTGACTTTCAGGTTTTTGTAACAAGTTTTTCGAGGTTTATGGCGACTTTTCGAATGCGTTTTTGTGCTTTTCTTTCTCACGGTATCTTACAAAACGTCATTTTATTTGATTTACCTTGAGCTAGACTTTAGGATTTTCTTAAGGGTTTTTTAGGGTTTGCAGGCTTTTTAGATTTACAATCAGGTAGAACTTTAAATTTTATTTTTAAAGATTTGAGCTTATCTTTGGGCTTAGAGTTGAGAGTTTTGGCTATTAGGTTTCTTTTTGGTTAAAGTTAGGCTTTTTGTAGCTTTAGGTTTAGTAGGCTTAGACATAGCGAACGTAGGTTGACGAGACGTTGGTCTGTTCTATAACTGAGGCTTAAGAAGCTTAGGTTTTAGGTTCATTCTCTAGCTAAGGGCTTAGGCTCAGGCTTAGGTTTAGGCTCAGTCTCAGGCATAGGCTTAGGCTTAGGCTTAGGCTTAGGTTTAGGCTTAGGCTTAGGCTTAGGCTTAGGCTTAGGCTTAGGCTTAGGTTTAGGCTTAGGCTTAGGCTTAGGCTTAGGCTTAGGCTTAGGCTTAGGCTTAGGTTCATGCTCAGGCTCTGGCTTGGGCTCAGACATAGGCTCAGACTTAGGTTCAGGTTTAAGCTCAGGCTTCGACCCAGGCTCAGGTTTGCGCCGAGGCTTAAGCTCAATCTTAGGCTTAAGCTCCTTTTCAAGCTTAAGCTTAGGCTCATGCTCAAGCAAAGGCTCAGGCTTACTCTCCAGCTTAAGCGGGGAATACGGCTATCTTTAGTTCTTTTTTTAACTCACTAGGGTGTTCACATAATCGTGTGCTCCAACCGCGAAAATTCGCTTTGAAGGGGCACAGAATTTTGTGAATAACCTAATATGACAAAATTTGTTTTCACTTTCGCAAAACAAATTAGCTATTTATATATGCAAGAATTCCAATTCCGTGAGGATGGGCTATAAATTTCTTTATTTATAAATTCCGAAATGCGATTCCGTAGTCGCTTTCCTCTCCTCCAAATTGTTTCATGTTGTTTTTTTTTCGGGGCGGATGTTTTTCGAAATTGAAATTGGGGAGCGGCTTTTTGGGGGAGGAATTTGAGAAGATTCTCGGGATTCTTCTCACGCAAATGCGCTAATTTTTGCGTTTTTCAAGCTTCTACGGCATTTTTTATAGCTTTTTAGGGTTTTAAAAGAGGTAGGGCAGGGAAGGGTGATAAGATTTGAAAAAAGGGTAAGGTAGGGTAAGGTGAAAAGATTTGGAAATTAGTGTAGATTATTGAAAATAGGGTAGGTTTTTCATGGGCAGGGGTAAATCTTAATTTTATGAAAAGTAGGCTAGCTAGGGGTACGCCAGGATTTTTGATGTTAGGGTAGATTTCCTAAAGATAGGGCAGAATTTGTAATGGCGAGGAATACTTTGTAAGGGTAGGGTAGGGTTTTAGAAGGCAAGGTCGGTTTTGTAAAAGCAGGGCAGATTTTTTAAGCTTGGAGTAGCATTTTAGAAGTTGGGTAAAGTTTTTTAAATTGGGGTAGACTTTTGAAAGTTAGGGTAGATTTTTGATGATAGGGCTGGTTTTTCTTTGGCAGGACAAATTTTTTAAGGTCAGACAGGTTTTTTGAAATTGAGGTAGTTTTTTTGAAGGTTTGTAAGTACAGGGTAGTTTTGTTGAAGAACGAGGCGGAAGGATAGGTTAGAACTTTTAAAACCAGCTGATTTTGACTTTTATTACCTTGACTAGCAGCTTGTTAACAAGTTCGCGATTTTACGCATAAAATGCGTAAATCAAGCAAGCTTTGTTAACAAAAGCTATAAAATTAACCTTTCTAGCTGTTTTTAGCTACTCATTTTGGGTTTTACGTAACAACATTTTGAAAAATTGAAAAAAAAATATTTTTTTATTTTTTAAAAAAAATTTAAAAAATTTTAAAATTTCGAAAAATCTGTTGAAAAGCCCAAAATTCACTTTGAAAAACAGATGTAGTGCCATTTGGGATGATAAAGTTGGATTTTATTCGAATTGAGTGTAATAAACTGCCTTATTGTCTAAAGGTCTCCCACCGAGTTTTCGATTCCTTTGTTTAAAAATTTTTATTCGAGATTTAACGGCTTTAAAACATCTGCGAATTTTTATCATTTTTCAACTTTGGGTGGCTATCTTGGGGGTTACTGTATTTTTTTTTTTAATTTTTGGAAGTCTTATACTAATTTCTGGTTCTTATTGTAGCACTGCCGGAAACTTTTAATTTTTTGGTGGTCTAAGGCTCTATAAAGAAGCCTAAGGCTCTAGAAATAAGCCTAAGGCTCTAGAAATAAGCCTAAGGTTCTAAAAAGAAGCTTAAAACTCTAGAAAGAAGCATAAGGTTTTCTAAAGAAGCCTAAGACTCCAGAAAGAAGCCTAAGGCGTTAGAAAGAACTTTAAGGTCTTACAAAGAAGTTTAGTGCTACAGAAAAAACCTTAAGGCTTTAGAAAGAAGCCTCAGACTTTACAAAAAAACCTAAGTTTCTAGTATAAAGCCTACGGTTTTAAAAAGAAGCCCAAGGCTCTAGAAAGAAGCCTAAGGCTTTAGAAAGAAGCCTAAGGCTTTAGAAAGAATCCTAAGGCTTTTAAAAGGCGTCTCAAACTCTAGCAAGAAGCTTAAGGCTTCTCTTATAAGCCTAAGGGTTTTTTGAAAGTTCAAGGCAACTTTTTATAAAAAACTAAGGCTTCTCTTTGATGTTTAAAAGATCCAATAGAAGCTTAAGACTTGCATTTGAAGAAGCTTAATGTTTTAAAAGAAGTCTAAAGTTTAGAAAGAAGCCTAAGATCCTAGAATGAAACTTAAGACTTCTCTGAAGTTTAAAACTTCTGTTCAAAACCTTAGACTTTTTTTCAAAGCCTAAGACGACCTGTTACGTATAGAAGCCTAAATCATTAAGCCAAAGCTGTCAAAGCCTTAAAGTTTTTTTTTGCCTTAAAAGTAAAAAAAAACTACTTAAAATTTTATTTAAATTTCAAAACAGCCATTTTATAATCGATCTAATTTCAGGATAACAGCAACCCCGTCCAAGATGAAGCGCGCTCAATCCAAACAGAATGGGGCGGTGGGTATGGAGGAGAAATCCGCCCTACAACACGCCAAGAACTTCCTACGCCGCCTCTACAACACGTCGACATTCAGGTTGAAACAGGAGAAGAATGGCAAATCGACCAAAGTTATCGACCCGGCTGAGCGTTTCAAAACTGCGACTAGTCCGTTCTATGAAATGAGGTGGGTTTTTTTAAATGTTTTGGGAAGGGGGAGGGTGTTTTTTTAAAAAAAATTATTTGGGGGGGGGGATTCAGAAAATTTTTTTTATTTTTGGGGGAGGGAGGTTCAAAAATTTTTTAATGTTTTTACTAGGTAATTGTGGATGCAGTAGGCAAGGTTACTGTAACAATTTTTTTTGTAAACTACGACTAATAGTTCGTTATTGGTCTAAAGTAGGCTTAGCAGCTTATTACTGTAATATTTAGTAGAGTCTTGCAGAAAACTCTCTAGACTAGTCTTCTAGAGCTATAAAATGAGCAATAGGTCATAACTCTCTTCCATATGTTTGTTTCCCTTGGATTTAGCGATGTTTCTTTGAAATGACCGTTGCATCTTCTTTTTAGAACAGATTGTAGTAATAACTTGTTAGATAAAGTAGGGCAGTGGCAAGGGCAAGGTAGTGGGACGTGTAGGGTAGTAACAAGGATATGTCAGTTGTAAGGTTAGGGTAGTGACAAAGGTAAGGTAGTGTCGTGGGTGGGGTAGTGACAAGTCTAGAGTAGTGTTAAGGATAGAATACTAACAAGGGTAGGATAGTGGCCAGGGTAAGGCAGTGCTAATGGTAGGGTATTGTCAAGGGTAGGGCTGTGACCAGAGCAATATAGTGGTAAGTGTAGGGTAGTAGCTAGGGTATAGTAGTGACAAGCTTAAAGTAGTGGCTGGGGTAGGGTTGTAGAAAGAGTGGCAAGGGTCGGGAAGTGGCAAGGGTGAGGATGTGACGAGAGTGAGGTAGGGGCAAGGGTAGGGCAGTTGCGAAGGTAGGTTAGTGGCAAGGGTAAGGCAGTGACAAGAATACTGTAGGGTAGGGTATGGTAGGGTAGTAGGGTAGGATAGGGTAGGGTAGGGTAGGGTAGGGTAGGGTAGGGTAAGGTAGGGTAGGGTAGGGTAAGGTAGGGTAGGGTAGGGTAGGGTAGGGTAGGGTAGGGTGGGGTAAGGTAGGGTAGGGTAGGGTAGGGTAGGGTAGGGTATGGTAGGGTAGGGTAGATACTTTTTTTCTTCACTCAAATTACCACTTTCAGTTTTATCAGCTGCCATAACAACTTAATCACTTAAAGTCTAGAATTACTTTCTAATTTTAGTTTTTTGCTGAAAACAAAAATCACATCAGAAAATTCGACCAATTTTTAGTCATTTTACGATTAGTCAGTCAAATCGATCTTGTTGACTTGGAAAGAAAAATTAATAGATCTTTCTTGGTTTATAAACTTGCTTTTTTAAATTTAAAAAAAAATTTTTTGCGATGAAGGGGTGAGGCATGAAACTTTTTTTTCAGTTGGGAGAGGGAGATGGCCAAGAAATTTTTTTTGAGGTAGCAGGGGAGGGGGAATAGACAAAAAAAATGTTTAATAGTAGAGGCGGGCATGGGTAAAAATTTTTTTTTAATTTTTGTGGCAGAAAGGGCGGGTTATTAATTTTAAAAAATATTTTGAGGGCAGGGTAAAAAAATTTTTAATAGTAGAGGCGGGCATGGGTAAAAATTTTTTTTTGATTTTTGTGGCAGAAAGGGCGAGTTATAATTTTAAAAAATATTTTGAAGGCAGGGTAAAATTTTTTTAACGTGGGCCCTTGTAGATTTTTGGAAAAAATTTTTCGCAAAAAATCGGCACAGGTAGCAGCTACCCCTCCGCTATAACGAACCTCCCGTATAACAAACAGTTTTTAAGTCCCCGATCAACACTAACAAGTGCATTTAAAACTCCTCTATCGAACCTATTTATAACAAACAAATTTCAAGTCCCCGAGCGATTTGTTATCAGGCTTGGACACAGGGCAGGGCATTGGCAAATTTCCATGCTCTGCACTGTGCCCTGCAATGCCCTGCCCTGTACAGGGCATTGGGCTTTTATGCCCTGCCCTGCCCTACCCTTGCTCTGCAGGGCATCAGGGCATTTACAGGGTATTTACAGGGCGTTTGGGTATATTTTGGCGGACGCCTCCGCCGAGTGGTCGATAATCGGCGGACGTCATAACTTGGTTAGTTTAGCAGCTAGAAAAATTTAGTAGTGCAGAAGTTGTTATCTGTCATAAACTACACATTAAGCCAGAAATTTATGTTTTTGAAAACAATATTGTTATCGACCGGTCGATAATTTACAAATGTTTAATTTTTACAAAAAACAAAGTTTTTTGCTTAGAATTGTATCTAATGCAATTTCTATACAATTTAGAACAACAGAGCGATAAGAATATATATAAAATTTGCAATTAAAATATACTAAAAATTATCAAAATCCAAGCCTGTTTGTTATACAGGAGTTCCACTGTACTTTTTTATTAGACAGGTAAAAAACGTTTTTTTATAAAAAAACGACCATTTATTACCAAAAGCAACTGTTTTAAAAGTGCCAAAGTTATTTGCAAGATTAGTCTTTGGAATCTTTTTTTTTTCTGAGAAGGAACAAAAAAAATTGACCTGGTCAATAGGAACAGAGAAATATAACCAAGCCACTGTTTTCTGAGAGTAAGGAGCGGCCGAACCGAAGGGCATTTTAAACCCTAAGGCCGTTTTTTACTTAATAGAGGTCCCGGGCCTGATTTTTGAAAAGGCTAGGCTGGTTTTTGAGCCGTTTGAATTTGTTTTGTCCTAGCCCTGTTTCACCCGGCTTTAAGGCCCGGATTCACCGTCCAACCATTGATTCCTGCCTTGAGTAGTTTTTTTATGACGTTTTGAGTGGTAAATTGTGTACTGGGCGTATTTTACCTTGATGAATATACTTTGCATTATTTAAAATTTTTGTTGTTTTAGATAATTATCTAACCTAAAATTCAAATATTGACTATAGTATGGTCAAGACACATCCATTCAGTTGCTTTTGCATCGGCAAAAGGTTTGGTCTTTAGCTTCATTATCAGTAGTTTTATATCAAAGTACTCTATTTAAAAACTAGTATGGTAGTGCAGGGTAAATTAGAGTGATACTTAAGCGATTTTAAAAAAAAATTTTGGGCGGGGTAATTTAATAAATTATTTTTTGGGGGTGGATTTTTAAAATTTTTTAGTATAAAGTAAATATCGTTAAGAAAACTGAAAAATACCAAAAAATTGGGCGGGGGTAATTTTTCCAAAAAAATTTTTTGGGGGCGGATTTTTAAAATTTTTTAAAATTTTTACAAATATTATATTAAATTTAATTTTTAGACTTCCCCAACCAGAAGAACGTCCCTTCCTACCCTACAACATTCGCTATGAAGTTGAAGACGAAGCCGAAAGCTACGCCGAAGAAACCAGCGGCTACATGGAAGAAGACAGTAGCGTCCTCTACAGCAACTCCCACCTCCTCAACACTCCCGCTTCAACAAGCTCGGGATCTTCAGCCCTAAATCATTCGGACGAAGGGGTGTTTAGTGGTGGTGAAGATGGCTCCACCGTGTCATCCAGCCGATCCGACCGATCGTTTTCGAACATTTTGTCCACAAGTCGATCACAACCTCAAACTGCGGTAAATCGACCGAATTCCGGAATGTCTACGGCTTCATCGACAGCTTTGAATTCGGTTTTGTCCACTTCATCGATTAATTCACCGGCTGTTAATGCGAAGCGAAATGTCACAGAGAAAATCGATGAAAATGATGTTAAGTTTAAGAACTGGAATCAGCTGTTTGAGCATTTAAGGAAGGAAATTGTGAGTTTTATAATTAAAAAATGAAAAAATTCATCTTAAATCACTTTTAAAACGACATTTTAAAACTGTTTTACAACATTTTTAACAGAAAATAGACTTTTTTTAAATTATTAATTTTTTGTGACATTTTGTCACTTTTTTTCCAATACTTTTTAAAATTATGAAAAATTGTGTTTACAGCATATGGTAATGTGTATAAACGCATTTTAACACAATTTTAGCAATTTTTTATTTTGTGGCACTTCGTTACATTTTTCCAATAATTTTTAAAATTACGAAAAAAATGGTTTTTGACTTGTGTTAATGTATATAAATTATATGTATATAAGGCATTTTAACACAATTTTAACAATTTTTAATTTTGTGAAACTTCGTGACATGTTTCATTAAAGCCGGATTTTTTCAAACAAAGGTTACTGTTGCAAAGGAAACCGTAAAAAATCGTATTTTACATTCAGTTTTAATTTTTAAAGCAGTGTTGACATTTTTATTTCCACTTGTACTAAAGTTGTGACATTATTTACTAAGGTTATGACGATATTTATAAATTTCAGACCGAAATGAGGGCACGAGACAAGGAAATCCTGGAGAACCTGATGACAATCGAAGAGGAAATCCGAGTGGTCAAACACAATCAGGCTGTTTAAACATGAATCTCTAAAACGAAATCTTTGAAATTGGAATTTTTTTTTGTAAAATGGGTTATGTCCAGTCTCGGACAAATGTTATGTCTGTCACCATTATGAAAACATTTTTTTTGTAAAATACATTACTTAGAATTTACTTTCGAAATTTCAAAATTTTGTGCAAAATCGAATTTAAAACCTTTATATGACAAATATCAAGATTGTTATTGTCACTTTAATTCATCCCAGTGTATATTACCCTACCCTTTGTTTCATTTTTGTTGTTAGCTTTACTGTATTATATATATGAATCGATTTTATTTGTAAACAAAGTTATTGCAGAATAAATAAAAATTATTATAATGAAGGGCTGCTGAGTCTCGTATTTTACATTGTTGTAAACCCAAAAAAAATTTTTTGATATGATAGAATAAAATGAAATATACAAGTTGAAAACTATGGTCACCTTATGGTTAGAGTAAGACCGAAGTAGATGCTGTTGTATACGTAGGTTTAAAGTAGTATTAATCTCGGGTAGGGCTACAGTACAGCAATATGAAACTAAGGTTAGATAAGATAGAGTAGGTAGGTAAGTTTAGGGTAGGGTAGAGTAAAATAAGGTAGTGAAGTTTTTTAAGTTTAAATTTGCGCTCGCAAGAAAAATGAAGGTTAATCTACTATAATCTGCAATTTTAACTTGCGATTTACTTGTTTTGAATTCAGTTTAAAAAAATTTTACTTTTTTAAATTTTTGTTTGGTAAGAGTTATTTAACTTGAAGTACTGTATTTCTTCTAAACTACAGTTTGATTTTTTGTTTATCAGAAGCATGAATATAGTACTACTAACTCTAAGTGTATCAAACACTCTCATATTTACTTTATTCGTCTATTATGTTCCGATAATCATACAAAAGCTATCTGAGATTGACCAGTTTGTCAAGGTTGAAATCAATGACATTTCTGGCTTGCACAATTCTGCTTGGTAGGTCATATCATAATTTTTAAAATTTTTAGTAAATTTGTTTTTTAATTTAAACACTTTTTGTAGTCAGCACAACCTCCAAAGCCAGAAATTTAAATGTAATGTCAAGCAGTAAATACTTGACTTGAGTATTATTATATAATACAAAGTTGGAAAAGATACTTTTGTACAAGATATTGTAGGCGGTTGCTACAAAAAACAAAGTCGTTCAATAGCAGAAGAGACAAAAGAGCAACTTCAACTCAATGCTTTTGTGACGTATACAACAATTGTCCTAGCGGTGCACCGGGCAAAGCTGGTGCTGCTGGGTTGGATGGATTTCCTGGTAAGACTTAGTCTGGCTTTAAAACCCTGTCCTGCCTTTGCCTTGCCTTTGCCATTGCCTTGACATTGCCTTGCCTTTGCCCTGCCTTTGCCCTGCCTTTGCCCTGCCTTTGCCCTGCCTTTGCCCTGCCTTTGCCCTGCCTTTGCCCTGCCTTTGCCCTGCCTTTGCCCTGCCTTTGCCCTGCCTTTGCCCTGCCTTTGCCCTGCCTTTGCCCTGCCTTTGCCCTGCCTTTGCCCTGCCTTTGCCCTGCCTTTGCCCTGCCTTTGCCCTGCCTTTGCCCTGCCTTTGCCCTGCCTTTGCCCTGCCTTTGCCCTGCCTTTGCCCTGCCTTTGCCCTGCCTTTGCCCTGCCTTTGCCCTGCCTTGCTCTACTGTATTCTTTTAGGCCTTCCAGGAGCCCCAGGCTCACGTGGCCTAGCCGGCAACTACCCTCAAATCAATATTGATCACATAGACAAATGTCGTATATGTCCATATGGGCCAGAAGGCAAAGAAGGGCAACGAGGACCAGCAGGCTCTATCGGTGTACCAGGCTCACGAGGTTTACCTGGTGACAACGGTCGACCAGGCAAACAAGGTCAAGCAGGATCTGAAGGCATATCTGGTATACCTGGATTTCCAGGCAAAACTGGTCCAACTGGTGACAAGGGTCGTGATGGTACTATTGGTCGAAAAGGGCGACCTGGCAATCCAGGAGCACGTGGACTAGCTGGTAAACGTGGAGAACCTGGAAAGCCTGGGGAAACTGGGCTCCCTGGACCTATTGGACTAGCTGGTAGAGTTGGTAGAAGAGGTGAAGCTGGCAATGCTGGTCAAAGTGGCATACCTGGCACTCCGGGCAGGAAGGGGCTGCCGGGGATGGACCAGCTGTACTGTAAATGTCTTAGAAGAAACTTTGCTTTTAACGAACTTAAGAGTGTCAATATACCACAACCTTATTTTTTAAAGGTATAATTCTCAACTTAAGGTGAATATAAACGTTTTTAAAGACGTTTTGCAGAGTTTCGAAAATACTGATTTTTTGTGACATTTAGTCCACTTTTCCAATAAAAGGAAAAAAGGCTTAAAATCACACAATATGTTATTATTTTAATAATTATATCATAGGCGCTTATGTAGACCAACCCCCCGCTTTGTGAAGTATAGCCCCCAACCATTATAGATACTTTAGCCCCCCATAATGAAAAATGAAAATAAATTATTTTGTGTTTTGAAGTTGTTACTGCCGGGTTGTTTTTTTTTTTTTTTATATACAGTCAGTCATTATTGTGATTTTCAAGTTTGTGACATTTCGTTAACATTTCAAAAAATTGTTAAATTTTAGCTAAATTTCATAAATTATTACTTAAACATAAAAAATTTAATAAAAATTGTTTACTTTTATTTGAATTTAACGGTTTTTAACATTCTGAAAAAAAATTATGGTTGTGACACTTCGTCTACTTTTCCAATAATTATCAAATTTTGAAAATTTTATTAAAATTCCTAAAGTAATCAAAACCAAATTACATAATTTCCTGTACTAACCAAAACCCTACAAATTCGAAACCCTTTGCTTTTTAAACACTGCTCAAAACTTCGAAATCCTAATTAATCTACCACGATTCGTGTCGTCGTGGACGTTACGGTAGTTGTCTTTGTTGTGACCTCAAGAAGATTATCCCTTTATTCGAAAATCATTTTTCGTTTGAAACTTTAATTTGTGTGCGTAGTTCCGCCCGATTATTGATGAGTAAATTGTCGGATTTGGAGAAATTTACGCATTTCGAAATTAAATTTTGAATAGTGTTGAACTAGAAGAGTACAAAAGATTATGGTTTGGCAATGTTGAAACCGGATGTGAAATTGTTTGATGATCAGAGCTAGTGAAGTGGGGCAGCGTAGGGTAGAGTAGGGTAGGGTAGGGTAGGGTAGGGTAGGGTAGGGTAGGGTAGGGTAGGGTAGGGTAGGGTAGGGTATGGTGGGGTAGGGTAGGGTAGGGTGGGGTAGGGTAGGGTAGGGTAGGATAGGGTAGGGTAGGGTAGGGTAGGGTATTTTTTAATGCACCGACGCCATCATTATGTAATTTTAAAACTTTATTTCGTATTCAAAATGAGATCAATATAAAAAAATTAAAATGTCATGTTATGATGTACAATTTTATGATATATCTGTTTTTAAAAATAATATGTAGTATCACGGGGATATTGTTGATGTGTTAAGAAGAAAACAGTCGTTTTTAAACAGAGCATAGGTTATGTAGATGCTAGTTTTTATTACTATACAAAAAGTAGACGGTTTAGATATTGATTACAATAAAAAATAACTGTAAGTACAATGGTTATTTATATAAGGTGGAACTGATGTAAAACAATCACTGCTATAACGAGTTGCGAGATTTACAAGTTGTTATAAAAAGGTTTTGTTATACAGTTGTCCCAATGCAAGCAGTTTAAAAATCAGGTTTAATAAATATTATGTTCTAGGCAAAGTAATATCTACGTAACTAAATGGAATGTAGTAAAAGCCTTTAAACTTTTGTGTAATATTTCAAATCTTTCAAAAACTAATTAATTTCTTAGATTTTGAATTAAATGTCATTATAATTAATTAATTACTACGTATTATGCAAAGAAAATGTAATTGTGCTACACACATTGTATATTAGTTAATTGTGTAAAAAATTTCCACACAAAACCCACAATAAAAACACACAGTTAATGCTATGGCTAATCGTCTCTATTGATACAAACAATGGTAATAAATGATAATAGAAATAAACCTTAATTTTTAATTTTACTGAGACAAAGTATTTTACAAGATTATAATTAAATTAGCAAATACTTGCATTAAGATTTGGTGACGCTTACCTTAACATAAGCCATAATATAATAAATGTTACCATAATGAAAGTTTGGTTGTGTTTTGTCATGTCAAAGAAGTAATGAACATGTGTGTAGAGGTGCTGGAGTCAACGGTAATAGACAAGAGAAGTAAATTTTTGAATAAAAGTGATAGAGTTATCTTTTGCAAGTAAAATAACTATGATCGACTTTTACGATCACATACGGCCTGAAGCGCTGTATCTGTGGAGACATGCACCGGGAAGATAGAAGCCGCAGCAGCAGTATCTTCATAGTTTCTTTACCCAGTGTTCGTTGTCAACAGGAATCTGCGGCATCGGTTTCTGAAATAACGAAAATGTATACTTAAATATAAACTTAGTAAAAGTACAGCTCATACAGAATTTTTACGTCTTCATGTGTTAGTACCGCAGAACGTCTACATGCAGGGTGCGCCAATAGAAAAAACGACCGGTAAAGTTTTGTAACAGAACTTTTGGCGCACCTTGTAACGAAACCCCCGTATTACGAACAACTTTTGAATCTCGGCGAGCACTACGCAGTTCATTTAAACCTTTGTATAACGAAACCTATTTATAACGAACAAATTTTAAATTTTCTGGAAATTCGTTATAGATCCCCCTTGTGGATTTTTTGGAAAAAAAATTTTTGCTAAAAATTCCCACAGGAGACCAAAAGTCGCCGCTTGGGCCTGGCTGCTGGTATCACAACACCTTGTCACAACAAACAATTTTAGAACCTCTTTGCGATTTGGTATATCAACCGTTTACTGCAGCTGTGCTTTTCTTCGGTTTGATATCTTACCTTAAGATGACCATGAGATGGCCCAAGTGTCGGCTTTTTGCGTTTAATTTTGTAACTCCAGCCTCTGGTGCTCTGACCTCTTCTGGACACTTTGGGATGTGCTTGTCCACTTCGCACAGATTCTCGTTATAGTGAAACTTTTGTTATTGAGGACTCTCGTTGTCTCGTCCAACCCGCACAACTTCCAATGTACAGTACTATAGATTCCAATGTACAGTTCTATAGATTCCAATGTACAGTAATATTATGTAATGATTATGTAGTAAATGTTCGTGAAGATAATACTGTAAATTTTTGCAAAAACGTCGCAGTAATCTTTGGTAAAATAAACACAAGTTGTCAAACAATTAGTAATAAATACTGATGATGTTCTAAAGCGAGGGCTGTGAGACCAATGTGTACGGCATCCGCTTGTCCAGACTGATATTACTCATCGCATTCTTTAGTCCGTCTGACTGGTTATTGTTAGCTCTCAGCAGGATGTTGAGTAGGCTTTCGTTATTCATAACTTCAGGTTTTAAAATTGGCGGATTACAATAAATCATGTCGTTGGTTGATACTACAGTTTCTTCAGATGATAGGGTTGGGATTACTGTAAAAGGGTCCGTGGGACAAAGTGTAGGAAGTACTGTAGTTGTAGTTTGTTCTGATGATGGTACTGTAGATTTAGTTTGTTCTGCTAAAGGTACTGTAGTTTTAAGTTCTTCTAATGATAATGCAATTGCTTTTGGCTCTTCTGATGCAATTACTGTAGTTGTAGGTAATTCTGACAAAAGAATGGGAAGTCGCGATGTTGAAAAACTCTCTGAACAAAAAGTACTAAGACCTTTAGCTTCATCATGGCTGTTGCTTTTAGTCGTGGTTTTTAAAGCAGTGTCTGAAGTCGGAACATCCTTTAGTGGCTTTGGTACTGGCCTGTATAAGGGAAGATCGAACATTCTGGCCGTACCATCATCTTCGGCACTACCATTACCATTTGTAAACCTCATGTCCTCTTCACAGTTGTTATTTTTGTCTTTCCTTGAGATTTCTTCCAACTGTTTTATATTCAACAGCATAGCCAATGGCGAGCCGTCGAACGGTATGCCATTCACGGTGAGCTGCTTTTGCTGACTTTGTATAGACGCACATTGTTCTTCAGAAGCATTGACATCTACGGGCTCTTCAAGAAGCCCTGGTAGCTCTTCTTGAACTTTGGGTAATTTGGAATCTTCAGGTGACAAATCTCTTAAAAGAACATCTGAAGAGTCTTTGAGGTCATTTGGAAGAGTTTCAGATGAGCTGCTGACATATTGTTGACCTTGTGCATTCCACGTCTCCACACTGTTTTTAATAATGTTAGCATACACATTAGGGTCTAGGGGTACTGCTGGAGTTAAAGTAGTTGGTTCTTCTTCTAACTCTTGACTTCCTTTATTGCCAGCCCTTGTCACTTCATTTACTTCACTTTTTCCTTCACTCACCTGCCCAAACCTCAGGTTTTGTTGCAAAAACTGTTGGTTTAACATCATTGTCTGTAGATAATTTGGAAGCTTTGGAATGTGTTGTTGTTGTAACCCTTGCCTTTGTGGAAGAGTGATTGCATTTTGAGCAAACATAGGGTTTACAGGTCCAGTAGGATTGATTGTCGCTTGTACTGGTAACGTAGGTGTGACCGTGGCATGTACTGGTAACGTAGGCGTGACCGTCTGTTGTAATGGTAACGTTGGTCGGTCGGTCGCTTGTAATGGTAACGTTTGCTGGACAGCGAAAACTGGCTGCAGCGTAGGCAATAGCTGCTGAGGTGTAGTAGGTGCTGATAGCTGAGGCATGACATTTTGCAAGCCAGGTCCTAGCATTCCGCTTAAAAGAGCAGCAAATGGTATGCCACTAGTATTGTTGAAAATATTCTCCATGTCGTGTCCAGTAGCATTTTCAGGCTTAAAATTTCCTGTAAAGTTGCCAAGTTTAAAGTTGTCTAGTTCTGTTTGATATGCCATGTTTTGTCGTAAGAGTTGATCAATAGGCAAATAGCTGGTACTGGGCTCATTTTGATGCGGCGACAACGAGTTTTGGCGGCTTTGATTTGGCAATGAGCCGGTTTGAAAGTCGGGTGATTGGCCTGGACTGTGGTGGAGGGATGACGTACTCGGAAGGGAGTGGGCTGTGACTGAAATTTGTGGAATTAGGGTAGGGTACGGTAGGATATGGTACGTCACGGTAGGTTAGACAAGGTGTTAAACTTACAACAAGATAATCGTCCAGGATCACTGTTCTCATCGTTGCGATCGTTGAATTTTGGGTTTTTGCACATCCAAGGCCTTCTGATGGGGTACTCAAACACTTCCGACCTCCTTTTACGGTTAATATTTTGCCGATATGTCACTACAGTTTGGCACTGAAATGCACATTAATTAGTTTTTGATATTTTAAAACTGAAAATGCTTTTAACTTCCTTTAAAATGTTGTAGCAACTACTTCAAATGTTGCCTAAAGTTCTAATCTTCTTAGTCACGAAATTGTGCCATTTTTACAAAAAATTTACTTTACACTATTGAAAACACGAAAAATAACTGAGCTTTTTGTTGATCAATTAGTAATATTGACCTGCTCGTTGATAGATCAAACTTTGACGAGAAAACCCTCTTTGAACGATCTTTTTTTGGGGGGGGGGGGGGGGGGTGGGGTGTTTTTTGAAATCAATTTTTGTTGGAAGAGGTTTTTTTGAAAGGGGAAAGCGTGTTAATATTTTTTTTATGTTTAGGCCTCATAATACCATACCTTCATTTAAATTCAAATGCCTTCACCTTTTCTCAAATACCGTCTCCTCTCTCATTTACTCTCACATGCCCTTACCTACTCTCACTTACCCTCACCTACTCTCACTTACCTTCACCTACTTTTAATTACTCCGACCTACTCTACTCTATCCTTCCATACTTTACCATACTCTACCTAAAAAATGTTTCTTGATGTACCACCTGTATTATATATCATCAAATACAAAAAACTTAAAAACAAAAGTCAAAAGTCTTAGTACGGTGTACTCAACTCAAAAATATTATTTTATTTCATGCTCTTTGGCTTTTCAAAACATAATTTATCTTTGCTACAGTACTCTTTTACTACAAAAAACCTTTTCTTCAGAAAAACATATTTTTCCTCTTGAAAAATGATACTTCCTGACCCTATTTTCTTATAAAAAAATGTGTTTTGTATTGTTTTTGTTCAAATTTTAAAGCTATAGTTTATCATAAAGCTATAGTAATGTATCTTAAAACTATAAGAATGTACCTTGAAACTATAGAAATGTAAAAGAAAACTATAAGAATGTATTCCACAACTTCGTTTCAAAGTTACAAAACCACTTCCTAAGGCTACAAACCGTTTATAATGTATTATAATGGCGTTTCTAATATGAAATTGTAATAGATTTTAGTAAAAACTTGTTAACATTAAGCTGACAAAACAAAGAACAAGGATATTGTAGGTATACCTACTAGGTATAGCAGCATGTTTTTGTTGTTTAATGCTAATTATAGTTAACTACGTAGCATGGCTTCGTTATTTTACTTACAAAATTACTTACAACATGTAGGGACGTCGTTTGGGGGAGGGGTAGGGGGTGGTACCCACTCCCCCAGAGTCGATCCGAAAAAAATTCCACAGGTAAGGTACCTGTACGCAAAAAAAAGAAAAAAAATTTTTTTTTGGAAAATCGGTCGACAGGTACCTACCTGTAGACGAAAAACGTTTTTCCGGCCTCCCCCTCCTTCAGAGAAAATCCGTAACGACGTCCCTGACAACATGTCATGTTGCTTATACCATACAATCAAGGTTGTTATGTTACCACAAAAATTGTTATGCAACACTTTGCGTACAATAAAATAGAGACACTTATCTATACTTATATTTACCATTCTTTGTAGTAGCACATTGTCAAGTACGCATAATTTATCATTAAGATATGTTATGTATGTGAAACTTGCCATTAGGTAATTTTAAGTAGCTTAACATAGTTATTAATGAAAAAAATGTTTTTGTGGCAAAACAATATATTATACATGAAGCTTGTTTTTGTAGTTTTGTGCTCCAAACCGAGTTGTTATTATCTACAGTATGACAAAAAAGAACGTTTTGGTTTGAAAAACAAAAGATTGTAGTGGCTACTGTAATTAGGAGGTTCTGGTCTTAACTTTTTTTACATAAACATTTATGGCCAATTTAGTGAAAGAGGGAGGGGGAGGAGGAGAAGAGAGAGATAGAAATGCTAGATCGAGCTTTCGGGCCGGGCTCAAGCAAAATTCCGGCGGGCCAGTTCTAAAGTTGTCGACATGCAGGTAAGTCTCAAGACCCGGAAAATCATAACATTTTTTTGGTCGGGTAGAGTAAGATAAGCCCGCACGGGAAGGTTATCGTAAGTTAAGAGCAGGGTATAAAAGTCTAGGAGGGCAGGGTAGGGTAGAGTAGGGTAGGGTAGGGTAGGGTAGGGTAGGGTAGGGTAGGGTAGGGTAGGGTAGGGTAGGGTAGGGGTAGGGTAGGGTAGGGTAGGGTAGGGTAGGGTAAGGTAGGGTAGGGTAGGGTAGGGTAGGGTAGGGTAGGGTAGGGTAGGGTAGGGTAGGGTAGGGTAGGGTAGGGTAGGGTAGGGTAGGGTAGGGTAGGGTAGGGTAGGGTAGGGTAGGGTAGGGTAGGGTAGGGTAGGGTAAGTTAGGGTAGGGTAGGGTAGGGTAAGTTAGGGCAGGGTATCAGTACAGTACTGTACTCTAATATACCACTGAAATCGTTCTTTCATTTTGAAAATACTGTACGATTTCAAATAAATCTAAATATTGAAAAATATCGTGCCATAACATATAATTTCCAGTTTAAAACATATTGTACTATGGCATGTGATTTTCGGTTTTTAAGATTACGCAATTCAGGAAATTGTAGTTTTAGATATCCTTAATGACAGTTTACAAATGTTTTGAGTACGTGACATTTGAGAAGCGCATGAGTGGGTTACAGTACACTTTTAGAGATAAAAATAAGTTTTTTTTAAATTTTTTTGTTTTTACTAGAGTTAGCTGTTCTTGCCTTCGCTCTTACACTACCCTTGTACTCTTGCCTTTATCTTTTCTTACCCTTGCCATATCCTTGGTTTACCCTTGCCCTACCCTTGCGTTTACCCTTGCCTTACTCTTGCCCTATCCTTGCCCTACTCTACCTTACCCATGCCTTACTCTTGCCCTACTCTTGCCCTGCCTTCGCCCTTCCCTTGCTTTACTCTTGCCCTACCCTTGCCCTAACCTTGCCCTACTCTTTCTTTACTCTTCCCCGCACCTACTCAAATCCTACCCTTCTCCTACCCTCATATCTTACGGTACCCAACTATCAAATACGTATTACATACAATGCAATAGCTATAAGCAACATGTTTACACCATGATGCACTTTGTGGTCTTAACCCCCCTACCCTCCCCCCCCTTCCCCCTAAATATAAGTCGACATTTCAGAAAAGGCACATGTTGTACTTTATATTACTCATCTATGTATAACTCGTAAGGATTAACGTATTGTAAAACGCATTCTAATTTCTGGCCTTAATGAACCATGTGATTATTCAAAAATTACAAAAAAAATATTAAACCGAGACAACTGGAAAAGTATGTGTAATATCGAACCTTTGAAAACTGTTTTAGACAAGACGGTAAAGCCATAACTATGTATATATATGAAGCTTGCTTACTCTACGTAAAGTTTTGTAACAGAACTTTTTGCGCATCCTGTATGAAGCTTACTCACCTTGACGCATTCACAATTCCGATAAGGACAAACTTTCTTGTGGTTCTTCAAAGCCACCGTAATGCCATGCAAAGAGCACTTCAAACACTTGTGCATGGTGGTATGTCGCCGCCTGTAGAATAAAAACATAACTTTTTGTAAATTATTTTAGCACCGTGCTATGTAGTACTTATTATTAGCACCGTGCTATATAGTACTAGTAAAAAATAAAAATTCAGATGAGAACGGTACTATTCTATAGTACTAAAAATAAGCAAAAAGTTTTGATTTAGAACACAGTAGAGCGACAGTACTGTATAGTACCACTATCGTGCTATATAGTACCACTATAAATTAAGAATGTATTACTGATGAAGACAGTAATAGTTAAAATTACTTTAAATGATAATAGTAATCAAAAATAGTACTAGTCAAGGCAAGTACTCAATAGTACTACTGTCGTACTATATAGTACCAATAAAAATTTATCTAAAACTATTTGAAAAAGATAGAAATACTCAATAGTACTAACAAAAATTACAGTAAAACTCAAATTTAGAACAAGTACTCAATAATACTCAATAGCACGGCCAGCCAAGACAACTTCAAAACTGAACGTATCGAACTCGTCTCGAACATTATATATACGATAATGCAAACCCAAATCACACGCAAATGTCAAGTTGCAACCGCGAAATAACTAGTAATTTTCACGGATTCTAAATAACAATTACACATTTTTTATACGAAAAAAGATCAAATTACAGCTAAAAAGGTTATAACTCAATTTTGAAAGGGAAATGCTATGTACATGTGAGCTTAGGTAATTGGAATGGTAAAAAACAGTTTTAAATATTGAAAAATTGAATTTGGTAAACTAAGGAAGCGTGTGCTAAGGAAAAGTAAAGAAGGGTCAGGAAGGTTAGAGTACGGCAAGGCAAAGTAAGACTGAGAAAATTAAGGTTTCACTAAAGTAGAACTATGCTTAGACAAGGTTAAGGCTTAGCAAAAGATAGCAAAAGCTTAACTTTAGGCTTATGCTCATGCTCAGGCTCAAGCGCAGACTCAGGCTTACCTCAGGATCAGGATCAGGCTCAAGCTCAGGCTTAGGTTCAGGCTCAGGCTCAGGCTCAGGCTCAGGGTTAGGCTCAGGCGCAGGCTCAGGCTCAGGCTCAAGCTCAAGCTTAGGTTCAGGCTCAGGCTCAGGCTTTGGCTCAGGCTCAGGCTCAGGGCTCCTGCTTAGGCTATACCAAGGCAACGAAAAGACTAGTAAAAAATATGGTAAATCCAGTAAAGCAACGTAAAAAAATTATTATGGTAACCCTTTACACAAAAATCAAATTCAAGTTACAGTAACCCTACCTAAAAATTAAAATTTATTAAAGTTTTCAATTACAAACCAAAAGGCCATCAATGCAACTTTAATGCCAGGCGAAACGTACTACAGCTAATGCGATCCAGATGAACCCCCCTTAAGACGCTGAAACATTTGGACTCCGCCTCGTCGCCACGCCCACGAATTTAAACTGTAAACACACGAAACTACCGTTTACTCTCTGTAATCATAGTTTAACTATGTTGTTTATAAGTATTTAACAACATCTAAAGTACATTAAATTTTAAACTTGGCAATTACTTAATGAAAGAACGATTTCAGTGCTATATTAGAGTACAGTACCGTACTAAAAAGTAAAAAGAAGACAAAGGCTTACCCTACTTTACCCTACCCTACCCTACCCTACCCTACCCTACCCTACCCTACCCTACCCTACCCTACCCTACCCTACCCTACCCTACCCTACCCTACCCTACCCTACCCTACCCTACCCTACCCTACCCTACCCTACCCTACCCTACCCTACCCTACCCTACCCTACCCTACCCTACCCTACCCTACTCTACCCTACCCTACCCTACCCTACCCTACCCTACTCTACCCTACCCTACCCTACTCTACCCTACCCTACCCTACTCTACCCTACCCTACCCTACCCTATTCCTACTCAATAATTCAAGGGTCGTGCTCTACCAAAAAAAAATATTTTCTTACCTTTAAATAACAAAGACGATAATTGCAAAACAATTACCGTACATTTAAACAAGTAATTACTGTAAAACGAAATAACACCTCCTTTACCTAGAAACGTTTTCACAAAGCTAACAGTAAAAAAAACACACTGAAATGTAATAACATCAACTACACATTACACTATATCATTTACAACTTATAAACAAGATGTGAGTACGTATAAACAGCCAGAAAAAAGCCGAATTTAAGTACACATTTCACAAGATTATTAATTGGAGATGGAAACAGTTTTAGATGTAAAGCATATTGTTTTGCAAGATCAGTACCGTTAAAAGTTACTGTACTTTGGTATAAACATAGCTACACTTTTGGATTCGGAATTAGACCTAAACCTATTATAGATCTAAACCAGCTAGGACTAGACCATATTTTTAAATTTTTAAACGTATACCGAGTATTGGTCTAAAGCATAGTCTTTGCTTTAGGCTACCTCAGCTTCACTATTTGTTTTAGACAGAGCCCGAGCTTAAGCCTATGCCTAAGCCTGAGCGTAAGCCTGTGCCGAAGCCTGAGCGTAAGCTTGAATCTGAACTTAAGCCTGAGCCTGAGTTTGAGCCTGAGCCTAAGCCTAAGCCTAAGCCTAAGCCTAAGCCTAAGCCTAAGCCTAAGCCTAAGCCTAAGCCTAAGCCTAAGCCTAAGCCTAAGCCTAAGCCTAAGCCTAAGCCTAAGCCTAAGCCTAAGCTTAAGCCTAAGCCTAAGCCTGTGCCGAAGCCTGAGCGTAAGCTTGAATCTGAACTTAAGCCTGAGCCTGAGTTTGAGCCTGAGCCTAAGCCTAAGCCTAAGCCTAAGCCTAAGCCTAAGCCTAAGCCTAAGCCTAAGCCTAAGCCTAAGCTTAAGCCTAAGCCTAAGCCTAACCCTAAGCCGAAGCCTAAGCTTAAGCCTAAGCCTAAGCTTAAGCCTAAGCCTAAGCCTAAGCCTAAGGCAAAGCCTAAGCCTATGCCTAAGCCTGAGCGTAAGCCTGAATCTGAACTTCAGCTTGAGCCTGAGTCTGAGTCTGTGCTTATGCATGAGCCTGTGCCTAAGCCTGTGGTTGAGCCTTAGCTTTAAAATTAGCCTTAGCCTTAGAAATAGGTCTGCCCTATTCTTACAAAGCATATTAATTTTCAGACAACGTACCGTATCATATAGTATCAAGAATGTGGTTTACTGTTCCCAATAAACCATAAATTCCTATTTTCCTTTAAATTTTAAATCATTTACAAACTAAAGAACTAACTTTTACTCGTAATTTTGCACCAAGTTGAGCTTATGAAACCTTTTTTAAAATGGTTAAAGCTTAAAATAATTTGATTGCGTTAACACTACAGTAGCGTGTTCAAGGGAATAACATATTTCACCTGTTTATACATATGCACATGATATATTTATATAAGGGTTTTAGGAAATTATATGTTTTGCAAGACTGCGGTACTGTAACATAAAAAAAGAAAACGTAAAAGGACTTTTAAGGCAAGCTTTAGGCTAGGCCTTTTGCTAGGCTTTAGGCTAGGGCTTAGGATAAGCTTTGGGGCAGTCCCAGGCTAGAATTTAGGCTAATTTTCAGACTAGACATTAGTCTAAGACTTACGCTAGCCCTTAGGCTAGGCCTTAGACTAGGTCTTAGGCTAGGTCTTACGCTAGTTCTTAGGCTAGGCCTTAGGCTAGGCCTTAGGCTAGGCCTTAGGCTAGGCCTTAGGCTAGGCTTTAGGCTAAGACTTAAGCTGGGCCTTAGGCCAGGACTTAGGCTAGGACTTAGGATAAGCCTTAGGATAGGCTTCAGGCGTTAGATCAGTCATTAGGCGAGGCTTTGAGCAACTAAAGCTAACGTTAGGCTTTTAAAATTTGAACTACGCCTAAAACCAGACTTTAGGCTACAGTTAAGGATAAAGCTAAAGATAGCACTTAAACTACGCCTTAACCTAAGCTCTAGGTTTCGCCATACGCTGGAACTAGGCTTAGGTTAAAGATGTAGTTTAGGTTAAAACTGAGACCAAGGATTAAATTAGTCTTTCGGTTGGGGTGAAGGCTCAAGTTGCTACGAAGAAAGAAGCGCAAAAGTATAGTAAAAATTTTTAATTTGTAACGTTTAGTACTGTTTTTATGTCACATGTTACACATGAAATTACAGTAAGACCCCCTTTTTTTCCAAATTCTTGTCATACATTGTAATCTCCGTAAGGTTTCACTGTACACGAAACTATGAAATCTCATCATTTTCGAATACTTTTTCTATTATTACACGAATGACACATTGGAAGAGATTAATACTCTTCAGACTTGTCGAATAGATAAAGTAATGTAATGTGTCATAGCATAAGTAATACAATGTGTCATCGAGAAAAGTTAAAGACCAGTTAAAAAAAAAACTTTATTAACCGACGATACTAAATTGTTTACTGACAGACACAGTGGTAAAATAGAAATCGTGTTTGACATTATTATAGACACTGTAAAAGCGAAATTGAAACACCTAAGCTAACTAACCTTAAATTTATAAAAGTAAGCCTAACTTTTAACCTATACGAAGCCAAAATCTCAGCTTGGATGTAAGTTTAAGCGCAAGCTTTATCCTGAACTTAAGCCTGAGACTGACATTGAGCATGAACGAAAGCTTAAGCCTGTACTTGAGCTTGAGCCTGAGGTGATATTCAACCTGAGCTTAAGTCTGAGCTTAACTCTGGGTTTAAGCCCAAGCCTAAGGCTAAGCCTAAGCCTAAGCTTAAGCCTAAGCCTAAGCCTAAGCCTAAGCCTAAGCCTAAGCCTAAGCCTAAGCCTAAGCCTAAACCTAAGCCTAAGCCTAAGCCTAAGTAAACCTAAGCCTAAGTTTGAGCTTAAGCCTAAGCTTAAGCCCCAAAAACCAATGCATACGTCTTTTTTTAAGCCTAACTTTTAGTTCTGGTTTAAGCAAATTTAGTCACAATAACATTGAAAAAATAAAAAAATAAGACAAAAGGAACTGTTTAAACTAAATGCTACAGTAACTAATCACTACTAAATCTGATAATTATGATTTTTCTACCCTAAATATCTTAACATTACCGTGCAGACCCAATACGTATCTCATGTTTACATCCTCTTTATTCATTCATGTAGACATAATAAGGTTCAAAATTTCGGATAATTCCAATTCAACTTATTAAAATTTTAAAAAAGTTGAATTTGAAAATGTAAAACGAAAATGAGATTAAACTAATTTTATGAATAGACAGCCGGCTGTCGCTAATCTAGAGCATTGCAGTTTGTAAAAAATTGGTTCAAAACTTAATATCCAAACCTAAAAAAACGTCCTTCTAGCCTTAGGCCTATTCATTAACGCTCAGCCCAGCCCTATCCTGGAGCCCTAGCCCAAAGCTATAGTCCAGAGCCCTAGTCTAGAGCCCTAGTCCAGAGCTCTAGTCCAGAGCCCTAGTCCAGAGCCCTAGTCCAGAGCCCTAGCCCAGAGCCCTAGCCCAGAGCCCTAGCCCAGAGCCCTAGTCCAGAGCCCTAGTCCAGAGCCCTAGCCCAGAGCCCTAGCCAGAGCTCTAGCAAAAAGCCTTAGCAAGGACCTTAGCCATTCCCCCATCCCATCAAATTCCAGCCCAAAGCAGTTCAGTCCAGTCCAATTTACTCCAGTTCAGTCCAAGTTCATTAATCCAACCCAATCCAGCCAAACAAACCCCAGTCCTGGTTCTAGTCTTACTCTTAGCCCTTGTCAACATCGCTGGATTCATCGACGTCACATTATCAAACAAGATTGTAAAAATATTTTTAATAGACTTTTCTTTTGAAAAGGCGGAGTTTCGATGTGAAGGTTAACTTGTGCATCCGAAAAAGATTTTTTCTTTTTCAAATGTCACAATTGACGGTTGCAGACAATTTTATCTATATATTTAATCAAAAAGCGTTCCTCAACTTAAATGTATAACTAAGTGCGAGCCTAAACCATAGTTTACGCCCAAGCCTAAAGCTTAGTCTAAATTTAACTATCAATAAAAAATAAAAATTAAGCCTAACACTAAAACCAAGCCCAAAGCTAAGCCTGAGACTAAACTCAAGCTTAAAGCTAAGCCTAAGGCTAAACCCAAGCCTAAAGCTAATCCTAACATAAAAATAAACATAAGACAAAACCTAAACCTAAATTCCTTAAAGCTAAGTCTAAGCTTAAAGTTGGACTTTTTTATAAGCCTAAGCCTAAAAATGTTCCTGAAGGTATATAAGACTAAAAACATTTTTTTACTCACCTTTCCTTTATTAATTCAACTCAAAATCCATAACAATATGCAACAAAAACTTTAAAAATTATCTAAAAATTTCACGTGCTTCCCAAAATTTTTTTTTCCAAAAATAAAGTAGAAAAATTTATAAAATTCATAAAAAGCGGGTTCAAGAGATCGAGCCGAAAAAGATTTTCAAATATAGGCTGAATAAACGGTAGGAATCAGATAAGAATAAGTTTTTTGAATAGCAAGTTGATGTGTGTTTGTACTGTTATAGGTTAAAATCAAAATTTTTTTATTGCTTCTTAGCCCTAACAAAGTCCTAATTCGCTTTACTTTAACCCTAGCCCTAAGCCTAGCTAGGCTTTTCATTGTCTTTCCGTTGGCCCATCCTAGCCCTAGCATAGATCAACTTAAGCCCAACATTAGCCTTTTCCTTGACCCTCCCTAGCATTTCCACGACTTATTAGCTTTATCATAACCCTAACTTACAAGGAAAGAACCCAACCTGCCCCGCTCAAAATCAGCTCAAAATTTTTTATGAATTCTATGTACCATTAATAATACCCATGAAAAATTTTAGCTTGCGCTTTTAAGTTTTAAATTTTAAATATTTGAGTTTCCCGCCAATTTGGCAAATTTGGCATTGTGTTTCAAGCACTTTTTTTGACATTTCAGACAAGCTACACCTACAAATTTAAAAATGTAGGTTCATTTTAAGGTATTCTACTAGTATACCAAAGCAAAATTCCTTAAAGTCAAAAAAAATGGAAAAGTTATAAGCTTGAAACACAATGCCAATTTGGCGGGAAATTCAAAACGTAATTTTTTGATCTCGATTTTCTCGAGATTTCCTGGAAAGCGCGATTTAGTACTTTGCTGAAGATCTTATATTTATACTCCACTAGTCATAACTCGATTTCCAATATTGCCGATTTCTAGTTAGACTCCGCTCCAGCCCTACCATAGACCCACTCTAGCCAAACTTACACACATCCTAGTCTTATCCTACCTCTATCCTAGATTCATCCTATTTCTACCCTAGACCCACCCTTGTCTTACATTGGTTTTACTGTATTCCAGTTGTTCCTTATCTTAACTATACCAGTAGCAGCAATGTACTATACTTTAGTACGCGTGCTGTAGATCCTGCTTAATCTATAAAGTACATAAGTTCTACCGTACTTAAGTTCATATCTTTTTAGGATTAAAATTAGGTTCACCGGCTTTTTCAAACGACTTTAAGGAAAAAAGGTATTAGGTGGTTACAATTTTTACAAAAAGATTGGACGATTCACTCTCACCCTCTCATAAGCCGGTCGTAAAATTTAGTTACAAATGCTTATGAAATATGTCTATGTATTAGTAAAGCAAATTTACGACAATTTTTTACAATTTGTTTATTAGTTATTGTTACGTTATAGTAACTTACATTTTAATACGAATAAAACAAATAATATTGTGTTTCAAAAACCAGTTTATGACCTGTTTTGTTTCAAATGTTTTTACAATTATTAATATGGCAAATTCAAATAAAAGCCCTTCCTAGCCTTATGATAAATCCAAACTTAGTCATTCCAAAAGCCTATAAAAATTTAAAGCCTAGCTAAAACCCTAGGCAAAAGCCTAGTCAATAAACCAGCCAAAAACTTAACCAAAAGCCTAGCCAAAGAGCTAGCTAAAGATTTAGCCAAAAGCCTTGCCAAAAGCCTAGCCCAAAACACAGGCAAAATTCATAGTTAAAAAGCTAGCCAAAAGCTTAACCAAAAGCCTAGTCAAAAATTTAAACTTAGAAAAAGCTTACTTTTAGCCAAAAGCCTAACAAAAAGCCTAGCCAAAAACGTAGTCTAACCAAAAGCCAAGCTAAACGCCTAACCCAAAGCATACCCAGCAACCTAGCCAAAAACTTAGCTAAAAGGCTTAGATAAACGCGTTTAAACGCCTAGCCAAGAGCCATGTCAAAGTCGTTGTCAAAATCTCACTAACGTAGAGCTAAAAATCTAGCCAAAACCTAGCTACAAACCTAGCCAAAAGCATAACTAAAAACCTAAATCTAATCAAAAGCCTAGACCTTGTCAAAAACCTAAGCCTAAAAAAGCTAAAGCCAGGTTAAAAACAGTCAAAAACCTAGCCCTAAGCCCAGACAAGGTCATAGTTAAAGAGCTATTTAAAAGCGTAGCAAAAAGCCTAGCCAAAGTACTAGCCAAACGTCTAGATAAAAGCCTAGCCAAACGCCTAGCCAAGAGCTTAAGTCTAAACCCAACCAGAATCTTAAACTCAGCCAAAAACGTAATCCTGGCCTAAAGCCTTGGCTTAGCATAAAAACTTTAAGAAAATGTAAGGTTAAGTTCTCTCCCCTTCTCTTTTTATAATTTTATTTTTTTAAAATAACTGAAAAATAACCACTCGTCATCCCCAAACCATCAAAATACGAAAATTTCATAAAACTATCTAATTTTCATTAGCTCAGTTACTGTCAAAAGTGCAATTTTACAAACAACATTAATATTGTAACCATCGTATACTTCCCTTCTTCTTATTAATCCGGCTGTTTACGTGAAACTGTACAAACATTTCCTTTAGTGTCGTGCAAATTAATATTTTGTCAAAAGTTTCGGAAAAAGGGACAGATGAAGGTTAATCCGCGAAAAATTAAGTAAGTTTGAAAGATTTACGAACTTTCAGTTTAATGGAGAAGATTCGAGAAAGCTTAATAAAATATAAAAATAAATAAATGATATTTTTAAAAAATTTTATTTAGTCGGAAGGATTTTGGTTCGACCCTCGCCTCCGCTGTCGCAGCGCGTGGCAACTGGCATACCACGGTGCGATACTAAGACCGGGAGAAAAAATGCCTTTTTCAGACGGGAGTCAAACCCGTAACCTCACGCTGACCGGGCGATTGCTCTCCCTATTGAGCTACAAAGGATGCGTTATTCCTTCCGATCATAGAGGAGCGAATCCAGAGCCCTCTTGGTCCCCTCGCCTCCCCCCTACAAGGTGATTCACTCCGTCTCAATACTCTCGCTACGCTGACGTCGCGACATCCGCCCAACCCAGGCGCATTGAGGAATGGGTAGTGCTTGGAGCACGGGGACTAGGCCCATGAACACTTGGACAACACAGGTGTATGCCGACGAGCCAGAAGTCCTATGGAGGACCTCACCCACGAACCAGTAATGCGGTGAACAGTGAAAACTGGGGGAGGCCCAAGTATGGGAAACATCATAAGCCAAGGATAGCTCCGGTGGACAACGAGGAAAAACTAGAACAATCCTGGAACATACACGCAGTACTTTAATGCCATCGTCGGCATCAACAACATATAATCTAACTATATCTAGATTCCACCGACCATAAACTGTAAATGTATTGCGTATAATAAAACTTCTAAACCTTGTCATATCCATGCCTTACCCTTGTTCTATTATTGTTTTAGCCTAGCTTAGCCCTAACCTAGTCCTATCTTTTGCCTTCTTTTGATCCACACATAATTGGTTTTTTACCTTCACCTTACGCTGGTCCTGAAATAACTTATTATTTTTCTCTAACCGTACCCTACTTTACCCGCGCTTTCAATTTGCTCTACTCTAGTCCTGCTCATGCTCTAACTTACGTTCTTTTCTACGCCCTCCCCTTCCCCTCTTTTTCTACAGTATAAACTAACAAATTAAAAACTAAATTTAAAAAAATACAAACAAAAGGTTTCGACTTTGTCGTATTGACAAAAAAATAAAGTTTGCACAGCTTCTATAAACTTAATAATGTACAAATGTTGTCATATGACTAATTGTGATGAAAATCTTTCCTTCAAACTACAAAAAGTGATTGACTAACAATTTTTTATATTGCTGATTTCAAAATAAAGATAGAGTACCATTACTGTATATATTCTCTAAACATCCTTTTGCAAAGAAATTGCAAATTGCATTATCTTAATGGTATACGTTGTAAACAATTTGTTAAAATTCAAAAACTTAAAAGCTGCTTACGTTGTACACTGTTCACAATATACTTAAAATTCTGAAGAAATCATGTACGTGCTAAATTTAAAAGTTTTAAAACATTTTTGTTTACTTTACCATACTCGTAGCCCAACTTGTCTTTATAACGCATTAAGATGCCATACTCTAGACTTACTATAGTACCTATGTCTTTGTTTGTCTTATTTTCGTCTTACTTTTGCCCTACCATTGCGCTAGGTTTGCCTTTTATTCTACCCATGCTTTAGTTTGGCGTTTCAATTGCCTTGTCCTGACGTTCCCTTTGCCCTGGTTCAGCTTTACATTTGCCTTCGCCTTGCAGTAGCCTAGACTTGCCTTTACTATATCTTATTGTTCCCTTACCCCACATCCATCATAACCGAATCCTAAAGGCAAAACATCAAATCCCAAGTTCTACAATGCATCTGTCAAATTTTATACAACACCAATCGTAGACAATAAGTCGTTGTTTTGCAAAAGCAATTGTTTACAAAAAAAAACTGAAAAAATAAACAAGATACTGTAATTGCGGAAAGAAATTTAATTTTTTAAATGTCACGTACAGTTTTATGTTGACATATGGTTTTACAACACATTAAAAACAAAATTTTGAGCCAAATTTGTTTTGCTAAACTTTTGAAAAATTAATTTTTTATGACTTGAGGGCGTATAACAGCTACCGTATGGCTTACAGTAGGAAACGTAACTTTATCTTTTTGTAAATTTTATTAAATTGTCCTACCGTACGTACCCTACCGTACCCTACGCTGACCTACCTTACCCTACCCTACCCTACCCTACCCTACCCTACCCTACCCTACCCTACCCTACCCTACCCTACCCTACCCTACCCTACCCTACCCTACCCTACTCTACCCTACCCTACCCTACCCTACCCAACACTACCCTACCTTACCTTACCCTACCCTACCCTACCCTACCCTACCCTGCCCTACTCTACCCAACACTACCCTACCTTATCTAACCTTACCTAAAATTTGTAAAAAGAGTTACAGTACTCTTTTACACATAAAACTCACATACACCGTCACAAATTTTGATCTCTTTTGGTCACCAACATTTGCCATTTAATACTACTGACTCACCAATGGCATTTGAGTTGCTCAGCATCTAAATATACACAATAAATGCTTTGGATAATACAGACAAAGATTTAAGATTGAGTCATGTCTGTGTATTTTAAATTCTTGAAAGTAAAAAAAACTTCGAGAATGTCTGCATTTGTAGAGTTTTATATTTTTGTTTGGTGCCAATGTGTTATGTTATGTTAAATACTGTAGTTTGTACATAAAATGTAAAAACGAGGCAGGGCTGAAGTAATCTTAGTGTTTTTTAGAAAAAAACTAGAGCTGGGACTAGGGCTGAGGTTGAGGCTGGGCCGGGTTCTGAGACTAAATCTGAGACTGGTGCTTGAGATGGGGTTGGGGCTGGGGCTCATGCTGAGCTACGGTTGGAGATAAAACATGAGCTAAAACTGGGGCGAAAGAAAAGTCCAAAACCTTGATGTTAAGGGTAACTTTAAGCCCGAGCCTAAGCCTTAGCTTAGGCCTGAGCCTGAGCCTGAGCCTGAGTCTGAGCCTGAGCCTGAGCCTGAGCCTGAGCCTGAGCCTGAGCCTGAGCCTAAGCCTGCGCCTGAGCTTGAATCTGAGCCTGAGCCTGAGCCTGAGCCTGATTCTGAGCCTGCGCCTGAGCTTGTGTTTGAGCTTGAGCTTGAGCCTGAGCCTGAGCCTGAGCCTGAGCTTGTGTTTGAGCTTGAGCTTGAGCCTGAGCCTGGGTTTGAGCCTGAGTTTGAGCCTGATTCTGAGCCTGAGCTTGAGCTTGAGCTTGAGCCTAAGCTTGGGCTTAAGGTTGAAGCTGAGGCTGAGGCTGAGGTTCAGGCTGAGGCTCAGGCTATACCTGGGACTAGGGTTAAGGTTGGGAATGGAGCTAACAAGGGAATGTTACAAACTGTCCATTCGCTTTTTAAAAATGAATGGTACTATGTGAAAGAGCGTAAAAAGTTGACTAGAAATCTATTTTCAAAAACTGCCAAATTCGCTTTACTAGCCCGCTAGCGAGATTTAAAAATCATTCGTAAAAGGACCTTTTATGTTATTATGCTTTCTTTTGGATTGTTGTACTTTCGAAAATTTTATTTTTTTGTTGTTTTATGTTTTAATAGATATAAGGCACAATTACCAATAAAAAAACTTTAGTTTTGTTAATGCAAATTAATTTTAATTTAAATTTTAAAAAAAAGTAAATCTCGTTACCCCAAAAGAGAATCGAACCTGACACGCATGATTACGCAATCACGGCGCCTTTGACTACTTGGCCAATCGAGCACACTTGGCTCCTCTCTTCGAAAGAATTCAAAAGAAAGCGCACGTAAAAAAATCATTTTAATAAGGAAAATTTTAAAAGCTCGCTAGCGGACTTGTAAAGCGAATTTGGCAGTTTTTGAAAATAGATTTCTAGTCAACTTTTTACGCTTTTTCAAGTGGTATCACTCATTTTTAAAAAGCGAATGGACAGTTTGTAACATTCCCTTGTAAGAGCTAAAACTGGGGCAAAGGAAAAGGTCAAAGCTAACCCTGAGGTTAAGCGTAACTCTAAGCCTGAGCCTGAACCTAAGTCTGAGCTTGCGCCTGAGCTTGAGCATGAGCATGAGCTTGAGCTTGAGCTTGAGCTGGAGCTTAATATTGAAGCCGAGACTTAGGCTGAGGCTCAAGCTGAGGCTTAGGCTCAGGCTGAGGCTTTGGCTAAAGCTGGGTCTAGGATCAGGCCTGGGACAGGAGCTACGACAAGAGCTAGAATTGTTTTAACACGTCTCTTCGGTACCAAACGTTTCATCACGTATTTTTTGTAGCTGTAAGTAAACACGTAATATAAATAGTATAGTGTTTTGCGTTTAGTTTTGGGAAAAATGTTTTGTAGGGAAACAAAAAACAAGTTACAAAATATAAATGCTGTTTTTGTAAATGTTCTTTCATCTTATGTTATTTTATAAACATGTTATGTAAAGCTACCATATAAATTATATAGTTAAATTTGGTTTTTGCTCTCTTTCCTCGTTATTATTTTGCAGTTTTTTTGCATTTTTGACCAAAAAAATTGATTTGCAATACTTTTACTCTTACAGTACCGATACAGTAGCCTTTAATTTTATTTTTTGTTATTCTAAACAGATAACAAATAACAGTAAATAATTACAATGAGCGTAAGAATCAAGATACAAATAAGGCGGAAGAAAAGAAATTAATAGGCGAAAAACACTCGAAATTACAGTATTTTTATTTTCTTTTCTTTTTGCATAGTAACTGTAAGTTTGACACAACATACCAAGACCACTGTGCTTTGTGACAAAACATTTCATAACTAAGTATTGGTATAGAATCAAAATGTCATTCTTTAAACTGTTTACAGATATGACCAAAAGTTCACGTTAATAGCTAATCTAACCCTAAACTTTGTAGTCGCCCCGGACCGGCCCGACCTTTCAGCCCAACCGGTTCCAGCTCTTCCTCGGACCAACCCAATTCGATATTTAGGCTAAACCATAAAATTTCATATAATATACATGCCAGCTAAAAAACGAACTTCTAATTACTCAATTTTTAATTAGTCTTTACACTTATTAAGATTTAAATCTCAATGCGAAATGGGATTACTGTAACATGTCTCGTGCAAATATTTTGTTCCGCTAATCCCTTTAGCTGCGACAAATGTATAAACAAATTCATGGAAAGTAAATGTCAACATCTATGTCAACGTATCCTAAGCAATGGTCGTAAAACCGGAAATAGTATTTACGTTGTACTGTAAGACGGTTTTGTACTGTAGGAGGAAATTGGGTGGGCTGCAAATGTAATGGGCTCTTACGTATGTTATATGTGAGGATGTATGAAAGGAATTTAAAAAGATTGGAAAAAATTTTGGTTTAGTATTACCACCAGAGTTTTTGCCTTTCAAATCCGGTCCGCACGGTCCGGATTTGTGAATTTTATTTTCCCGCCAAACCCATATCTCAAAAACTAGAATAGATATCAAAAAACTAACAGCATCTAGAAGGGTCAGCACCATTCCAAATAGGGGGGTAGGAAAAGTTTCAGACCGATCCGACCGGTAGAAAAAAAGCGCGGGAAAACAAAATTCAAATTCCGGACTCCCGCATTGGGTCCGGTCGGGTCCGGGAAACAAAAAAATTTAAATCCCCCAACCAGGGCCAGGCGGAGACTTTTGGTCTGAAGGCGAGGGTCAAAAAAATCGGCTCGTGTCCACAAGGGGAAACACGTTCAACTTTTTTTCAAAAATTTTTTTCTAGGATGAACCCCCCCTCCCGTGCCCCCCCCCCCTCTTGCGCCCGGCCCTGCTCTCAACCAACTTTACAACCCCAAACATTGACATCATTTATTAACCCTTAAATGTAATGCCAAAACCGTCCCTACAGTCTCCAAAGATTCACAACAAAAAATGCACTTTTATCACACCTTGAAAGCTGTTTCAAAAGTTTTGGAAAACAAAAAGGTTATGTTTAGAATTCTAATCCATAGCTAAGCCCGAATGAGTCAACCAACAGATTTCGAAGGCTATTTTAGGCGCGTCGGCGGAGACATTTGAATAAAATCCGTCACATGGCCATAAAACTAGTTTATTTAAAGCAACGTGGCATTTTTGCTTGTAAATTCTTAATTCTTAAGGGATGTTTACGGTTTGGGAGCTTAACAACAGCAAAACGTTCTTGCAAACAAAAAAAATTTTTTTTAAACAAATTGAAAATTTAGAAATTAAAAAAAATTAACTTTGCTCTCACTACCCCACACTGTTTACTTAAGCTACAAAAAGTTAAAAGCGCAATTTTTATGGAAGTATCCAATTAAACATTTGAAAAGACTTAATAAGCACAAAACACCCAAATGATTTGTAATAATGCCACAGTAAAACGATTATTTGCCTCAAAAAGACTAATTATGTTTTTAAACACATTAGTATTTCCCTATCGTAAACTTGTTGTTATTGTTTATATGGTACCTAACATCATTATTTTTAAGTAAGCAGTTTTTTGAGATCTCCTCTTACTTTATCCGACCCCAGCCAAACTTTTACACAACTCCACCATGCCTTATCTTACGCTCCCTTTATTACAACTAACATTGTAACAATTATAAAATTACAAAACCACCTCATGCCCTTTCAAATATGTAACATCACATTTGGTGTAAAAACATGTTATTTTTGCAAATAACACATTATTGTCAACAACCCAAGTGCACTCAGAAATACTCTAACCTATTTTCAAGCCCCAAAATAACCCTAGGTTTTGCAGGAAATTATTACGTTATGAAAACCTAATCACATAAACAATCGTAACGTTAATTATAAACTACATAAGCATTTAGTATACACAAATATTTTCCAGAATAACAGTAATAGAAGGAAGTAGAAATAATTGCGAAACTGCACATTTCATTCCAAATGTAATTAATAAACACCTTTAGAGCAGTTGGAAACGTTTAGCCCATAAATTATTTACTTTTTCGCGTATTCAAAAAACTTTTGTAAAATCCGAACAAAAATTCATTTTTTAAATTGAAAATTTGCGTTTTTTTTTTGTAGAACTTCAGAATATCTGTTCTGCACCTTCTGGTACAACAAACGTTTTTTTAGCACTACCACCATTTTGTACTGTCAATAAAAAAAATTGTTCAAAATTTCCAGAAAACTGTTAGATAAATTTCCAACTAGTATTATTAATCGATTGAAGTCAATACCACTGTACAACACAACTAACTGATACATTAGTGAAAAGTTTTGACTTGGCTATGTTTGAGCGTATCCTCCAAAACATTAACGTAGGTCCTTTAAGCAAAACATTTATTTATTTGTGTGATTAGAAATATCTAAACTCGTTGGTGTGATATGTTCTAAAAATAAATTATTATTACGGTTACAAAGTACAAAACTCCACAAAGGAAGTCTTACACGCGTTGGTCAACTTATCTATGAAACGTTTTTTAAAAACTTATCCGGAAGATTAATAGCACAAACTACAATCTTTTTAATATAAAATTACTTGATCCAAAAACCAAGTAATCGGTTTATAACAAAACATATTCGTCATTCTTTGTTGAAAACACTGACCCATTAGACACTACTTTTACTACTTCAATAAAGTCCTCTTATATAATTTTACAAAAATGTCACTAAACAGTATTATTTTTTTTCGTTTTTTAATCATTTTTTTTGTTCTCTAGAGTATCATTCTATGTGTATAGAATACTCACAATGAACTGTTGCTCCATTTTATTGCAATAACATGCAAAAAAGTAATTCAGAAGATCTCAATGTAAAAAAGTTATTTGCATTTTAAAAATAGCGTGACAAAACTGTTTTTAGGTATTTACATTAATAATACAATAACATAGTATTTACCGAGTGATTACACAAAAATATTTCATTTAATTTACAGTTATATTTTCAGTGTTCTACAGTAAGCTTGTTTATAAAAAAAGTAAAAAACGAAATAACAGTAATTTATGTTTACTATAATGTTAAAAAAGTTGGAAATTTTGTTACGAATATGTCAAAATTATTGTTTTTTACATAAAACATATGGTAACCGACACGAATTTATGGAAAACACCTTTAACTATATGCCATTTTACAACATATATGTGTAAATAAATGTAGCAATTGCAATTTTTTAATCAAGTAAATTAACATTTTAAGCTACCCCGTTAAATTATTAGTCTAGCTTTTAACGATTAGTCTTGTAATGAATACAGTAGACGCGCAACGTTGGTTGAATGCATGCCATATATGGCACTTCCGTCTTAAAATAGTAATAGACATTAATCTGGTCCATTTACAGAGTAACTACACTTTAAAAGTGATCTTATTGAGCTTCCGAAAAATAGTAGTTTGTACCTGGAAAGCATAAAAAATTACGGCTAGAACTAAGGCTAGGTTTGAGGCTAAAGCTAAGCCGAGTAGAGCTAGAGCAAAAACTAACTAGACCATAACTAGGGCGCAGCGCTGACTTTCTCTCAAGGTAACAAAACATTAAGCTTGGCATTATAGAATTAATAGCTACGTTAAAAAATGTTACAGTAACAATCGGAAACCTCTACAAAATCATCAAAATTTCAAAAAAAAAATAACAACAGTGTCAGACTTTTGCTCGCAAACGTAGTGTTTTTCTGGAAAGTCACGTAATTCCTCAGAGCTTATCGTACAAAAATTTGCTAATTGTTGACAACACGACCGATTATGGATACAGTAAAATTTGGCAAAGAAGCCAAGGCTTAAAAGCGGCTTATAATATTTTGCGAGACTAGTCTCCACCCACCTACACGTTCACAAAATTACGTTTGTAACAATTTGTTGTTCGTAAAAAATATTTGGTTTTAGGATATGAAGTCAGTGTGTAGTTATAAACGCGGTTTTTTTGAACAAGGTTATTTTTAGCGCTACGGTGACTTGGAGAAAAAACAGTACCTATAATACATGTGCAACTATAAATAAATAAGATGCAAGATGTAAGTTGAGGTTAAAACAACCAGTCTTGCCAAGATGCTGACATATTATTTGAAAACAACGCTAGCCTTCACGTATAGCAAATAAACAAAAGCTCAACAATCTGAACTAAACTACAAAACATCTCGACATCCAACCTTAAGCTATGTGTACCATCTTTAACTGGTTAAAATGCAAAAGGTGGGTAAAAACAGTCAGCCTTGACAAAAAATTTAATTTTCTTTGACAAAACGCTACCTTTCGCGTATAACAAATGAGCAAAAAACGCAAAACAACGTGGACTAGGTAACTTTTGGCATTCAGCTTTTTCTTTGAACTTGTGTTCTACTAAACTATAATTAGAATCTTAATTTAAATTTCCGGCTCCGGCCCTTGCTCCGTATTTTTTTTAATCTTATCTCTTCCAGCTCTGGAGCCGGTATAGCCCTGGAGCCCGGGATGCTTAGGTGTCCATGGAACGCTCTGTTTTGTACAATACATTTTTTTCAATTACAGTCAACTCAACTTGTAAAGAAATCTAGTGGGTCCCGTTTTAAACTTACAGTCACCTCGTTTTATAACAAATCTTAAGCTTGAGCCGCAAATTGTCTAATTTTACTAATGGAGTGCAAAAGCGCATACATGCCATAAACATACAGAAAAATTAGTACAGTATCTTTCTTTGAAATCATCAACTTCTACTGTAAGAAGATTTATATTCCAAAATAAAATACGTCACTTTACAGACGCGTTTTTTAAATTAAAATTTTGTTTATTGAGGTTTAGTTAAACAAGACTTTGTCTTTCCCAAGATTCAGTTATACAGTACTTTCAAAAAAAGCACAATAATTTTCAAATTACGGTAAAACGGCTTGTTAAAAGAGAAATTTCAGAATCCGATTAACGATGCTTGTGAAATTATGTTTGCGAAAGCCGGCTTTTGTCGCGCTAATTTTTTAATGGACTGTATAGACAGTATACACTGTTGTTAAAATTATACAGTCGTTTTTTGTGATAACACGGAAGTCGAAAACAACTATAACGTATAAATACTGTAAATGTTGATGGGCATCGAGTATTCTTTTAAAAAAAGTTAGTAAGAGTTTTTTTTTTTGTGTTTTTCTTGAGGAGCTAGACCTGTAAGGGCAGGCCTAATTTTCCAACTCCCGAGCCTTTGGGCCTGCGTGTGTCAACGCGGCCTGGTCTCTTTAAAATTTGCTTTGGTTCCGGCTGGGTCTCCTATATAAATTCATTAATAATAACTGTACTAACTTTATTGTATGTACTTTCTCTGTGCCTTAGAAGTACCCGACATTTGGGCCTGCGCTCGGACCCGTAACACTTGTCTTGCACTCGTTCAAATTTGTTTTGACTCGGACTGTGCCTGTTTTGGATTAGTAGGCCTTTTTTGTAGTTTATTGAGTTCTTCTTTAGCAACGTTGCAAAAAAATATTTAGGAAATGATTCTTTGTTTTCAATATTGTCTATCATCTATAACCCTATTAATTTCAATTTAATTTTTGTAAACAATTAATTGGTTGTTTTTTACAAACAATCTTAACAATATTATGAATGATACGTTGTTCGTAAGTTAGTCCGACTGATCCTTAACAATCGTTTGTTTTCTTCTTAGAATTAGGTCTGGAAAAAGGCCGAGCCCAATTTTTGGGGGTTAAGCTGGAACATGGGCCTAATTTGTCAATTTGGCTGGCTTTTTAAACTCTTATTGGGTTGGCCAGGCTGGGTAGGAAGCCTCTTTTCAAGTCTATGGTAAAACCACCAAACACCTGCATTTTTTACGATTTTGTCTTATTTTGATAATAGACCTAAAGCTAAAGGTAGGATCTTGGTTTTGGTTCCCACCTTTGGGGTTACTTGTGTGCGTCTTGTGGCCATGGCTTAGTTTTGAAATCGCCTGGGGCTATGGTCCACTTTCGGGGCAAGGTTTAGGTCCGACATAATATTTTTCTTTTTTTTATTTTTTCTTTTCAAGTCGGCTTGTCATGGCCCGGTCAAAATTAAGGCTCGTTTTGGCCTGGTCCGTTTAAGAATTTTTAGTTTAAGGCCGGCCTAGCCCAACTTGATCATAATCCTCTTCCAGGTCTACTTAAATCAATTTTTTAAAATGTTTTTAAATTAAGGTGTTATTATAATTTTATTACTTATTAACACATTTCACTCATTTTAAATTTTTGTTGTAAAGAATTCAAAGCCGATTGTTTAAAGCAAAGTAAATTAAACTTTTAAACTTATTGTCAGTCATTTTTACCAATTTCAGTTTTAACAGTAATTTGTTTTTTAAGTTTAGAAACGTATTGTGTGGTATGTTTTTTGTTTGTGTCTCAATAGTAATTCGCAAGGTTTTTCATAGTAAACTGTTGTTTTTATACGAGGAAATGAGACGGTAACTTGTCTATTCAAATGCTCTTCATCTGAACAGAGTTGCAGACATTGATAACATCTTTGAGTATTTGATTTGGTGAAAAAACGGTAATTTTAGTGTAAAAAAGTTGTAAAGTACAAAAGAGAAAGCGTTTATAAAAGTACAAAAGGTGAGTTATGAAAAGGTTAATACAGTCATATCCAAGGTCTCAGTTATGGTCAACGGGTAACCCTACCCTACCCTACCCTACCCTACCCTACCCTACCCTACCCTACCCTACCCTACCCTACCCTACCCTACCCTACCCTACCCTACCCTACCCTACCCTACCCTACCTTACCTTACCCTACCCTACCCTACCCTACCCTACCTTACCCTACCCTACCCTACCCTACCCTACCCTACCCTACTCTACCCTACACTACCATACCCTCCCTACTCCAGCTTGCCTTAAGTTACCTTACTCTACTTTACTTTACCTTGTTCTACCTTACCCTATTCTCTAACCTAGCCTACTCTATCTTACGTTGCTTTGCTTTATCTTTTTTTTGATATACTCTATCCTACTGTACTTAGGCTATTTTTTACTGCCTTATAATCTTGTCCTTTTTAAACTCACCATACCAGTGCTTCTCCTTACCATACGGATAGTCAAAATTGTATTCCCTACTCTATTCAGCACTCACATATTGCCTTGCTCTGCCTTAACCTATACCTTTTTTTGCGCGGTATGTGTTTTCATTTTGTGTATTTACTTCTGTATTACATGTTTATGTTATTTTTAGTTGCATCGACGGTGGCAACTAAACGTCAGTTTTGTTGTCTATACCATAATCATAAATACTCTTCTTACAGAGTACTATCAGTAAAAATCCCTACGTACTACTAACACACAGCCGCAAGAACCATATATACAGAGCTACTAATAATGGGAAACAACTCCCCAAAAGACCGTAACTACAGACCATTGGAAGGCAAAGTAGCTTTGGTTACCGGAGCTTCGAGAGGTGTTGGTCGTGGAACGGCTATTGAGCTGGCAGCTGCTGGAGCGTTGGTTTACGTTACCTGCCGACCTATAAACTACGGTCAAAATCGAAGAGTTGGCGGTGATATCTTTGATGTTGCTAAGGAGGTGGGTCTTGAGATTGGGTTAAGGTTGGGGTCTTCAATATGATCATCACCGTTATCATACTCTACACTATTTCCCTCTGTTTGATTGTGAGACCCGTTTTTAGCATAAAACAAAAAACTTTTTTAAAACTTTTTATTCAGATCAAACGCCGCCAAGGAAAATGCGTAGTAATCTACTGTGATCACAATGATCCACAGCAAGTCAGCACCTTATTCGAAAGAATCGACCGTGAAACTGATGGTCGGCTAGACATACTGGTCAACAACGCCTACTCGGCTGTCGAATTCATCATGAGAAATACGTTGTGCAAGTTCTACGACTATCAAATGCAACCCGAAAGAGCATTCGATTTGTCAGTGACTGTAGGCTTGAGAAATGCTTACATCTGTGCTGTATATGCTGCCAAAATGATGGTTAAACGCAGGAGTGGGATCATTATTAACATGTCATCAATTGGCTCGCTGGCTCATCTGTTTGACGTTTCTTATGGTGTTACTAAGGCTGGGGTAAGTATAAGGTTGGCTAGAAAGTAAGAAAGAAGTAATTGGGTGGCAAGGGACGTTTCCCTGATTAGGAGACTAGACATTAAGTCAGAAATACAACTTTCAAAAAATTTTTAAAAATCTACCCCAAAAAAATTCTTGAAAATATTGCCCCGCCCATTTATTTTTTATTTTTTAAGTTCTTTTAAAGTATGCAAAAATTTTAATAAAAGTTTAAAAAATCCACTACCAAAACAAATTGAAAAAATTACCCCGCCTATATTTTTTTCATTATTTTTTTAACTTGTTATTGTAATTTGATGTTTTATAGAAAAAAAGATAAAAAATCCACCCCAAGAAATATTTGAAAAATTACCCCGCCCAAAATTTTTTCCAAACGTATATTTGAATACAGCCCCTAGAGTTAAAAAAAACTACTTTACCTTGCCCTACCCTACTTTATCATACTTTATCCTACCCTGCCCTATTCTGCCTTACCTTACACAACCTACCCTACCTTATCCTACCCTGCCATATTCTGCCTTACCTTACACAACCCACCCTACCTTATCTTACTTTGCCTTACCTTGCTCTATTCTGCCTTAACCTACCCTACGCTGCCACACCCTACTGTACTTTATTTTACCCTACCCTAATTTTTTTCAGTTAGACAAAATGACTAGTGAAATGGCTCTCGACCTGGTGGATGACAATGTCACTGTAATCTCACTACATCCAGGTCCTGTAAAAACAGAAACAATTACTGATATTGTTTTATCTGACAATAACGATAACCAATCTCAAAAAGACTTGTTTAAAATCGGAGAGTCGATTTATCTTACCGGTCGGATTTTGGTGCGATTGGCTTGTGACAGGAACATTATCAGCAAAACTGGAAAAGTGCTGCCTAATGCTATATTGGCTACTGAGTATAAAGTCAAGGACGTTGATGATCGTGAGTTTTTTGTCATTAAACATGCCATCTAGGCCTAGGCCTACTAAGCCTAAGACTACTATGCCTAAACTACTAAACCAAAGCCTACTAAGCGTAAGCTTACTAAGCCTAAGCCTACTAACCCTAATTCTACTAAGCGTAAGACTACTAAGCCTAAGCTTACTAAGCCTAAGGCTATTAAGTTTATGCTTACTAAACCTAAGCGTACTAAGCCTAAGCTTACTATGCTTAAGCCTACTAAACCTAAGCCTACTAAGCCTAAGCTACTGAGCCTAAGTCTTCTAAGCCAAAGCCTACTAAGTCTAAGTCTACTAAGCATAAGCCTACCAAGCCTAAGCCTACTAAGTCTAAGCCTACTAAGCCTAAGCTACTAAGCCAAAGCCTACTAAGTCTAAGCCTACTAAGCCTAAGCCTACAAAGCCTAAGACTACTAAGCCTGAGCCTACTAAGCCTAAGCTACTAAGCCAAAGCCTACTAAGTCTAAGCCTACTAAGCCTAAGCCTACAAAGCCTAAGACTACTAAGCTTAAGCCTACTAAGCCTAAGCCTACTAAGCCTAGGCCTACTAAGCCTAAGCCTACTAACGCTAAGCTTACTAAGCCCTTGTAAAGTACATAAATCAAATCTTGACTTTTATAGGACCAGTACCAAACATTTACCCTCAAGATTGGATTGAATTTTTGGACAAACAGTACGAAATTCGAATGGGTGACAAAGCTAGAACAGCCAAAGGTGTAATGACAGCCAAGTTGTAAATATCTCCAATAGTTTTTTAATATCATCAGGTTTTTAGATAATAAACGTTTGAATTATGAGTCGGATTTATAAAAATTTTCTTACATTTTCTCTTTGTCTTTCTACTTTAAAATTTTTTTGAGTTATAAGACTTCAAAGTTAAAAAAAAAACAAAAATTGTTTGTTTTTGAAATCCTATCGATCTTATCCTGCCTTAACCTACTCTATCCTATCCTACATTACTTTTCTTACCTTATACCTCGACTTAGCCTTCTTTTACCCTACTATGCCTTACCTTGCCCTTGTCTTACCGTGCTCTTAACTCATCTTACCCTACCTTGCCCTTACCTCACACTATCTTACCTTACCTTATCCTATATTGTTTTACCTTTCCTTTTCTTTACCTTGGTCTATCTTACTTTATCCTACTCTATCTTACCTTCTTTTATCTTACGTTACCTTGCCCTCACCTTACACTCTCTTCCCTTACCTTGCCCTTCTTTTATCCTACCTTACCCTACCTTGTCTTTACCTCACACGTTTTTATTTTGCCTTATTCTGTCTTACTTTAAATTTCTTTTAACTTGCTCTATCTTATCTTTCTTGCATAATTTACTCTATAATATTTTACTTTGCTTGGTCTTACCTTATTTTACTTTTAATTACACCGTACTTTGTTTTACCCAAGTTTACGCTACTGTCAATCTTGTAGGCTTTCTTGCTGCAGCAGTATTGGATTTTTCTTACCCTATTTTACCTTGAAATACTATAACATACTACAATAACATATTTAGTTCACTAACGAAGGTATTGTCTTGATTTTTATACCGAAAATTTAGTGTAGTATATTTATATTTTACAATTCTAAATTAAAGTACAATAAAATAATACTCAATGAGTTTTGACCTCTCTAGCAGTTACTTTACAAGTGTAAGGATGCATAGTCGTCGAACCGGCAGTAGGCCATTTTTGAAGAACAGGCATGCCTTTCGTGGAAGGTGAGAATGTATACAGATGAATTAAGTTGGCCATGAACAAGAATAGCTCCATTCTAGCCAATGCTTCACCCAAACATGATCGTTTGCCCACTCCAAATGGCATTAGGGCATCTACTTTCATTACTTGCCCCTTGGCATCTAGGAATCGTTCTGGTTTGAAGGATTTTGGCTCTGGGAAGTACTCTGGGTCTTCTAACATAGCTGAGATTTGAGCTATGCATATTTGACCTTTTTTAATTTCATAGCCGTTTAAATTGTAGTCATTTGATGCTACACGAAGTACGTTCTCTGCTACTAAGTTGGAGCAGCGCTGGACTTCCTGAAATATAATTTTTTAAATTTTAAGCCAAAAAATAAGGTTTAATTACATGAAAGAAGGATTACCCTACCCTACCTTACGCTATTCTACCCTTCCTTATTCAATTTTGCTTTAGTTTGCCTTATCTTATATCACTTTGCTCTATCTTACCTACTTTGTCCTATCTCATTCTACTTTGACCTATCTTGCCTTAGCTAGCTCTACCTTACCAAACATTGCCGTACCTTATTTTACCTTTCTTTATCTTATTTTACTTTGCTTTATTTTATCTAACCTTGCTCTATCTTACTGTACCTTGCCCTAGCTTATCTTGTTTTGCCCTATCTTACCTTACTTTGCCCTATCTTACCTTACCTTACTTGCCCTATCTTACTTTACTTTGTTCTATCTTACCTTAAATTAAACTAGCTTACATTACTTTGCCTTATTTTACCTTATCTTGCCATATCTTACTTTACATTGCTCAATCGTACCTTACTTTGTCCTATCTTACCTTACTTTGCCCTATCTTACTTTACTTTGCTCAGTCGTACCTTACTTTGCCTTATGTTACCCTACACTACCCTACGTTACCCTACCGTACTCTATCCTACCTTGACTTATACTACTTTACCTTACCCAACTTTGCCATACCCTATTGTACTTCATTCTACCCTACCCCACTTACATTAACAAGAGCGTTCATATAAGGCAGATCATTTTTGTCGCTCATAGTGATAACTCTATCACTTCCAATCACTCTGTCCAACTCTTCGTGAGCTTTCATTTGCACTTCAGGGTTGTGAATCAAGAAAGCAATACCCCAAGTGATAGTAGTACTAGTAGTTTCCTGGCCCGCTAGCCAGAAGTCAAAAGCCATGTTCTTGAGCTGAATGTCAGAGAACAGTGAAGTATCTTCACCATTGGCTTCCATCTTCTGAACTTCCATCAAATAGGCATCAACATAATCGCGAGGCTCAGTATGACCTTCAGTTTGAAGACGCTCTTTGTGCTCGGCAATGTTGTTGTCCATGTCTTTGAAGATGTCTTGGTATGTTCGGACTAAGTCCATACAGAACTTGCCGAGGATTGGCAGTTTGTGTAGGAAACCAGTCGCAATCCAGATGCGAATGATTGGGTTGCTAAACTTGGTCATCCATTCATGAAGATGATGCTTCATTCTTGTAAACTCGGCTTCTTTATTCTAAAAATGTATGTATAACTTCATGTTGGTGCTCATGCTCATGCTGATGCTCATGCTCATGTTTATGCTCATGCTCATGCTCATGCTCATGCTCATGCTCATGCTCATGCTCATGCTCATGCTCATGCTCATGCTCATGCTCATGCTCATGCTCATGCTCATGCTCATGCTCATGCTCATGCTCATGCTCATGCTCATGCTTATGCTCATGCTCACGCTCATGCTCATGCTCATGATCATAGACATGAACATAAGCATGAAAAAGACTAGGATTAGGGCTAGCCACATGTTATTATTTACTTACATTTTCAGTGAACCTATAGCCAAACAACAGCGAATTGATAATCGATCCCACAGCAATATCCGTATGAGGGAACAGATCAAACTCTTCGGATTTTTCACGTTCTTCTTCGATTTTGTGTAGTAAGGTGTCGATTTCATGTAAAATCTGAAATATATATTTTTATTAAATTTCAATTATTTTTTTTAAAATTTATTACCAGTGGTACCACTTTGTACCACTAGTACCGCTTTGTACCACAAATATTTTCTTTCAACCAATTTGTGTCAAAAAATTTTTAAATTTTGAAAATAGCACAAAAATTTTTTGAGTATTAGTAGTAACACTTTGTACCAAAAAGTTTTTTTTTATGGAAATTTAATTTTAATTAAAACTATTTTTTGTGACTTAAAATAACAATTTTAAAAATTTTTCAGTACCAGTAGTACCACACCAAAAAAACCATTTTTTATATTACTCACATTCTCCTGCATTTGATTTTTGCCCACGCCAAAATCTCTAAAAACCCTCAATCCAAACCGCCGATGATCCCTTGCATACTTCCATCCAGCAAAGATCAGTCCGTATTGTCCGCCCCGACACATATCATCCAACGTTCCCAAGCTGAAGCGATCCGTAAAAGAATCACCATCTTTGACGAAAACTTTGTTTACAATGTCGGCGTCTGTTATGGCGATGATGGGCATTTCGCTCATCCAATAAGTAAAGATTCGACCGTATTGTTGGGACCATTTCACAAAAACGTCAGGCCAATGAGTAGAGCTTTCTAGGGTGTGGTGATTACCCACTAATGGTAGTGGTGGTGGTCCTGGCGGTAGGTTGCGGCGTTTCCAGTAGTAGTTGTAGAAGAGGACGGCTGTTATTGCGAGGATTATGAGTTGTAAGATCATGGTGAAGGTAGAAAATGGCAAATAACCTCGAAAACAGTAGTTATTATGTAGTCTAAGTACTGAACAGGAAGTTGCGTTTCGATTAAAAAAGCGTTTTGATCACGAGTTGTTCTGTTTTATTACAATAACGAATGTTCTTACAAGCAGGGCCGGGCGCGAGGAGGGGGGGGACGGGGGGGGAAGTACCCTCCCAGAAAAAAATTTTTGAAAAAAATTGAACGTGGCCCCCCCTGTGGATTTTCGGAAAAAAAATTTCGCAAAAAATCGGCACAGGTAGTAGTAGTAGCTACCTGTGCCGATTTTTTGGACCCCCGCCCCCAGACCAAAAGTCCCTGCCCGGCCCTGCTTACAAGTAAAACAAATTAATAGGCTTTGACAAGTCAATACAAAAATAGTCAATGTTAGTGAGAAGTCAATATTTACAAGTTAAAGAAGCGCAAAAAAGTAAAAAGTTAGTGTGTAAAAGCTGAAACGTTTTTAACAAATCTATATAGTAGTAAAATTGATAAATAAAAAATTTCTTTATAACGAAAACGATGTATAACAAAAAAACTTTAAATCTTCGCCTAACACTACGCTTTACGGTAGCCAAAGTCAATTTTTGGTACACTAAAATATTGTAACTATACCTACCTTATCATAGTTTTACCCGAGTCCTATCGTTGCTCTGTTCTTTTCCTACCTAAGCCTTATCCTTATGTAAGGCTAGCATAGATTTAGTTTTATCCCAGTCTTACACCACTGTTACCCTACCTCCATGTTACCTCTATTCTAGCAATATCCTTGCTCTTTCTTCGTCTTATTCTAGCTAAAACATGGGCTTATCATAGCCCTACTCAAGTTTTATCCTGGGACTATCGTAGGCTACATATTTGTTTGCTTTGCTTTAGCCATATCATATTCCTACTCTAGCTATAACCTAGCCCTATCGTAGCCTTATCTTAACCTTAACCTAGTCCTACATATGCCAAAGCTTTTTTATAACAAGCGAATATTAAATTTCTAAGCAAATTCCCGAAAGTTCCTCTCTACGTCATAGTTACACTCTACTCCACTCTACTCAACGATGCTACAACAGCGCTTAATAGTGCTATAGAGTTATGAACATGAGCCGTGTCAGATTTTAGACAATTTTTGACATAGAACGTCAACCTTTTGCAAGCACGTTTTCTGGTTCTTAAAATTTTGTAGCTTTAATCAATTGATGCTTATAATTCAAAGTTTGCGTTTTTATCAATAAAAAAGTAATATGCATCAAAAACGAGTCTTATCTAAGGGATTGTTTTGAATTTCCTTCCCGGCTAGCAAATTTTAGAAAAAAACACGTTTTTTAATAATGGCACAGAAGTGTACTGTAGTACTCTCGTATAACAAATCTCCCGGAAATTCGAAATTTGTACGGTATAATGAAATTTCGAAAAAAATTAAAAAAGTCGTTCTTTGTAACAAAAAAAAATCAAAGAAAACACTTTTATATACTAACCATAGTTTAAATGCTTCTTAGTTAGCGGTAATGAGCTTTCAAGCCTAAAATACTAATTAACAATTAAAAAATTGAACAAATCAAATCACAAATTTTTGTCTGGCATGTTGTTAGGAGCGGTCTATTTAAGCAGGGTTAGGTTTTTGATCGGTTGTAATATTGAAGACAGCTGATCGAAACTACATTTATAACACGTTTGTAGTTCCGAAGAAGCACAAACAAAAAATGAAGTTGTTATCTTTGAAATTGAATTTGGGTTGAAGGTACAGTGGAACCCTTGTATAACGAATAGCTTAAGGATCAGAATTTTGTTTGATATAACGAAGTTACGTATTAGGTAAAACTCAAATTTTTGGCCTGCTCCACAAGACTTGTAAAAGGGCAAGACAAGCCCAAATGTTTCGGCCCGGTCTTTGCCAAATTTTTAAAACCGGTGCCGGGAACGGGTAGACCTAGAGGACCTCCTTTCAAGCCCACGCCTACTAACCGAACTTTGAGTTGGACCCCGGCCTTCAGATCCTCGTACGCGGGCCTGATCCGGGTTTTTTCGGCTTTGCGTTGGACCTAGCGGGCCACTTTTTAGTTATGTCTCATTCATTGGGTTTTAATTTGAGCTCCGACACTCAAACTCATGTAGGCCGGCCTGGTTCAATTCCTTTCATATTTGTTTTGGCGCAACTTGAGCAGGCTTGGTGGCTTAGGGAACCCACTTTTATGTCTAGTATTAATAGTTTGGGGTTTGAACGTTTGTCGCTACACGGAAGTTTTGTTATAGTGCAGTTTGTTATGCAAAAGTTCTACTGAAGAAGAAATAGCTCAACCTGAACTGCTTTAGCTAACTGCAAATTTTATAAAAAAAAAGATGATGCAAATATAAATAAACCTTAAGAGTAAAAGGTACCTTTCTTTGTAAGAGCAACCCAAGACGTATTAAGTGTATTTCTTTTGCAAAGTAATATTTTTAAGAACCTTGTTACACTGTTGTCAAAAAGATCATTTTGATATGATTGATTCTTCTCGAGCTCAAATTCAATTTTTTTGATAAAAATAAGTAACTTTATTTGTTGTTATAGCTTTATTTTACTAAGCAAATATGTACAAAATGATAAACAAGAGTATGACAAACGAAATCGGTTTAGTTGTTTGTGGCGCAGAAAGTTCTTTTAAGTTTTGCACTTAAACCGGAAAAGAGCCCTACTAGGTGCTGTTTAGCAGGGCTCTTTTCCGATCCACACCGGTTTAAGAATTTTTTAAAAAGTTGGACTAAATCGTTCAGGTCCAATAACCGAGCCAAAGTATTAAATTGAACCAAAAGTAGCGGCACGCTGTTTGTGTTTAACTTAGGTCTCGCAACGAAAACTTTAATTTGCAAAAGCTTCATTTCAAACTTTATTAACAATAAAATTAAAGCAACCGTACAGTACAAAAAATAAATTTTATATTTGATGTCTATCGACAACACGGCATTTATAAGCTTTCATTGTTGGCAACGAGCCTCTGGGCCATTTTTGAAGAATTGGCATCTCGGAGTCTTTTGATGGTAGAAACTGAAATGATATAACAATTATTGTCTTTCATAAAAAGTTTCAATAAGATTTAGCTGAGTAAACAAAAGGAACGAGGCGGTCCGAACTTATTGTTTAAAGGCGCTGGTAGCGCAGTGGCTGTGGCGCCGCTCTCTATTCGGAAAAACGTTGGTTCGTCCCCGCGCTCGCTCAGCTCAGACGCCTTGAGGAATGGGTAGTGTTGAGTGCACGGGGACTAAGGCACATCTATATTTGTCTACACGAGTATATGCTTGAGCGCCAGAAGTCTTATGGAGCACCTCACACACGACTCAGTGACACGAGGGACAGTGTAATACCTGGAAAGAGGTATTTCACTGTTCCTCGCGCCTACTTATGAAAAACGTCAGACTCAAGGATAGTTACGTTGGTCTTCATCTGAAGTTTAGTATTTTTACACCTTACCATGTACTTGTTAATCAAATTAGCCATGAATAGGAACAGTTCCATTCTAGCCAGCGCTTCTCCGAAACAAGACCGTTTCCCTACGCCGAATGGCAGAAGTTCGTCGCACTTTTTGAGTTGACCATTCGAGTCTAGGAATCGTTCTGGTTTGAAGGCTTTCGGGTCTGGGAAAAAGTCTGGGTCTTCCATCAAAGCTGACACTTGAGCTATGCAAACTTGACCTTTCTTGATGGTATAACCTTCTAAGTTGTAGTCGACTGATGCTACACGTAACACGTTTTCTGATATTAAGTTTGAACGACGTTGGACTTCCTGAATGACGGTTTTTATGTTGTTGTTGTACTGGAAGGTATGGCTAGCTTTCTCTAGTCTTAGTCCTAGCCCAGAGCCCTAGTCCAAAGCCTTAGCCCAAAGCCTTAGAATCCCAAAGCATTAGCCCCAAGGCCCTAAAGACCTAAAGCCCTAAAGCCCTAAAGCCTTAGCCCCAAAGCCCTAGCCTTGAATCGTGGCGTTAGCCCTAGCTCTAGCCCCAAAGCCCTAACCTTGAATCGTGGCGTTAGCCCTAGCTCTAGCCCCTGAGCCCTGAGTCCTAATCAAAAGCCCTAGCCCCAAAGCTCTAGCCCCAAAGTCCTAACCCCAAAACCCTAGCCCCAAAGCCCTAGCCCTAAAGCCCTAGCCCCAAAGCCCTAGCTCCAAAGTTCCAGCCTCTAACTCTAGCCCTGAGCCCAAGCCAAAAACTCTAAGCTTAGCCTATTGCCCTAGCTGCCAAAAAAACTTACATTAATCAAGGCATTCATGTAAGGCAGATCATTTTTGTCGTTCATATTGATAATTCTGTCACTTCCAATCACCCGATCCAACTCCTCGTGAGCCTTTTTCTGAACATCAGGGTTGTGAATCAAGAAAGCGATGCCCCATGTCATGGTGGTACTAGTTGTTTCTTGACCAGCGATCCAGAAATCAAAAGCCATGCCCTTGAGTTGTAGGTCGCTGAAGCCACTAGTGTCTTCTCCTTTGGCCTTCAGACGCTCGGCTTCCATCAAGTAGGCGTCAACATAGTCGCGAGGTGTAGTGTGACCTTCAGCCTGAAGTTGTTGTCTGTGCTCGACAATATGTTTGTCCATATCATCATAAATTTCGCGGTAAATATCGACCAAAGCATAGCAGTATCGGTTCAAAAATGGCAATTTGTGCATTAAGCCGGTGGCAATCCAGAGGCGATTGACTGGATGAGTGATCCGGTCGATAAAGGTTTGGAGTTGGGACTTCATGCGTCTGAATTCGTCTTCTTTGTTCTGAAAAATGAAAATTCATAAGAAAGCAACGCTTTTTTATCTCGTTGTTGGTTTACTGGACGTATTTTACATTAAAATATTTACACTTACATTCTCGGTGAATCTGTAGCCAAACAAAATGGCGTTGATGATAGAGCCAACTGCAATATCGGTGAAAGGAAACAGATCAAAGTCGTCGTTTATGGCGCGTTGTCGGTCGATTCTCTCCAGCAGGGTTTGGGTTTCGTCCAAAATCTAAAATATTTAGACGCTTATTATAAAGTGTTATAAAGTTTTTTGTAGAGGGGGGGGAAGGGCAGGGAAAGAAGCAATAATATTTTAGTGTACATTAGTACCACATTAGTACCACTTTTGGACCTGGACAGAAGCAAAAAATTTTTTTAGTACTAGTATTACTAATTTTGTTTAAAACAAATGTTTTGGTACTAGGAGTACCACCTTTAGGAAAAAAACATATTTAAGTATTAGTAGTACTATTTTGAACTAAAACTCAATTTTTAGTACTAGTAGCACGTCTTTGAATTAAAAATCGTCTTTTTTTACCTATAGTACCACTTTTTACCAAAAGTCGTAATTTAGTACCACTAGGACTGCTATAGACCGAAAATCGTAGTTCAGTCTCAGTTTTATCAAATTAAACTATTTTTAATAACTTTAGTATTATTTATAAACAAAACTCATTTTGTAGTGCTATCAGACCAGTTCAAACTAAAAAAACATTTTTTGTATCAGTAATAACACATTGAAGCAAAAATGATCTTTAAGCCCAATAGTGCCATTTTAAGTTGAAACTCATGTTTTAGTACGACTATTATCAATTTGAAATAAAAAAGCATCTTTTAGTACTATTAGTACCACTTTTGATCAAAAAACATTCTTTAGTACCATTAGTAACACTTTGAACCAAAAAAAAGCAGTTTTAGTAGCACCATTAGTACCACTTAAATCAAAAAATCATATTTTCAAATAATTTTCTTACATTCTCCTGCATTTGGTTCTTTCCAACGCCAAAATCTCGAAAAACCTTCAACCCAAACCGTCTGTGCTCCCTCGCCACCTTCCAGTCCACGAACAAAATGCCATACTCTCCACCCCGACTCAACTGATCAACCACGCCAAACGAGAAACGATCAGCAAAACAGTCTCCATCCTTAACAAAAACCTTGTGGATCAGTTTTGGATCAGACACAGCAACAATCGGAATCTCGGCCATCCAGTAAGTGATAACCTTGCCGAATTGCTTGTGCCATTTTAGAAAAGTGTCTGGCCAATGTACACAGTTGGCCAATTCAATGGCGTTTCCAGCAAAAGGGAGAGGGGTTGGACCTGGAGGCAAGTTTCGTCGCTTCCAGTAGTAGTTGTAGAAGAGAACCAAAGCGACAAGTGAGGCTAGGATGAGAAAGAACATAGTGATGAGGTATTAAACTGGAAGTATTAATTAGATAATTAGAAAATAATTAGAGATTACTGCGTTTGAAGAAAAAATTTTAAAAAATCCGCCCCTAATAACAATATTTGCAAAAAATTACCACGCCCAACCTTTTTTTTTGCATTTTTTAAAAATATTTAACTTAGATTTTCAAGTTTTGCTATAACAAAAAAATCTACCCCAAAAAAAACATTTGAAAATTACCCCGCCCAAAAAAAATTTTTTTTGAAAAAAAAATTTAGAATAACAATTAAAGTCAAAAAATATCTACCGTACCCTACTTTACCTTACCCTATTCTACCCTACTCTACTCTGCCCTACCCTACCCTACCTTATTTTACATTAACTTACTTTACTTAACTTTACCACACTATACCATACCCACTTTCACTGCACGTTTTACACTCTACAGTATCCTTTCTACCTTACCCGTTCTATGTCCTATCCCACCGTGCCCTTCCTATTTTTAACTTTTATCACCCTGCCCTATCTTAAAGAATCACAATTTTTAAGCACTTTCAAACCCCACCACTCTTTTAAAACGTTTAACTGTTAATTGCTAATGCTTCGCAACAACACCAAAAAATCAAATTAAGTAAAAATGTCTACAAATCAAAGTTATTCGATTATTTTGACTTCTCGGTATAAAAACAAGTGATAAAGCACTTCTAATTCGATCGGCCCTTTTTGAAACTACAAAAATATTCAACCCCAAGCATTTAAAACACAAGATACGAAGTGTTACGTGTAGTTTCGATAAGAGTTTTAACAATTTTGATACTTTGATATTAATCGACCAGTTTTTGGTGTTATAAATTCGTTTTAAAATGTAGATTGAAAGCATATAATTTGTCCTTTTAAAGCTTTTAAAAATAGTTTAAATAAGCTTACGTTTATTAGGCTTAAGATTAGTAGGCTTAGATTGAACTCACGCCAAGCAAACTTGATTTTCATAAGTTAAAGGTTAATAAGCTCATTTTCAGTAGGCTGTTTAAGACAAGTAAGCATAGTCATAGATATAAATTTACTACCTAATTTGATAGGGTAGGGTAGGATAGGGTAGGTAGTGAATTTATATCCTGAAATAGTATGGTCAATGAAAAAGTATTCTTTACAGTAATATGAAACAAACCCCAGCACTCGCAGTCATTTGTTGGGTCGTTTTACGTCGAGGCAAGTATTACAAAAATAAGTAATATTACATAAGAAAAGGTTACGTAACACAGATTCTTGCAATTTCTCTAAGGCTATGATATTATATGATTATGTTAGGTAATAACGGAAAAGTTACATAACATAATAGAACTACGGTTAGGCGTAGGATCAAAACTAGAGCTATCTAAAGACAGGGTTGCAAGATTGAAAATAACTTTTTAGCTTATGGTTTAAAATTTTGAAAAATAAATAACTGTTGTGAAGGTCCGTCTTTGGCTATCAAGTTGTTATCGAAACGGACCGCCCGGACCGGCAAGGCCGATTCGGTTTGGCCGGTCTAAATGTTTTGCGAGGAACTTGTATGAGACGGACCTTCACAAAAGTTATTTATTTTTTAAAACTTTAAACCATAAGCTAAAAATTAATTTTTAATTTTGCAATTTTTGAAAATCCGGCCCGTCCGGCAAAACACTGATCTGGGCTAAGGCTCTGGGCGTAGGGCTCTGGGCTAATTTGCCGACGCCAAACTTTCAATCAATAGAGCCGCCTAACTCTCATTAGAGTTAATAGAAACAAGTATAAATTTTTTAACAAAGTTTATAATGTAATCAGATATGTATTACAACCAGCTGTCAGACATTTGCAAGTATAATAAAAGCGTTTTATTTGTTAAGGTAGACTAATAAATTTTGATTGTACTATAAAGTTCTTCTAATACACTCGTTGGTCTTTAGGTATAACTCGGCATTTGTATGGTTTGATTCCACTTGAATAGCCTGCGGGCCATTTTTGCAAAATTGGCATTTCTTTGTAAGGTAGGAACTGAAAATATGAAAAATGGTCTTTAACTGGCATATTGCTTTATCCTACTCTGCCCTACTCTACCTAATCTTACTCACCCTACGCTTCCCTATCCTATCTCACTTTACTCACCCTTATCCTACCCTGCTTTATCATACCCTACTCAACCTTACCTTACCCTACCATACCTTAACTTTCGAACCGTCATCTTGAGCTAGACCCTTGATAAATTCACTTACACTATACCGGTTGATTAAATTAGCCAAGAAGAGGAACCATTCCATGCTAGCCAACGATTCGCCCAAACAAGACCGCTTTCCAACACCAAATGGCATAAGATCATTGCACTTTGCAACTTGTTCTTTTTTATCCAAGAACCGTTCTGGCTTAAACGCCTTAGGGTCGGTAAACACCTCTTCATCTTCCATCAACGCTGACACCTGAGCAACACACAGCTGACCCTTCTTGATCTCATAGCCATTCAAATTGTAGTCAGCTGAAGCTACTCGAAGCACGTTCTCAGTCATAACATTGGCACATCGTTCCACTTCCATACACAATGCGTTAATGTAGGGTAGATAAGGTTTGTCACTGTTGGTGATAAGACGGTTGGTTCCGACCACTATCTCCAACTCTTCATGAGCTTTCCTTTGAACATCAGGGTTGTGGATAAGGTAGGCTAAGCCCCAGGTTAAAAGGCTACTAGTGGTTTCTTGTCCAGCTAGCCAGAAGTCTAACACTACATGTTTGAGTTGAATATCCACGGAAATGGCTGAAGAGTCTTCATGTTGGTCTTCTGACAATAAATGAGGATTCTTTTGTGGAGCTTCATGTAGGTGTGCTTCAACGTAGTCTTTTGGTTTTGTAATGTTTTCCGAGCAAAGACGTTCACAATGTTTAGAAATGTTCAAATTAAGATCGCTGAGTAGTTCGTCGTAAGCCTTACAGATGTTAAAGCATCTGTTTTTGATAAGATAAATAGGGATTACATTAAAGAATAGTATTGTTAGCGAAATTAGTAGTACGACGTTAGAAAACAAACTTTTTACTTTTGTAACCTGCTCTTTGATACGGTAGAATTCGTGTTCTTTGTTCTGAAAAGTAAGTTTTAGATTATAAGTTTAAAGGCGGAAGAGGGATAACGTAGCGTTTTAAATCCCAACCTAAAAATAGGCCTACTAAGGACAGGCCTTAGCAGTTGGCTCGGCTTTAGACAGGCGTTAGCCCTGATTTAGGTTGGTCTTCGCTCAGCTATAGTTTGACTTTGGCTTAATTTTAGCTCGGCTTTGGAGCTTTGGCTTAGTCTTGTCCCAGTTATTGTTTGGCTTTGATTTTGCCTTTCACGGCCTTGACATGGCTTTGATCCTGCTTTGGCCTGGCTTGGAATGTCTTTGGCCAACTGTTTATATGTTCTTGGCAAAGCCAAAGGACTTGGGTCTAGCCTTAAACCGGCCTTGGACCGGTGTTTGTTTGGTCTTGTTAAACAGCCCGAGTTTAGTTTAATTTTGACACGGTTTTTGCTAAGCCTCAGACCGGTTTTGGCTAGGCCCAAGCCTTTTTTCCCGGCTTTTTACAAGATTAGCTACTATTTCGGAGATACTTACATTTTGAGTAAACTTGTAACCAAACAAAAGCTGATTCAATATTGATCCAATAGCAATATCTGTCAGTGAAAACATATCTAATTCGTCGTTCTGTTCACGTTGTTTCTCAATTTTTGTTAACAAAATTTTAACTTCTTCTAGGATCTAAATTATTAAATTGCAGTAGGGGAAGGTTTAAAAGTTTTATCTTTTTAAAAAGAGGCAAAAGTAAGACATTGAAGATAGCAGCTTTTGAAATAGCCTAACTTGTCATACACTGCCATACATTACCCTACTCTGAGGAATTTGTTACAGTGGAGTTTCATTGTATACTATACCTAAACAACTTACATTCTCCTGCATTTGACTTTCAAAGTCTTTAAAAAACTTCAATGCAAACCGTCTATGCTCTCTAGCATGATCCCAATTAGCAAACATGACACCACTTTCTCCACCACGAACAACTTCATTCAACAATGTGTAGCGATTTACAAAAGAATCACCATCTTCAACAAAAACTTGATGTATCAGGTTGACGTCGGTTATGGCAATAATTGGGAGTTCTCCAAACCAATAGGTAAAGGTTTTTCCGTATTTCCTAGACCATTCTAAAAATTTGTCAGGCCAATGAGGTGACGAACGAAGTTGGAGAAGGTTGCCAAAGAATGGCAATGGGGTTGGCCCTGGGGGCAATTTGCGAATCTTGTAGATAAAATGGTAGAAACAAAAAATGGCGATTAGTAGCGCAGCTTCAGCAACAAAAACCATTTTGTTAAAAAGATAGGTTGCAGTTGGTTTTTACTTGCCGTCAAGACGTGGTGCTAATAGAAAGAGCTAAGGTCTTATAGCAATTAGTTGCAAATAACAAATAATTGCAAGTAAAAATTAGTTGCAGGCGCCAAGTAGTTGCAATTAGCACTAAGTTGCAACAAATTCGTGAAGTTTGAAGCTGTTGCAAGTTCTGGCAAAAACTTCTGCTGCTTTACATGCAATACTCAAAGGAGGGTTGTTAAAAATAGTGCTCAATCAACTTCTATGAAAAATACAAATGAATTTTTATATACTTCATAACATGAAATTTCTGTTAATCACTCGGAATTGTATAGACAATATCCTTATGCTTCATTGTTTTATATCAAGACAATATAATTTTTGTTTTTACTAGAAATCTTCTGACGACATTAATAGCTCTTGAACAACCAGTTTTCGTAAGAATAGACAAAATAGTAGCAGCAAAAAAATATTAATAGTTTGCTTCCGTACTCACGCTACTATCCCTACTTTATGCCGCCCTATCCTACCCTTCTCTTAGCCTTCATAGCCTTTCTATAACCCATCCCTATTTTGAAATACTGTATTACACTTACATTAACAATAATTTATAAATGATAAAAATTACTGTTCTCAATTTATTAAATTACAAAAAAAAGTATTTTAAAAAAGAAAGCACACGAGTTGTTTATAATTAAAGATGTTTTCGTTCAACAATTTTGCATTTGTAAGGTCTGAGGAGGGTTGCCATGCCTGTGGGCCATTTCTCCAGAATTGGCAATTCTTTGGCTGGCAGAAACTAAAACACAGTAAAATTGTGTTATATATGACCTACCCTACCTTACCAAAGCAAACTCACCTTATACCGGTTAAGCAAATTAGCAATAATTAAGAACAATTCCATTCGAGCCAATGCTTCACCAACACAAGATCTCTTGCCCACGCCGAATGGAATAAGTTCGTCGCATTTTTGGACCTGCCCATTCGAATCCAAAAACCTCTCCGGTCGAAACTCCTGAGGCCTTTCGAAATAATCAGGATCTTCCAGCACGGCGGACAATTGGGCTAGACATATCTGACCTTTTCTAATTGTATATCCGCCAAAATGGCAATCACGGTTGGCCACACGGAATATGTTTTCGCTTATCAAGTTTGCTCTGCGTTGGATTTCCTGAATCAATTTATTAAATTGTGTGCCCTGATTCTAAATGTAGCTCTAGCCCTAGCCCCAGAGCCCTAGCCCCAGAGCCCTAGCCCCAGAGCCCTAGCCCCAGAGCCCCAGAGCCCCAGTGCCCCAGAGCCCCAGAGCCCTAGCCCTAGCCCTAGCCCCAGCCCTAATGATAGCCCTTCTCAAGCTCTGACGTACTTATTGTACTGTAACTCACCATAATCAAAGCATTCATATAAGGAAGATCATGTTTATCAGCCGTAGTGATAAGCCTATCACTGCCAAGAACCCTCTGCAGCTCTTCGTAAGCCTTGTCCTGATGTTCAGGATGATGGATCATAAACGCGATGCCCCAACTAATAGTGGTACTACTAGTCTCTTGCCCAGCTAACCAAAAGTCAAAGGTTATATTCTTCAACTGGATATCCGAGAAAAGGGTACTACTTTCACCACTTGCTTCAAGTCGCTTTTTCTCCATCAGGTAGGCGTCAACATAGTCACGAGGTTCGAAATTGTCATCTTGTTGATGTAGGAACTGTTTATGTTCAATGATATGTTTGTCCATGTCAGCAAAGATCTCCTTATGTGTCTGGACTAAAGCTTGGCACGGTGCTCGACAGAAAGGCAGATACTTGGCTGGGCCAAAGCCGGCCCACAGGCGGATCAGAGGGTGGAGAAAACTGTTCACATAGGTATGGAGTTGGGCCTTCATGCGGATAAATTCTTGTTCTTTACCCTGGAAATTTGCTTACAGTAAACATGTAGGTAGAAATGCGGCTACAACAGCATTTACAGATACAGTAAACTACATTATGTTCTTATACTGTACTAGAATTTACAAATAATTAAAGTAAATCTAGCTTACGTTTTCAGTAAATCGATAGCCAAACAACAAACTGTTGATAATTGAACCAACTGCCATATCAGTCAACGGAAACAAGTCAAACTCTTCCTTTCCCAACGCTTCATTGTCAATCTTTTCGAAAAAATTTTGAATTTCCGCCAGAATCTAAAATTGTTTTTGAATATTTTATTGTACAGTACTACCTATACTTACTTTCATAATCTAGATATAGGACCAGACCTAGAGTTAGAGCTAGAGCTAGAGCTAGCGCTAGAGCTAGAGCTAGAGATAGAGATAAAGCTAAAGCTAGAGCTAGAGCTAGGGCTAGAACAGGTTAGTCATAAACATAACCGAGTACTAACTATAGAAGGGGGAAATTTTAGCTAAGGATTTAAAGATTGCTTTTTATACAAATAAGAGTGGCTAGCTTTTTTTATCAAAACATGTTCATACAAATAAAGCAACGGAAAAATTTTTTTGGGCGGGGTAAAAAATTTTAAAGGGTGAGAAAAAAAATTTTTTTTTTTTAAATTTGGGGTGAAGATAGTAAAACAAAAATTTTGCTGCACGGGGTAAAAAAAATTCTAGGAGGTGGGCAATGAAGTAAAATAGCAAAATTTTTTTTTAGAAAAAAGGGAATTTTTTGAAAATTTTTTGCATTTCTGTTAACTGGGTATGCCCCTGCCATCCTCTAACTCAACAATACAATCCAACCAAGCTGTTATCACCTAAAAAGACTTACATTTTCTTGCATTTTGTTTTTTCCCACACCAAAATCTCGAAAAACCTTCAGTCCGAATCTTCGATGATCTCTGGCCAAGTCCCATTTCGCAAATATCAGTCCATATTGGCCGCCACGACAATCGTCATTCAGTGTGCCCAGTTCGAAGCGGTCAACAAATATGTCTCCTTCTTTTATAAACATCTGATTTATCAGTTTGGTATCAGTAACGGCTACAATTGGCATTTCACTCAACCAGTAAGTGAACATCTTGCCATATTCTTGAGACCATTTTAGGAACAACCCAGGCCAATGTTTGTTGGTTTGTAAGGCTAGCGCGTTGCCAAGTAGGGGTATTGGTGCTGGGCCTGGGGGTAGATCTTTGCGTTTCCAGTAGTAGTTGTAGAATAACAGTGCTACGATTAGGAGGGCTATTAGAGCGAATACTGCCATGCTGTAAAAATATGTAAGTAAAAAGTTTAAAAAAAATTATAATAGTAAAATAAAACACAGTAGTAAAAACATTGTATGACGAAACGCGATAAGTGATACTACCGGCATAACTTTTCGAATACTTTTTGTGACATTTCGTCCTATTTTTAAATTTTGCAAATCTAGAAAAAAAATACCCTATCCTACCCTGCCCTATCTTACCCTATCCTAACCTACTCTATCTTACCTTACACTACCCTACTCTACTCTACCCTGCCCTACTCTACGCTATCCTACTCTACCCTGATGTACTTCAATTTAATCTAGCCTGACTTTCCGTACCCTACTCTACCGTGTCCTACCTTACTTTACTTCTCCCTAACGTATTCTACACTACCCTTTTACACTCCTCTACCGTGTTTTACTTTGCCTTAATTTGTTCTCTACCTTACCTTACTCAAGAACTATCATTATTAATAAATTTGTGACCATTAGTTAACGTAAAATGCTACTAAGCCATAAAAAATATCTTATACAGTGAAACTTCGGTACAACGAGTCTCTCGTGGATCTTAACTTTGTTTGTCCTAATTTTTTGTAGAGAAGTTCATTATAGTGGAAGTTGTTATACAAGAGTTTATTAAACAAAAGCTCCTCTGTGCTAACAAATAAAAAAACAAAAACCTCTACAAAACCAAAACCTTTTGTTGTAATCCACACTTTTACTTCCAGCAACCAGCAAACACGTTCAAAACATACGAAGATAAACTATATGAACCAGACATAACACCAAACTGGAAGCAATTAAAACTATTTTCCACATTTTTTAGCTGTTTTGAGCCATTTTTAGTTAGAAAAAAGAACGCGAAAACACAATAACAATGAAGATTTAGTCTGTTTACATGTCTCAAACGTGCTCGACCAAAACAACACTCAACAGGTAATAAAATGGCAATTGAAATTGCATACTTTGAAATGGCAATAGATATTATTTTGTGTCAATGAAGGTTACAAATGAAATACAAATGTTAAGATGTGAAGTATATTGACATTCCTAAAAAAGGAAGTAGTTTACGTTGTTTTTGCCTTGTAAAAAATTGAAAAAGACGTGTTTTTCTATAAAAAACACCTTGTTGACCACTTTGTTTACTTTTTCTCAAAAAAGCGCTAAAAGACCTTGTTTTAGAAAATATAACAAAAAATGGAGAAAAAAGACGATAAACTTTGTAAATGGATAGGTATTAACTGGATGGATGCTGAAGAGATGAGATGGAACAAGGCCCTTAGTGACTACACCGTGGAGATCAATGAGTATTGTCATGTATGAATTGCTAGAAATTGTTAATTCTATGTGTACTTCATTATTGATTGTAGGTTGATATAGTAGTGAAATAAATGAAAAAAGTACGTTGGTTCATCAGATACAATGCTACGACTAGACACTAAAGTGAGGTACGGGTAGAATTGGGAATAACAGTAGGCAGTGGCTTTGGAAGGGGCATGGGGTATCCATCTCCAAAAAAAATTAAAAAAGTTGAAAAATAATCCCCCCGTAGATGTTTAAAAAAATTGCAAAAAGTCGGAACAGGTATCCGATTTTTTCGACCACCGCTCCAGACCAAAAGTGCCCGCTCAACCCTGACAGAAGGACTAAGGATAGGAAAAACGGTGCCGATAGGACTAAAGCTACGTGGCCAAAACGCTACGCTAGAGGTCGGAGATGGCTGAGGCTAAGGCCGGCTGTCACTAACAATGTAAGGCGCTAATTTTTTTTGGAACCACGAACCACAAATGTTGTTATCAAAGTCTGTTTAAAGTGTGGTTTGGTTCAAGTAATGAACCATAAGTTTAAATTGATTATAATTAATTTAAAATTAATATTATAAATAATAAAAGACAAAACAATTTTTTTAATTTTCAGTCGCTGAATATGACAGTGCTTTGTTTCAAACTCCAAAATTTGAGCCAGCATGTTCCAGCCTGGCCAATCTTTTTTTATGTTTGATTTTTCTCTACCCTGCCTAGCTTTTTTAAGTTTTCTTTGGTTTGGCCTAGCTCGATATGTCGTTAGAGCTAGGCTTTCTAACCCCTTTTTCAAGCCTACTCTGGACATCTGTGACATTCGATAACAACTTCAAGTTTTTCTAACTGCCGTTCGTATTAATAACTTGCAATCAGGGACGTCGTTTGGGGGGGAGGGGTACCCCCCCCAGAGCCGATTCGAAAAAAAATTTCACAGGTGGGTACCTGTACGCGGTAAAACGAAAAAAAAATTTTTTGAAAAATAGGTAGCAGCTACCTGTGGACCAAAACAAAAATTTTCGACCTCCCCCCCCAGAGAAAAACCGTAGCGACGTCCCTGCTTGCAATAACTTCAAACGTACTTATATATTTGATATTTTAGTATTGTGTCATTATAAATTACCACAATTAACGTATAATGACACTTAGGTTTACTTCCTTGAGTGTCATATTAAAAACAGTAGCGTGACTGTACTTGATATCTTTTACAAGACAGTTATAAAGAAGTTTGTTATAAAGGAATTTGTTATACAGAAGTTCCACTGTACTCAGAATTAATCTAAACGTAAGTGTAATTGTAATTGATGACAATTCGTCAAGTGTAGACTTCTTTTATGTGCTGAACAAGGAGGACAGCTGCATTAAAAAGCAATTTTAATAACTTTCTCATGTCTTGTTTTCGTAACTATATATTAAAGTCGAGTGCTGTTATATCACCATTGAATAGAAAAAAAGGGGTGTGTAACAATTACATTCAATAGAACATTTATATAAGGAATTGCTTGAAGATTTTAAAATTGCTTGCTGTAAATGGTGGGGCTAGAATACGGATAGTTTAATGTTCTGATTAGGCAAGTGTAGGTTGTAGAGATAGAGTTAGGATAGGGCTAAAGTGGAGTTGATGTAAAGCTCGAGTAGAACAAAAAAAGTGCTACGATTCAGCTAGGAGAGGACTAGAGTAGGGCTTGGTTAAGCTTAATATAAGGCTAAAGAAGGGCAGGTTAGAACTGTAAGAGAGCTAGAGTAAGCCTAGAGTAAAGGCAAACTAAGGCTACATACAATATTTTAACGTTCAGATAAAGGCCTTTATTACAATGGAGCTTTTGTAAACAAATTGCTTAGAATTTATAGGAGAGTTTATCATACAAGAATTTTGCTGTATTGCGGAGAAACTTTTTCAGTATGACGTTTAAAAGACTGGACCCCTCTCCCCCAGAAAAGTTTTGAAAAAAGTTGAACGTGGTCTCCCCTGTGGATTACCGGAAAAATTTTTCGCAAAAAATTGGCACAGGTAGAACTACATGTGCCGTTTTTTTGGACCCACGCCCCCAGGCCAAAAGCCCCCGCCTGGCCTTGACTATGGTGCCACAGTACTTACAATTAGATATTTCTTGATAGAGTTCTCAAAGGACCGTTGTTTGTTATAAAGAGAGTGTCACAATATTCAGAATTATACTGCAGTAATTACTCTGTAATTTGTTAGAACTTTGGCTTTAATGACACTAAAAAACGTACTATAAACAGTACGTTTTTGTTTTTTAAGCTCAATTTCGTACTAATAAAGCCAAGATGAAAATAGTTTGTCGTAAAGGCATCGTTACATTGAGCCCATTGCACCTGTCCGCAGCATTTCGCTGTTATTGAAATTTCCTGTTTTTATGTTTTTTCCGACTTTAGCGTAAGGTGTACGTACAATAAAAAATATGGTACTTTTTGGTTGTTTTAGATAGAATGGAACTAGAAGATTTAAGCTTGGTATGTCTCGGCTAAGAAAGCTAAGGTTTAGTAGTTTAAAAGACGATTTCTGAGACAGTGAACCAGCCTGAAACAGGCAGGTGCACTAGAAATTAACCCCCTGTTTTTATCGTCTTAATGCATGAGATAAACCGTTTTAAGATGTATAGTGAAGTTTTTTTTGCACAAAATGTCATTTTGACATTTTTATGACATTTTTTGTCAAAAACAGTGAAAATTTATAATAATTTTAAAAATTAGCAGAATGTTTTAAAAATTTGTACACTTATGTTTTTAACTATGCTGATTAAAATTGTAGTTAAACATTTTTTTCTAAAGTTACCGTAACCTACCGTAACCCAACCGGACGATTAAAAAAGTGCAAATAAAAAAAAATTTAACACGGTTAGTCATAGTCAATTTTAGCATATTTCAAATCTACATGAAATTTGGGTTTGAATAAACGGTACGATCAAACTTAAAGCTGCCAGTTTTTGGGGTTTTTGGTCAATTAATAAATTACGGTAGGATACGGTCAAAAAATTAAAAAATTACTGTGCCATTATTAATATATCAAATGCCGTGTAATTTGTTATACTTACGTTTCAAAACACGCTTATTAAAATTGTAGTTGAACATTTTTTTCTAAAGTTACCGTAACCTACCGTAACCCGCCCGGTCGATTATAAAATTGCAAATAAAAAAAAATTTAACACGGTTAGTCATAGTCAATTTTAGCATATTTGAAATCTACATGAAATTTGGGTTTGAATAGACGGTACGCTCAAACTTAAAGCTGCCAATTTTAGGGCTTTACGGCCGATTAAAAAATTACGGTAGCACAATGTCAAAAAATGTAAAATTTTACTGTCGCTTTGCTAATTTTATTTGCACTTTTTTAATCAACCGGTTGGGTTACGGTAGGTTACGGTAACTTTAGAAGAAAATGTTCAACTACAATTTTAATCAGCATAGTTAAAAACATAAGTGTACAAATTTTTAAAACATTCTGCTAATTTTTAAAATTATTATAAATTTTCACTGTTTTTGACAAAAAATGTCATAAAAATGTCAAAATGACATTTTGTGCAAAAAAACTTCACTATACATCTTAAAACGGTTTATCTCATGCATTAAGACGATAAAAACAAGGGGTCAATTTCTAGTGCACACCATGCTTCACCGTCTCAGAAATCGTCTTTTAAGGTTCAGAAGTCTCAGGCTTAGTTGATTTAAGTTTTGTGGCTTAGGTTTAATAGACTTAAAATTAGTAGGCTTTAGCTTAGTAAGCTCAGGCTTAGTAGTCTCAGGCTTATTAAGCTTAGGCTTAGTGAGTTTAAATTCAATGTGCTTAGGCTTAGCAGGCTTAGGCTTCGCAGGCTTAGGCTTAGCAGGCTTAGTCTTATTAGGCATAGACTTAGTAAACATTGGTCTAATAGGCATACGTAAGGAGCATACGCGTAGTAGGCTTAGCTAAAGCTTACCAAGCGTATGTTTTGTAGAGAAAATTTATACCTTAAAAAAATACTGTTCATGAAAAGGATTTGATTCAGTAATGTCAAGCGAAACCCAGCACTTGCAGTCATTTGTTGGGACGTTTTACACCGAGGCAAATATTACAACAATAAACAATATTACATAAGAAAATGTTGCGTAATACGAGTTCTTGCAATTTCTCTAAGGCTATCTTATCATAAGTTTATATTAGGTAACGGCGCTAAATTTACGTAACATAATAGGGCTAGGGTTCAGAGTTCCTCCCGGACCGGATTTAATGCAGGAGTTTGGAGTTTGAATTTTATTTTCTCGCGCTTTTTTCTACCAGTTGGATCGGTCTGAAACTTTTTCTACTTCTATTCGGAATGGACATTTCTCTGTTAGTATTTTGATATTATAATGGTTTTCGAGATATTCGTTTGACGGGAAAAAGAAATTCAAAAAGCCGGACCGAACCCAAAAGGGAAAGCTCTGGAGCTAAGACTAGAAATAAGAGCTTTAGTCCTAATCTTGAGCTAGGCTCAAGACTAGAACCAAGGTCAGTTTAAGGACTATTATCAGGACTAGAATCAAGAACAGAATCAGGGCCGTTTGGTTGTTTTCGGCACTATAAGTCTACGCTAGGGCTAGGTTACAAAAGGGCTATCTTACTGTACTTAATGGGGTTCATATTATTGTTAATTCTCAAACGGCACACTGACCACGCCCATAATTTATTACATTTCAAAGTGGATTTACTTAATGTCAATTGAAAGAGCAGCCCATTTCAGATGCTACCAGGCCAACTAGCAATAAACATCTTTAACGTTGTAGAAGCTATTATATTGTTAATAAACTTTGTCATCGCCTTGAAATGCTTAAACAATTTATCGACTACAAAAGAAATGACAAACCTACGCATACTATCTGTCATTCTTAATGTTCAGTCAGTTTTGTACGCAATCTCAAGGTCGTTGTTGCTAGTTCAAGAACACCATGATTACTTGAAGTACTGGCCGTCAGAAGTCTTAAAACGGATTCGATGCTTTGCTTTAATGTGGGCATTGTTTTGGCTGTTTTTCGTTTCAATGGAACGGTTTGTCAGCACGGTGTTTGTCAACAGTAATGATGGGAATAAAGAAAAAGAGTTCTCTGTTTCTTTATTTGGGGTTTTTGTAAGTTTTATTAGGTGCCGGCATAAAGAACCCGCCATACTTTGTCCATAATTTCCTGTAAAAAACGGCGGGTTCCTTATGTTGGCACCTAGTTTATTATTTATATTTTTTAGAAACGAACTTAAAATTAATATAATAGTATATAATAATAATGACAATAATGGTTATATATTTTTTCTTTTAGTTTTTAATGTGCACTACAACAACAATAATGGACAAATTGCGTAAGTGCTAAAATTTGTTAATAACCAGTATTAGACAGACAATCTCGAGGTAGAGAAGGACATAAGAAAACACGTAGAGCACGGTAAAAGGCAGTAAAGCATGAGAATATAGGGCAGAAGATAAAACAAAAGAAGTCAGGGAAAAAGAAGATATAACAGAAGAAGTTAGGATAGAAAAAGATAGAGCAGAAGGATGTAGGGTATGAGAAAATAGGACAAGAAAAAGTAAGGCAGCAGATGATCGGGCAGAAAATGGTAAGACAAAAGAAGACGGGGCATGGGAAGTTAGGGTGGTAGGAGAAAGCAGGGCAAGAGAAGATGGAACAAAAGAAGGAAGAGCAGGAAAATAAAACAAGAGATGATAAAGCAGAAGAAGGTAAGAAAGGAGAAGATACTGTAGAAGAAGATAGCGCTGAAGAAGATAGGGCAGAAGAAGATAGGGCAAGAAAAGACAAGGAAGGAGCAGGCAGGGCAGGAGAAGATGGAACAAGAAAGATAGGACAGAGAAGAGAGTAAGGATAATATAGGGTAAAAAAGATAGAGTAAAAGAAGATGAGAAAACAATGTAGGGTAGAGCAGGAAAAAGTAAAAAAGTGAAAAGTAAAGGGTGGGGTAGGATAATAAAATATTATTAAAAGTATAATTTTAGACGACATTATGCCTCTTTCGACGACCAATGTACTCTTGTCAGTATCTGGTGCTATGTCAGGGTTGTCTTTAGTGGTACGTTTACGCTTTTAAATGTAAAAATTTTTGTGTCTTACTGTCTCATTGATATGTCCATTTCCAGGGGTTTTGTCTGCTAAAACAGGCTAATATATACTTATATCGCAAAATGAGATTTGCTGGACTTATAATGCAGTATAAGGTAAGAGAAGGTAATTATAACTTTTAAATATAGTAAACTTTTGATTTTCAAATTCTTTCTAGATAGCAAGAAACATCCGACTGTTAGGAAAACTAGAAAAATGGTACATTCTAGTATTTTTTAACTTTACTTTCACTAACATATTAATATTATCAAGCTACACGCTTTTCGAACATACAGTTTTACAAAAACCCGTGTTCTGCCTCTACCTTATTTTACTGTCAATTTTGTTTACACTTATATCGTTGGCTGGAACAGCGCAAAATAACTGCAATAATCATTGGTAAGTCACAGTAGAGACAAATGCAGAGGTAGGGGTAAAGCTAAAAGCTGGTGATAGGACTTTAAAACTATGACTCTGGGATAGGGATGTAGGCTAGAGCTCTGGACTAGGGCTTTTGGCTTGGGCTTTTAGCTAGGATTCTGAACTGTGGCTTTCGAGCTAGAGCCTGGGCTTTGAGATAGGGCTCTGGGATAAGGCTTTGGGCTAGGACTCTGGACTAGGGCTCTAGGCTAGGGGTCTGGACTAGGGCTTTTGACGTGGGCTTTTAGCTAGGATTCTGAACTATAGCTCTAGAACTAGAGCCTGGGCTTTGAGCTAGGGCTCTGGGATAGGGCTTTGGGCTAGGGCTCTAGGCTAGGACTCTGGACTAGGGCTCTAGGCTAGGGGTCTGCACTAAGACTTTGGGCTAGGGCTTTGGGCTAGTGCTCTGGGTTAAAGCTACGGCTTTCGAGCAAAAGCTTTTGAGCGAGAGCTCTGCGCTAAGGCTCTGGGTTAGGACTTTGTGCTATAACTATTAGCTCTAGCTTAATTGTGACACCTCGTTCACATAGTATTGACTTTATCTTTTCAATAATCATGTTGCAGTAAAACAATTGGACCTAAGCAAAGCAAAGAAGTTACAATTGTAAACGTATTTAATGAAAACATTTATGTGGAAAACACACCTGAAAACAATTTCCATGCCCTTCAACAGATATGGTTGGAAACAAAGAGCAGGAAATAATTTTAAATTTTGTTTTTAATTTATTATTTTTAAATCGAAAAAGGTTTAACCTTTGGCTGCCATTGCAACAGTACCGTATCCATTTGCAACGTATTATAAAACCCTGTCATTAAACTATCACGTTACAACACATACGCAACAAAAATAGCAATTAGCCAAGTTAGATACAGGTTTAGAGCACTTGAAATCACAAGAATTTAATGTTTTAATTGCATGGTTTAGCCAAAAATTTAGCTATAAATATCGTCAAAACGTTTTTGTTAAATGAAGTTTTATTGTAAGTTTTATTTTTTGGAATTAGTTGCTGGTAATGTATCTTAAATTACTCTAATTTGTAGTACTTACCCAATTTTACCATATCATACCGTACCATACCCATACCATACCATACTCTATTGTGCTTATGCCACTTTTACTCTCTTATTATAAATGACAACACAGTATGTGAGTATCTAGAATAGGGTAGTGTTATTCAAATAAATAATTGTTTTAAGCTTACTTTAGCTCTTCTTTAGTTATATATATTGCTAAACTTTTTTTCTTGTTTTTTATGTATTTAGTACTACATGTTATTGCGCTTTCCTTGTAGATAAAAGCAACTAATAACTTCTATCAAGGTTAATGACAAATTTGTGACAGTTTTTTTAATAAACAGCTGAAAATTTATTATTAATGGAAGTTAGTAAGGGACAGAAGTAAAAACAACTTTGATTTTTACACGTCGTTGTATGTGGCAAAGTTTTGTCATCAGTACTTTAGTTTTTGCCTTAGGTTTTTTTTCTTTTGATGTTAAAATAATTTTTTGATTTTTGTTTGAATACAAAAAATGCTGTTTTGTTAAAAATTGAACAAAGAACACGTGTTCTTCTCGTAAATTTATCATTGCGACAAACTTACTTGTAGTAATAACTGTAGCTTTGACAATAGTCAAGTGGATAAATACAAAATACAATTCGTTTTATACTCGGTAACTAACCGTAAAGCTGAAAACGAGAGGCAACAACTTTTTTATAACTTTGTGTTTGATAGAAAGTTTGAATTAAGGTAAAGCAAGGTAGGGTAAAGAAGAGTATGTAGGAAAAAGTAAAGCCACACGGTAAAACGAAGTGGGGCAAAGTAAGGCGCCGTAGGGTAAAGCAAAGAACCGTAGGTCAGGGTTAGGCACGGTACGGCAGGGTAAGGCACGATAAGGGACGAAAAAAGCAAGGCAAGGTAGGGTTGTGCAGGGTAGAGTAGAATAGAGTAAAGTAGGGTAGGGTAGGGTAGGGTAGGGTAGGGTAGGGTAGGGTATGGTTTGGTAGGGTAGGGTAGGGCAGGGTAGGGTAGGGTAGGGTAGGGTAGGGTAGGGTAGGGTAGGGTAGCATTTTCTTTCCGTTTTTGAATAATGTTGTTATTCAACCAGTGTTTACCTTGATTTATCTAACGTTTCATTTTCAGAACGCTTGCTTTTTGTACTGTTGGTTGACATGACAATGATTACGATATACTAGTAACAAATTCCATTAATTTTTCTCTTAATGTATGCAAATTAAGCGTTCTTCTTACGTTAGCACTCTATTTTGCATGTAGTATATAGTGCTCAAAGCTTTTGAACGTCATACTATATAAATCAAAAGTATAATAGACGTTGTAGTATACCTAGTACAATATTTTATAGTATAACATTTCATTGTACTACAATAGTAAAAGCATAACTCAAAAAACATGTCTAATACATCACAACTTCTGGCGCTAGACCAACCTTATGACAACATATCTATTAAGTCTATGATATTCATCGAACTAACGATACTTTTTTTGTCTATAGTCGTATCTTGCTTCTACGTTACTCACGTATTGTTGAACTTGAAGAAACAAGAAAAAAACTTTTTTTTCATAATTTCCAACTTTTTTGTCATTGTTCATGGTACAACTCGAATAATACTGATCTACAATAATTACACTGGCTTTACATTGTTAAATAGTACTACAATACAGCTTGTCAAAACTCTTCGGGTGTTTGCAATGTCATATGGGACGTATTGGCTGTGTTTCTTTTGTGTCGAACGCTACTTCGAGGGTTCCGTGTTTGCCGGAAACAATAATAGTGGTTGCTGTACGTGGAAGGTAGTACTCTATACGTCGTATGTAAGTCCTAACAGATTTTAAAGGAGCAGGAAAAGTCATTGTTGAAACTTTTGCTTTTTGTCGCAAAACATAAAAATTAAAAAAGCTAAAAATTTTAGATATCGATCAGTTTGGCAGTAGCGTTCTTGTCCATGATTCGTAAGTTAATTTTACTATCACTAACCCTAAGCGGTAAAAAATAGTCTGAAGGGAGGTTGAGGACCAAGAGAAGAAGATTAACAAATCTAACTAACTACTATGACACTCCTGTGGAAACTGTATTTGTATGACAAACAAAAAACAAGAGTTTATTTTCTACAATGACTAAGAAATCTATTCAGGTGTGTTTGGAGTATCGTCAGCAATGTACGTCGTAGCACCAACCGAAGTTCTTTGTACTGCTTTTGTGGCCAGCGGATTCGTTTTATTAAAACGGACGTTGATAAAAAATTACCGTCGTATACGTTTTGCCTCATTGTCGCGACAATATGAGGTAAAATTTATTTTATTTAAGTCTAGTCCAATACGTTCCTTTAGTTTATCGTCCCACCTTGTTCTTGGTCTAATTGGTCTTTTTCCTTCTGACCTCTAGTTAACCTTCTGTGCCAGGCAAACTCAAATCCGAGTGTACCTTCTGATCCTTCTACTTATAATCACGTTCACCGAACTATTATAACTCTCATCATCTACCCTTCCGTTTTCTTTTTACAAACCAATTTATCCACCTTCTGATAAAAACCAAAATTGTTTCTCATCGTTCTACTTAATTTTGTATTAAAAGGTTTTTTCAGCTAGCCCAAAACATTCGAACTCTTTTAAAGTTCGAAACCACCTACAAGTTCATCGTCGCCATACTATTACTTAACCAATTTTTTCTTATATTCAGCTACGCCGGCGTAGAATACGGCTCACTACAATTCAATGTTAGCTTCACCACATATCTAATACTGGTTGCTTTGACATTCTTATCAGAAGCGGTTGTAATGCTCACTATGGACACAAACTTTCAAGTAACGCAATCAAAGGCTTCAAAGAAACCGAAAGAAGTTGTCAATTTGTTCGACGAAAAGTTGATTGTTGCAAATACGCCGGACAACAATTTCGATGCTTTACACAAGATTTGGCATCAACCACCCATGAACATATCGTCACCAATGCCAACAGTTAGAAAAAGCGAAAAGAGAAAGATTGTTTCGAGTTCGTCGGCACGCCAAAACAACTTTATTAAATAACTAAAAACTCTTGTACAACAAACTATTGATAACAAATTCCTGTACCAGAAAATTTAAATTCCTTGAATAATTTAACGTGCTCTACCCTACATTATTGCACCTCACCAATTCTATCTCTGCTGCCCATCTTTTACCTATTACTACCCAGAAGACGGCTTTGCTTGCATTGGCAATAATAATACCTGTTTTTCACAATGACAATAAAGATTAACGTTAACGTGACAATTCCTTGAAATACGACAAACGACAGACATAAAATAGTGAAATTATCGTACATGCTTGTTACTAATGACGGGTGCTGAACAGACAGACGAATAAAATGAACTTGTTTTGAACCAAATCATTTGTTTTATTTAACTCTGTTATGTGCTGGCTCGGTCTACAGTGATGAACACAATTGCATTAGCAGTTCCATCAGACGAAACGTTTCAATGGACAATAAGTATCCTAGAAATGTCGGTTCTTACCGTAACATGTTTAGTCTTTGCAATAAGTTTTGTCATCAAGTTGGTGCAGCTTCGCTACTCGGTCGATGTAAACGTTTTGTTCATTATAAACAATATCAATGGTATAACCTTTTCGGTTGTTAGGATCATGATTTTTATAAATGCAAACAGCCAACAACCAATAATAAGTGAGACTTATTCTTCATGGCTTAGGTTAATAAGATCGTATTGTACGTCGTACGAACTTTACTTTATGCTGTTTTTGTGTTTGGATCAATGTGTCACTTCTGTTATGGTTATCAAAGAAGTTAAGAAACTTTGGAGAATGGTCTGTTATGCTGGTGTGTATGTTTTATTTGTAAGTGTACCTTATTGATTGTTAGTGCTTTATAAAAAAATGTCTGAACTTCAAGTTAGTTCTAAAATAGGCTGGGTTCAGTATGGCGCCGGGTCTAAATGAATGCTCGAGGGGTTCAGTTATAGTACCGCCCACACTAAAAGAGTTGGCTTACAATCAAAACCTGACTCTTAGGCTTGTGTATGACCGGCAACAAAAAATTTATAATGTTTTATTTGTATTTCATGTTGTTTGATTTACACAGCCCAATTTAATTGTGTTTCAGAGTGTTATTAGTGAAGCGCATAGTGTATGGTATCACAAAAGTAAGTTATCAACTAAAGTATTCCTTTTGCATACGTCAAGATTTTAAAAACTAAGAAATAATTTTTGGATATTTTATAATATTGTATATTGTAGGCTCTTTGCAACACCCAAATCCGTTGGTAACGGTGGTTCCAGCTCTTTGTTTTATGAATATTGGTGCTTTAATTGTAAGTTTTAAAAAATTACACAACAGTCATTTTCCTTGTCATCTTTTGCTTTGCAAAGAAAGTTTTAGCCATTTTTGTTCTGTAAACAAAGTTATTGCTATAATACTTGTAAAGAGAGTTTTTTTTATTACTAACATTTGTTTTTTTACACTGACTGCATTTCTAAAAATGATTTAATTAATATTTAATTATACATCGAACAAAAAGTTACACGTCTAGGTAAACAACTTATTAATTACAGGGGTACGTACTTCTTCGACGAGCTCTCTTTTCTTCGTACGACAAAATACGTTTTGCCGGATTGTTGAGACAGTTCAAAGTTTGTTTGCTTTTAAAACATAATGTTATGTGATAACCAATCAAAACAAAACCGACAAAATAATTTAAAAAACTATATAATTCGAATTCAGCTGCAACAAAACATTTGGATTATACTGCGACTGAAGTCATGCTTAATAGCTCAAGGTGTGGCGTTCACGATCACTGAGTTGTTACTTATATGCAGCGCCTGTCTAAAAGGCGAATCGGATTTTTACTCAACAGTATACTCAGTATACCTTCTTGCATTATCTGTATATTTCTTGACTCAAGCCGTTTCAACGTTTGTCCTGGATCGACATTTAAGATGGAAATTCTCGGCGGAACAAATTGTGCCTAAAAACGTGTTTGACAAAGCAATAATTGTTATGAACACTCAAGAAAACAACTTTAATGTCCTTCAAGCGATGTGGGATGGAGACAAATTGATGAATAAGTGTTGAGTTATAAATGATATGAGATAATGGTTATTGTGACAACATTTGCCATATTTCACAGGCTAAATATATTCTTCTTTAAGTTCCGACGCAGTAAATTAAATACTAACTTGAATAAAAGTGTTTATCGTTGAAAAATATGACTTACGGCACAAATATCTGTGTGTTAAAAACTGTAATTTACTTAAAATGTGTCCACCGTATTTATGGCGAAATAATGAATACGTTATACAATGAAATTAGTAGGAAGTTGCTTTAGGTTACTAAAGCGCAACCTACTAATTACAATACAAAAAAAGATAATAATCGGAATAGGCTGGTAAGTGCTCATTGTGACTTGAAATTAAGCTATAGTCTGTCTGTTTTTAAATGTACCATTATTTATATTTTTTAACCTTAATAACTTCACACTGTCTACATATTTTTGTACGTAACTTTTTAAACTTTTTTTTGCTTTTCTAAAGAAAAAAAATAAAAGCGTTAAGTATTGTACGTATGGCTACTAATGTCATAGACACACCAACAGACACAACACTTGTTTGGATAATCAATGCGTTGGAAATGATCGTATTACTTTGGTCTTCTATTTGTTTTTCAAGCAGTATATTTATTAATTTCTGTAACTTATGTTCCTCTTCCAATGCCAACGTACTTATCGTACTAAACAATATTATTGGCATTTGTTATTGCACGACGAGAACAATGTTATTTGTCAACGTTAACATTCTTGTGGGTTTTTACGGAACCGATGTAGCGCGGCTGGTAAAGTTGGTTCGCCTCTTCAGTTTTACATGGGCGTTTTGGTTTCTACTCTTGTTGTGTATTGATCAATATGTTACATCGGTTATGGCAGTACGAGAAACATCAAGAATTGCAAAAATAATTATCAAATTTTGGTTGTATTTTCTGTTTGTAAGTGAAACTACGTGGATTCGAAGGAAACTATTTAAAATTTTATATGTTAAAAAAAAGTTCATTGTTTCAGATTGCTTGTGCTGCCACAATAAGCGTTTGGCATACTACCAGTAAGTCAAGTGTCTTTAATATTTTTAAAAGTCTCACCAATATTTTTAACTTATAGTAGAACTACAGTATAACAAATAACTTGGGGATTTGAAATTTTTTGTTATGAAGAGATTTTGTATAAAAAAGTAACACTGTTTAGTCTTAACGGGAATTTAAAAGTTGCTCGTGATAAGAAAATTTTGTTACAAGAAAATCCATTAGTCAGGAGTTTCAATGCATATTTTTAAGGTTTGTCAAACACAAATAGAGTTATTTTGGTTGTTCCGCTGCAGGCTTGTGAAACTATTGGTGCTTGTTTTGTAAGTTTGTTTTTATTTTTGACAATTTTAAGTTTTTTTCCATTTTACAGATCGCGCAAACAATTTTACTAAATTTTTTGACAACTTTATAACAATGTAAAAATTTACTGAAGCGTTTTTTAAAATAAATTAAAGTTTGAGAAAAAACGCCAAAGTTTTATTAGGTGCCGGCAAAAGTTTTTCCACGATTTTTGTTCTTATTAAAATTTAATACTAAAAAAAAACAACTACTACTAATTAACAAATATGTGTGCCATTATTATCAACGACCTGTTTCTTCAACGCTGATGATCTACCTAATCGAGGTTTTCCGAACATGTCAAAGTCACCGTTTTTGAACTTGTGGGCCAAACTTTTGGTGGTGTCGTAAGAGCTGAAGGCCTACAGCCTTGCATATTTCCTTCGTCGCTCATGTTGCGTTGTCGTGCTCACGAACTTTGAGAAGCAACATTGCCTGACCATGGTCATGTTTTATCTCGATTTCGTATACATCAACTCTTTATATATGTTATCAACAGAAACTTCTAGAAATGTCTAGAATTTTTTGGTAAATTTTTAAAAAATCGTGGAAAAACTTTTGCCGACACCTAATAGAAAGAAGCCTAAGGTTCCAAAAAAATTGCTAATTAAAGCAAAGGAACCTTTAGCCATCTGGTCGTTTTTTGATCGGTTTTATCTGCTTTTCTGTTTATAGGGTTACCTTCTACTCCGTAAAACATTACTTTCAACATATAAAACAATACGTTTTGCTGGACTTTCGAAACAATTCCAGGTAGGTTTTTCAACTATATTATTAGCACAACTTAAAAGTAATCTTAACATGCATTCTTAATTAAAAAATTTAGTTTCAGCAAAACGTTTGGATAATATTGCGTCTACGCAAGTGTTTTATAGCCGAAACTTTAGTTTTCTTTATTACCCAAACTGTATTGTTTTTACATTTGTGGAACGTCGAACCTACTTACTATGATATTGTGTTGTTCAACATTTATTTACTGTGCATGGCTGTTTATTTTTTCACGCAATCTATTTGCGTATTTGTGCTTGATCGTCATGCAAGATGGAAATTTTTTTCGAGAACTGTTGTTACACCGAAGAACGTTTTTGACAAAGAACTAATTATAAAGAACACACCTGACACTAATTTCCAAATACTTCATAACATGTGGAATTGCGTTGATAAATAATTATAGTCTTTTTGTACGCTATCACACCTTAACTAGTCTTAGCCCCAGCTCTAGCCTTAGTTTTAGTCCTAGCTGTAGTTCTACTTCGAGCTGTACCTTAACCTAAGTTAACCCTTACCTGACCCTACTTTTCACCTATTTTAACCTTCCCACAGCTCTACCCTACCCTTAGCTCTACTTTAATCTTCCGCCTTATAATTGCCTATCCGCGCATTTTATAAATTTTTAATTATTGTCTTTAACACCTAACAAACTTATAATTATAAATACTGTCTGAACGTGACCATATTGTTTTGGCTTGTGTTCTTTTTTGTTTTAAAACTCAAGACATTTTTCAAAGTTCCTGATTGCTGGTTAGCATACCTCTTGCACTATTTTAGTTTTCAAAACACTTGTTTTCTATTGTGTTTGGCTTTAAACATGAATAACGTGCCTAGTCTAATAGACTTTAAAGCAAACTTCACTATTGTGTGTATGATTAACGCACTAGAGTTTATACTATTGAGCTTGTCAACAATTTCTTTCCTTATCAACATGTTTAGCAACTTTTGTCAGCTAAAATCCCATTCAAATGCTAACATATTGTTCATATTGAACAGCATCATTGGTATTTGTTACTGTGTTACAAGAACTTTAGTGTACTTAAACGTCAACTTTATTAGTTTGTTTAAGCAACAAACGTTTATAATAATCAAAGCATCAAGACTATTTTGTTTTAATTGGGCATTTTGCTTTTTATTGCTGTTATGTTTGGATCAACATGATGGCGGTGCAAGAAAAATCAATTATCTTCAGAATAACACTCAAGTTTTGCTTGTATTTGCTTTTTGTAAGTCATCAGTGGATATTTGTCTTGTTTTTTACTTTATTTGTGCTGTTTTATCAGTGTGGCCCAAACCTCTTCCTCAATTCATCGTTTCACTTTGTTTTTGGTCTTGCGGTTCTTCTTTCTTCTGCCTTCCAATTTTATTTTTTTCTTTCATTTCTGTCTTCCAGTTTCATTATCTTCTAATCTTCCAGGCGAACCACTATTGCTTCTTGGTCATCCTAAACATTATTTTGCACAAAAATATTTTAGCTTACCTCCTAACCCTTCTGCTCTGGAATGCATTAATGAGTATTTAGTTTTTGCCCCTAGCTGACCTTTCTACTACTGTTGTCATAATAAAAATTGAGGTTTATAAAAGGAATTCACGAATTTTCAGGTATGTTTCAGCGCTGCGGGGAGCATTTCTCACACAATTGGTAAGTTACAAAAAAAAAAGATTTACAAAAACTACTGCACAAAAATGCACGTCGTGTCTTAAAAAATTGTACAGAAATGCTTTAGGCATATCAGTTACAAGCAGAGCTCTACTAGTTGTACCTTTACAAATTGGCGAGACTATAGGAGCATTTTTGGTAAGATTTGCCTACATTACACTATTCTATCCTTTTCTACATAACCCTACTCTACCTTACCCTACCCTACCTTACCCTACCCTACCCTACCCTAATCTACCTTTCCTTACTCTATCTTACTTTACCCTACCCTACCCCACCCTACTCTACCTTTCCTTACTCTACCTTACCCTACCTTACCATACCCTAGTATGTACTACATTTTCTTTTTGAAGTTTTGTGAAAACTATGTAACTCTCACTACTAGCTTTAGGGTTACTTCCTTCTACGCAATGCATTGTTGTCGACGTACGAGAAAAGTCGGTTTGCCGGACTTACAAAACAGTTTCAGGTAGTCACACACAATCTAAATGCGGTTACGTTAAAATAATTTTAGTTGCAACAAAATATTTGGATCATGTTAAGACTACAGAAGTGTTTCGTCGCTCAGAGCATTGTGTTTATTATAACTGAAGTGCTTCTGTTTATATATTTAACAATGCAAAATACGTCATTAACAGTTATTGTAATTTATAATACTTATTTGTTAAGCACGGCTTTTTATTTCTTTACGCAATCGATATGTTTGTTTGTACTTGATCGTCATAAAAGATGGAAATTCTTTTCGAAACGTGAGCTCATACCAAAGGATATATTTGATAAAAATCTTATTATTTCGAATACATCTGACAACAACTTCCAAGTTCTACACGATATATGGAACCGCGTTGATATTTGAACCAACTTTTACATATGGCTTTGTCGGTGTGTACAATTCAACTTGTTTTAATTCAGAAGTTTGATTATGAAATGTTCAAGTATTTTAAGGTTTTATTACCTCAGCAAGATAAGCGTCGATATACAGTTTTTAAACATTTGGTATGTAAGATATATATATATGTGTTGTGTGCGATGTGTTTTGTTTTTCTGGGGATAAATTGGCATGTACAAACCAGTCCTTATTGTGAAGTAATTACGCGGTTATACGTTAAGCTACATAGGAAGTTTTTCTGTGTCATTATAACTAATCTCAGTAATTGCAACGCAAAAAAAACTAAACGATATGTGACATAACGAAACCATCTTGCCTCAACCAAATATTATTTACTAACTTGAAAAACTATTGCTTATTTACTAACGTACTGTTGTTAAGATTCTTTCTGTAACGTACTATTGTCAACTCTTAAGATGAGTATGAACGTAAGCAACATGCAGACCGTCTCAACGTGTGTAATGATTGTTAACACAGTAGAGATAACTATATTAGTACTATCAATATTTTGTTTTATGAGCAGCATGGTCATCAATATATGCCACCTCAAGAGTTACTCAAATTCTAACGTACTCTTTATTTTAAACAACATTATTGGTATATGTTATTGCTTCGCGCGAATAACGCAGTTCGTAAACGTTGATATTTACGTTGACTTCTACAGTACGCAGACGGCAGTACTAGTGAGAGCGTTTCGAGTGTTTGGCCTTACTTGGGCATTTTGGTTTCTACTTTTGTTATGCGTAGATCAATATATTACGTCGGTTATGGCGGTGCAGGACACGTCGCAGAGTTGGAGAATATTTCTTAAATTTTGTTTGTACTTTTCATTTGTAAGTTTCGAAAATTTAAAAAAATTGTTTGATTTCTGTTTTATATAAACTTAAATGTCCTTTTTTTCAGTTTCTGTTTGCTTTTTTAATAACCGTATGGGATGCTGTGAGTAAGTCCGTTTACAGTTGTTTTTATCTGTAATGACAACACGTTTTAATGTAAAAAAGCTTTAAAATTCATTAAATCACTAACTGTTGGAAAAAATGTGTTTATACAAAGTTAAGAAACTTGTCATTTTAATTAAAATTTTTTAAGGTTTGTCGAAATCAGGTAATGCGTTTACGATAATTCCGTATAAAATCTGCCAAAATGTGGGTGCTTTTGCGGTAAGCTTTTTTTGCATTAATATACAGTATTTTGTATAGCGAGCATATGTATAAAGTAAATTTTGTATTACGACTAGCTTTTCGCTCTACTAAATTCCTCCCTACCGAAAAACTTTCATATATTCTAGTGATTCTGTTATATAGAATAGTTTAAGTGTTAAGCAAATTAGTATTTGTAGGGTTATTGCATTCTTCGTAAAACTATATTGGCAACCTATAAAGCGAGACGATTTTCTGGACTTTCCAAACAATTTCAGGTAAATATTTAGTTTTATCTGTTTTATCAGAACCTGCAACTTTAAAGGACTACAAACTGTCATTGAAATTAAAATTATTTTTTTAATTTCCCAATTCGGGAACGACTGGCTCGAGTTAAACAAAGTAAAGTCGAAATTCCTTGGTTTTCACAAAGACAAATTTTCGCGAAGACGTTTTGTGGTCCTTTAAATTGTGACAATGGTAGTGCACGAAACGATTTGTGACTCGTTCACTTAATTTTTTTATTATTATAATATAAATACTTCAGCTGCAACAAAACATTTGGATCATGCTGCGCTTGCATAAGTGTTTCATAGCCGAAACTATAGTATTTGCTATAACAGAAACGTTTCTTTTTATTCACTTATTATTGCATGGCGGCTCTGTCCTGATATTCAATTTGTACTTGTTAGGGTTAGCAACTTATTTTTTTATTTTATCTATTTGTGTGTTTGTACTTGATCGTCATACAAGATGGAAATTTACAAAACATGTAGTCATACCGACGAATGTATTTGATAAAGAACTGATACTGAAGAATACTCCAGACAATAATTTTGAAATTCTCCATAATATCTGGAATCGTGTTGATAGTTGAATAAAATTTTTTTGGCACGTCACATATTTTGTATACAGTGTAAATCCTCTGTAGCTATCTCTATAACAAACCCATATAATGAACCTCTCTGTAACGAACGCCGGCATGACAAACTTCTGTAACAAAATTTTTGTAAAAACTCCTAAATCCTCCTCTACCACTACACAATAAACTTCTGGACCAAAAACTCTTCATACCAAATAAATTTCATGACAAGATTTCTTCTTAGCAACAAAATAAAACAAATAAAAAAGCTTTATTTTACTTTTTGATTTTACACAACCAAATTATAAACTCAATTTACAACCAAAAGATTACATATAAAATGGAATTCTAGTACAAGAAATAGCTCGGGGCTTTGACATTTGTTCGTTATAATAAACTTTTGTGATACAGTATTTTTAAATGCACTGTGTAGTAGTAAACGGGGATTCAAGCGTAGTTCGTTATACCGGGTTTTCGTTATAGAGGATTTCGCTATATAAGAGTTTTGCTGTATTTGCATTAGTGTGGGGATTCGTAGCATTTCCTGATCTTGACGGTTTGACGACGAGCAATTGCAGCATTCGTGTTTTAAATTCCTTCATTGTTTTAGCGAAATTACACTGTAGTAAACATAAAAAGTTAAATTATATGTACAAGAGCGTAAAAACATCTAATTATGTGTACACCTACAGGAACATAATACTGATAATTTGTGTTTTTTAATAGTGAGGTTGAAGATAATGTGTAAGTTAAAAATTGAAGTGATAACTACGTTCTGAGAAATTTTCTCTAAAAAAATACGTTTTGAGGGAAAATTGTCACCAAGTAAACGTACTCTTAAAACATTAATTATGGTTTTATTGTAACTGTAATTTCTAGGTTTGAGAAAGTCTAAATAGATTATATTTTTTGTTATTTACTCTCTTCGCCAAAACAACTCTGTGTCTAATGGTTATTTGTTTTAATATTAAAATATAGTGTCAGTTGATTCGAATCCTTGGACAAAAACCAACAGTAACATATAAATTAAGTTGCGGTTTGTCGCCATATTGTAATTTGTCTATATCGTTCTGAATTTACATCTTGCAACTACACAATAATTTTCTCTTTACTGGCTATACATGGTCACCGCAAACAGTTTCATAGAGCTGAAAGCGGAGTTGATGGTTGTTTGGATTATTAACGTACTGGAATTCATTGTACTTACATTAGCAATGGTTTCCTTTGCCTCTAACATAATTATCAATATCTATCAGTTCAAATCTTATTCAAATTCGAATGCCCTATTTATTTTAAATGGCATTATTGGAATTTGCTATTGCATTTCAAGATCAACGATTTACGTTAATGTAAATTTTTACATTGGCTTGTTTCAACCAGAAACTTTTGTGTTTCTAAAAAAAATAAGGTTGTTTGCCTTTAATTGGGCGTTTTGTTTTCAAATGTTGTTGTGTGTGGATCAATACATCACATCCAGAGCGGCGGTGCGGAGTCACTCTATGGTTATCAGAATGTTACTAAAGATTTGTTTGTATCTTATTTTTGTAAGTTGAGGGAAAATGTTTAGCGTTTCTTAATAATGATTTTGAAACAAAGCCGCGAAGCAATAGGGTAAATAGGGATAGGGTTTTCCTCTCCTAAAACCAATTTAGACGTTAAAAAATAGGTGTAAAGGTCGCTGGTTACCTGTAAACAAAAAAAAATTGTTTTAACTTCCAATCCTACATTTTGTCCCCGCCCTTTAGAAAAAAACCGTATTTGAACACGGTGAATTTTACTAACATCAATATTTTTGTACGATTAGCTGTTTTTAGATATGCATTGGAGTTGTAGGGAGCATTTTGCACACTATACGTAAGTTAGTTTCATAAAAGGAAATATGTTTTTATTAAATCTCATTTTTAAAAATTTTTTTGTTTAGTACATTGTTAAATCTCCGGTTAAAACTACACCTTTATAGCAAAGCAATTCGTTGTACAAAAGTTTCATTGTATTTCTTTTTGATGTATACATATACATACGTACTTTTTAGGCCTCGCAAGCACAAGCAGAGCTTTTTTAGTTATTCCCTTACAAGGCGGTTTGACGTTTGGTGCTTTCTTGGTAAGAAATTTCTAATAACTTTTACGAATGGGTTTGATTTTTTTTAACCCCCTCCCCCAGTAGGAATAGTGTAAAGGTGTTAAGCCTGGCCCAGGCTTTTTCAAACCTGTTTTCGCCTCCCACTCAATGTGGGCCGGGCCCAGAGCGGGCCTATTGATCAGGTTTAACCACCAGACGTAGCTCCCTGGCACTGTGCGTTAGCTCTACTGTTTTAACTGGATTTCCAACGTAACATCATTAAAAACTAGTTTTAGGGTTACATTATTCTGCGCAAAACGTTGTTGTCTACTTATAAAAGAATTCGATTTGCCTGCCTTTCAAAACAATTTCAGGTACTATGTATTTTAGTATCTTATTCTTTAATTTAAAAATTAACGAATATTTAAATAGTGTAAATAAATTTTAGTTACAACAAAGTATTTGGATCATGCAACGGCTACGCAAATGCTTTATAGCTCAATCTATTATCTTTACAATAACGGAATCTCTTTTGCTTATTAATTTAGCGGCTGAGGAACCATCTTTATCGGTTCTGACAATTTATAATTGTTATTTGTTAAGCACAGCGGTTTATTTTTTTACCCAATCTGTATGTTGTTTTGTACTTAATCGACACACAAGGTCGAAAATCTCAAAACCTCATATAATACCGAAAAACATTTTTGGCGAAGAGATAATTGTAAAGAATAATTCTGAAAACAATTTTCAAATTCTTCAGGATATGTGGAATCGTAAATAGTTTAATAATTTTTTTAATAAACTTTTTTTTGGGTTTTTCTGCCGTGGCTGGCAAATAGATTTCTTGGACCATCACCGTGATAGGCCTTTAAAATTTAACTAGGACATTCATAATAGGTAAGCCCGCAAAGACTTTTTTTTTCGAAAATTGCGAGTTTCCCAGGTTGCGGGGATGAAAAAAAACTCCCCCCTCCGCCAAAAACACTACCACCTTGGCTTTACCACGTTCAGGTTCACGGGGAAGATTACCTTTTGAGTGAACGGCATAAATATAAGGAAGAATAAAAAACTGCAAAATTTTTGTTGGCACCGCATAGGTGGCTTTATTATAATTTATTTTAACCGTACCCGGAACATTTAAATCTACGGCATCAATTAATATTTGTAATTGTAAACGCTTGAAAAAAGTAGTTAAGGAATTTAAAAAAATTTTACGTTTTTTGTACGTGTTTTAAATACTTTCACCAGACTTTAAAATTATATGTTATTTGGCCGCATTAGGTTCTTTATATACTCTAGTGCGTCATGTTTAAGGTACGTTGTGGTGCCAACTTAATTGCTAAGTGTCTTAATCTAATGTCACGTTCCTTGAACATTACAAAACGCGTTTTTTCGAAATAACGTATGTGCCTATAATTCGACCGTCTTATTAATGAAACCTGAGGCATTATTAAAAATATAATTAATGTTATTCAACTTCTAGTTTAGCCGTTTGTTTTTTGTGTCGTATAATTCCTGTTAGTCTGCTAGTATTTACGTTGCTGTTTTTGTTGTTAATAATAAGCTACTGTAACATCCTTCTACTTGTTACGTATGTCGAATGCTATTGGACTTACAATTGGAACACGTTTATGGATTTTTAATGTATACTGATTCTAGAATTATCTAGTGTTTCTATTTCTTGTTAGTTATCTTTTCAAGTACAGTGGAACTCCTGTATAACTAATCGCTCGGGGACTGGAAATTTGTTACCGTATCTTCGCGATTAGTTTTTACTGATTAATATTATGAGAGCTGATTTAACCTTTGACGAAAGCCAATAAGTTTTCGATTTATCTACATATTGCAACACTTCTGAATACTTCTAAATCTACCTATTGTAATCCTTCTCAACAATTTCAAATCTACGTATTGGAAACTCTCCCAATGCTTCAAAATTTACATACCGCAATTCTTTAAATTAATTATTATTATCTTCCTACTATCTACACATGGCCACCGCCAATGGCTTTATAGAGTTGAAAGCTGAGCTGACGATTGTTTGGATTATCAACGTACTAGAACTTGTTGTGCTTACATTATCAATGTTTTCCTTTGCCTCAAATATAATTATCAAGAGCTTTCAGTTTAAGTCTTATTCAACTTTGAACGGACTATTTATATTAAATGGCATTGTTGGAATTTGTTATTGCGCTTCAAGAACACTGATTTACATAAATGTAAATTTTTATACAAACGTGTTACTACCAGACACTTTTGTATTTCTAAAAAAATTAAGATTGTTTTGCTTTAATTGGGCCTTTTGTTTTCAAGTATTGTTGTGTGTGGATCAGTATACTACATCTGTAGTGGCGGTGCGGGATGGCTCTCTGATTACCAAGAAGTTATTAAAGTTTTGTTTGAACCTGATTTTTGTAAGTTAAAAACAATTTTTTTAATACTGGAACGTATGACGATCTCTTCTATAACAGAGATTTCATATAACAAACAATTTTAAAGTTTACGTTTACTACTATACAGAGCATTTAAAGCTCACCTATCCGAAATATCTAGATGACGAACGAAAAACCTTAAAGCGATTCGTTATGCATAAGTTTCACTGCATCGCTAAAAACAACATACTTAAGTTTAATATTTTTGTACAATATGTTATACTGTATCTTAACTGCTTTTATTTAGATAGGCATTGGGGTTGTAGGCAGCATTTTGCATACAATACGTAAGTTATATTTTTAAAAATGCTCTTTGTAATGGTAGACAAGGTTTAAAAATTTTACTTTGTTATACAGCAGATTGAATTTTTAGGATTAGCAAATACGATCAGAATTTTTTTGGTTATTCCCCTGCAAGCTGTTGTCACGTTTGGTGCTTTCTTGGTAAGAATTTTTCAGTATCATATACGCAAAAGAGCGCAAAAGCAAATAACTTTTTAACCGCCTTTCCCTTCTCTCTCCCTCCTCTCTCCCTCACTTTCCCAGTAGATCAGTATGTTCAAACCGGCGCTAACCCGTTCTAGTCCTAGTAGACCTCAATTAAGGTGTTACCTGAGTTCAGCTACACTGCTGGCGCGCTTTACATTTTTAGCTTTATTTAATATAAGACCGGCAAAAGATTGTTTTCAGGGTTACTTCTTTCTGCGCAAAACGTTGCTGTTGACTTATGAAACCAGCCTTTCCAAACAGTATCAGGTAATGATAAATTATGGAATCATCTGCAAAGAGTTTAGACCTAAAAGGGTTCCACCAGGAAGCGGGGAAGGGATGTACAAAAGCAAATCTTAGATACACTGGGCTGGCACATGCGGACCTTCGCGCCATCCAAACCTCTAAATTAAAAAAATAAATTTAAATTTATTTTAGCTACAACAAAGTATTTGGGTCATGCAGCGCCTACACAAATGTTTTATAGCGCAAGCTATTATTTTTACAATAACTGAATCTTGTCTAATTATTAATTTAGCGGCTGAGAAGCCATCTTTATCATCTCTGGCGATTTATAATGGTTATTTATTAGGCACAGCTGTTTATTTTTTTACTCAATCTATATGCGCTTTCGTACTCGATCGACACACCAGATGGAAATTTTCGAAACGTGAAATCGTACCGAAAAACATGTTTGGCGATGAGTTAATTGTGAAGAATAATTGGGAAAACAATTTTCAAATCCTTCAGGATATGTGGAATGACCCTATTTAATAGCTAATATGTTTGTTATAATAAACTGCAAGACATTTTACATCTTTAGCAACCGCCCGGTACAGGTACCTATGTGTAAACCACGATATATAACGGTGGTTATCGGTTTGTTAATCAAGACCGAGACAGCGGTCTTCAATTCATTGTCTGTTCTATAAGTGCTTTAATATTCCGACCCATATTTGGATCAATACATATATAAGATATCCGTATATTGTCCTACAGATAACGCCTAAAATAATAAGTGTCGCGATGCCAAAACGAGCAATTTTCTGTATTTGAGAGGAGTAGAGAGGAGAACGAATTTATTGTTGGAAAGGCGGCTCTTTTATAGGGACCCCACCACACAACTACAAGTACAAACATGCAAGAAGATAATTTGCATAAAATTGTGACTTCTGCGGCCGATTGTGTCGTGACAATAAACTTACAACATAAAGTTATAAAATTTACCTTCCACAAACATTCAATAATAATACAAATATAAAACCGATATAAACGTAGACCCTCGATCCAACTGTTGTTCGTGCCCGCTGACTAAATACGACCGTGTGCTCTGTTTCCTGGCTTCAATTGACTGACCGCTCTTTTCCTGCCGTGCTAGCAATCGTTTGAGGTGCAGGAAGCCAGGTACTTCTTTGCCGTGGCAGGACTGGAAAGGTGCGCTTGTGCATGGTCCAAATGCGACTTTTGGGCTCAAGTTGGCTGGTTTTGGTTGGCATCTTTAAAAGTTCTATCTTACATTAAGTCATTAACTTAATAACTAATGGAACCTTTTCTAACGTCTAGACGTACGTTTTACTTTCCTCTCAACAGCCTTTAAAATTTTCAACCTCTTATTTGGCAAAACATAAATATCCTTTATATAATCTTATGTGTCATGTTTAAAGTACGTTGCGTTGACTATAATTGAAGACTGTTTCGAAGTAGGAAATGTCACGTTTGTTGAACGTTGACAAACAGGTTTACTTGAAATAATTTATGTGTTTATAATTCAACCGTTCTATTAAAGAAACCTGATCCATTCTTAAAACTAGATTGATGCTAGTTAGCACCTACTTAGAAGCGTAATAATTAAAAAATAGCTTATCTATATGTTTAAGTGCTTGTTTTTAAAAGAGGTACAATTCTTGTTAAAAGCTGTTAATATTGATACTTTCGTTTTTCTGTTAATAATAAACGATTGTCTCATAGACATCATTATACTGCTAGCTGTCATATATGCCTAATGCAATAGACGTACAATCAGACACAGCCGTTTTGTGGACTATTCTATGGACTAGCTAGAACTATCAGCTTTATCATTGTCTATACTTTTCTTTCTCACCGGCATATTTATTGACTTTTGCCACATTCGATCAAGCTCAAATACCAACGCACTATTTATTGTAAGCAATATAATTGGGCTTTGCTACTGCGTTTCGAGGATCACATTGTTTATAAACCTGAATTTTCTCCACTGGTTTGACGCGGATACGTTAAAACATATAAAGATCGTACGCTTGTTCTGCTTTACATATGCGTTTTGGTTTTTATTTGTGGTGTGTTTGGATCAGTACGTGACATCAGTTATGGCTGTACGAGACACTTCAGCTGCGTTAACTTTACTGATTCGTATTTGCTTATATTTTGTTTTTGTAAGTGGTAAGACTAGTAAATTTATACACTGCTTTTGTTTTAGCTTATGCTCTGTGCTTCAATGAGCGTTTACCACACTTATTGTAAGTTTTAAACGTTAAACTTATTCTTAAGCTTTCATAATCTTATTCACTCTGGTTGAAAGATTTGTTTACCTTTCGATAACCGTTTTGACTTGTATCCACAACAGGGTACACAAAAAACCCTGATCAGTCGAGAATCTGCACTTTTGAAAACTGCTATACTTCTTTAGATTTGACCGACGCTAATAGAATTTTTATGGTTGTACCGTTACAGGTCGGAGAGAGCTTAGCTGCCTCGGTGGTAAGTCATACTTTTTCTTTATCAGGGTTTTAATACTCCATTAGTGCTTCCTTCTCTCTTATTCCTCCGAGTCGGCTACGGATAAAGAGGGAAGGGGAGGAATGGAAAGTAGGTATCGAAATCATTTGAAAAATTTATAAAAAAGCTAACAAGAAAGAGAAATATATGTCAATAAAAATTTTCTGTTTATAATACAACAATTTAGGGTTATGTCCTTCTACGCAAGATCTTGTTGTCCACTTACAAAAACATCAGATTTGCTGGACTGTCAAAACAATTCCAAGTAAATTATTATAAATTTATATCAATATTTTTAGAAGAATCAGCAGTGAAAACGCTAAATGTTTTTTTAAATACGGAAAGGAAGAATTCTTGCCTTTACCTTTGTTATAATGAAGACACAAATTAAATCCTGTTATGGATACAACAAAACATTTGGATAATGCGGCGCTTACACTGGTGTGTTGCAGCTCAGATTATTGTGTTCACGATAACAGAAACACTGTTATTTATTCATTTGTACATCCAAAGTACATCGTATTTTGACGTAGTTTTGTTTAACTGTTACTTATTGTTCATGGCCATTTATTTTCTTTCCCAATCGATCTGCGTATTTGTGCTGGATCGAAACATTCGATGGAGGTACTTTTTCGATCCTGTAATTGTGCCAAGAAATATTTTTGACAAAGAGCTGATTGTGCAAAACGTTAGACAACAATTTTCAAATATTGCACAATATGTGGAATCGCGTTGATATTTAAATCAAAATTGAAATAAACTTGTTTAAATTTAAAACTACAGTGGAACTCCTGTATAACGAACTCTTCTATAACGAAAACTTTGTATAACAAAGAACTTTTGAGTCCCCGCCTACCATTGTACAGTGAATTTAAAACTATAACGAAACTCTTTTATAACGAACAAATTTTCAGTCCCCGAGCGATTCGTTATACAGGAGTTCCACTGTAATTTAATATCCAAAGGGCTCGGAAATTTATAAACAAAGCGGGTGTGAATTAATCCCCCGGAGCTGATGCCGGAACATTTAAATTTGGGTGCTAATTGTAGTTCGCCAACTAAGCTTATTTCTAAAATATTAATCATTGTGTTGGCGTAAATTTAATTTCTAGGTTTAGAGAAGTATAACTTAGTTGTATTTCTTGTTAGCTATTCTATTCAAATAACGTACTTTTGCGAATAGTTGTTTCTGGTTAATACATTGTCATTTTATTTGTCATTCTAAGCATCTGACAAAGATTAACTAAGAATATACTACAAATCACGGTTAAGCTACATATTGCGGCATGTCTGTATAATTCTAAACCTAAATATTGTAATCCTTCCGAATACTGAAATCTTAATTATTTTTTTATTATGGAAACCACAACCACGACTAGCTTGATAGAACTAAAACCACAGTTTGCGACTGTTTGGTTTATGAACATACTGGAACTTGTTATACTTACATTAGCAATGCTTTCCTTTTCCTTAAACATAATTCTCAATATCTTTCAGTTTAAGTCGTGGTTACCTTTGAACGCACTATTTATTTTAAATGGCATTATTGGCATTTGTTATTGCGGTTCAAGAACATTGATTTACGTTAATGTCAATTTTTATATTGGCCTGCTTCAATCAGACGTTGTTGTGTTTATACGAAAAATAAGGCTGTTTTCCTTTAATTGGGGCTTTTGTTTTCAAATGTTTTTGTGTTTAGATCAATTTATTACAGCCGTAGTGGCGACACGGAGAGGCTCTCTAATTTTTAAAATGTTGCTGAAGTTTTTTTCATATCTAATGTTTGTAAGTAAGAAGTAATTTTTTTGTTTTTAATATTAAAATAGAAACACGCGTTGTAGTCCAATGTTTTGTACTATACATGTATGTTATCTTCTTTTAGGTATGTCTTGGAGTCTTAGGCAGCACTTTGCATACTATACGTAAGTTTCGATTAAAAAGTTATAAAATTTTATTATACAGGAGTGTCGTTATAAAGGATTGTTATACGGGAGTTCCACTATATACATATTTATTTTTTTAGACGTGCCAAATACGAGACGAGCTTTTTTGGTTATTCCTTTACAAGTTGGTTTGACGTTTGGTGCTTTCTTGGTAAGATCTTAGTAGTAATTTAGACGTGACTGGGAAGATAGTTTTTGAACCTTCCTCCCTCTCCTCCCATTATCCAGACTTAAATCCCTCTCATTATCCGTTAGCTTTACCCTTTTGCTGGTTTATTGTATAACATCAGTAAAAGACAGTTTTCAGCTTTATTTACTTTTGCGCAAAACATTGTTATCTACATATGAAAGAATTCGATTTGCCAACCTTTCAAAACAATATCAGGTAATACAAAGTTAAAAAATTTTTGATAAGAGCTTAGACCTGAAAGGGGCCAGTTAGGCGGATCGCACTGAAAAGGCTTATAGGAACTACAAATCAATGTAATAAATTTTAGCTACAACAAAATATTTGGCTTATGCAACGCCTAAACAAATGCTTTATAGTTCAATCGATTATTTTTACAATAACTGAAACCTGCTTGCTTATTAGTTTAGCGGGTGATCAGCAACCCTTATCAATTTTGGGGATTTACAATTTTTATTTGTTAAGCACAGCAGTTTATTTCTTGACCCAATCTATATGCTGCTTTGTGCTTGATCGGCACACAAGACTAAAATTTGCGAAACGTGAAATGGTACCTAAAAACATGTTTGGCGAAGAAGTAATTGTGCCAAATAATACGGAAAAGAATTTTCAAATCCTTCAGGATATGTGGAATGGCGCTATTAAACAGTGACGTAACGTTTTTTTGGCTTACAACTTAAATAAATTTGTTGCAATAATCCGTGAAACATTTTACGCAAACGTTTTACGCAGTGAAAATTCCTTGTAGGTATATGGTTATGACTTGGATTTACATTCTTCAACCGACAGATTAGGTTAGCTGATAATTTGATACCGTAAATCGTAACGTAATATGCTGATCGGAGCTATTCACATCCGCGCAACAGTTAAATATAGAAATATTGCTGTACTAAAGCTTATAAAACAGTGGAACACTTGTATAACGAATCTCTTAAACACTATTGTTAATAGGAAAAAATTTCGATTCAATCTATAATTTTATCTGATGTTAAAAAAAGATGCGTTGTGAAAGAAGTCTGAACAAACTTAAAATTATTTATTTCAAAATGACGCTTTTTGAGTACTTTGGAAGACGTCAATTAGCTGTTCGTTGGTTTCAACAAGGTTTGTCCTAGTTGAGACCAATGAACGACCGTTAATTTTAACATATATATTGAATTACGAAATTATAATTTAATTTTTTAATATTTAAATTTTTATTTATTGCGCTACATGCAGTAAATAAAAACGTAAATTGTACTCTTTTTGCAGCCGTCACTGACGCAAAACCCTAATTCTAGCTCTAGCTCTAAGTCTATATTTTGTCTTAGCTCTAGCCTGAGCCCTAGCTTTAGCTCTAGTTCTAAACTCTTTTCAAAAAATTCAGATTAAGCGTTCGGTAGAACAAAACGCCACGTTCAACAAGACCCCATATAAATGAAGTTTAACTTACTTGGCTTTAGTATTGGTTTGAATGGCTAGCTAACTGTGAGCTGTTATTTGCCGAAAAATTCTGGGTTAATGAAAAATATACACAGACCAAGAAACCGGTTAATTTTGTAAAGTACCCTTGAAGTACAAAGAAATATTGTAGGTAATGATGATATTTCCGCGGAAAAATATTTTCTAAGTAAGGATAATATGATACTTTGTAAGTAAGGATAATATGTTACGGCAAAAAATATAGAAAAAGCCATTGTGTTGGGAAGTGCAGTATTGCAAGTACAGCCAACAATTTTTAATTTTAATATTCATGTGTAAAATCTATGAGATTGGGCGCACAAGCACAATAATTACTACGTATGAAAGTCATTTACAACAGGGTTATTAATTATTTTACATACGTGGTGGACTTACATTGACTTTTCTGTTTGTTATTAAGGTGCTAGTTTGTGCATTTAAACAACAATTTACTAAGCTACATTACTACGTTATACTACACTGAACTATTGTACTAATAAGACGGAACTCTTGTATAACACTCTTCTGTAACGATCTTCTGTATAACGAACTCCTGTATAACAAACTCTTCTATTACGAACTACTGTATAACAAACTCTTGTATAACGTATCCTTTTATAATTAAAAATGTCATCTTCTGTAACTTCAATGGGAATTGATATAAAAACCGACACAACGTTAATATGGACACTGAACGTACTAGAACTTTTTGTACTAACGTTATCATCAATATGCTTCACAACCAGCACTTTATTAAACCTCTGCCACCTGAAATCCTACACGAACGCTAACATATTATTCATCATGAACAACATAATCGGCATATCTTACTGCTTTTCACGGATATTATTGTTCTTTAATACCAACATTTTTATTGGATGGTATGGTGAGACGTTGGAAATGGTTCTAAAGCTAATTCGCTTGTTCGGTTTAACCTGGGGGTTTTGGTTCTTGCTACTATTGTGTGTAGATCAATATGTTACGTCTGTCATGGCTGTACGAGAAACATCCAGAGAAATGCGAATAATTGTCAAGTGTGGATTGTACTTGGCATTTGTAAGGCTTTTAGGCTAATTTTTGACGCTTTTTTTGTTAGAGACTAACTTGAAATTGCCTGATGACTAACATTTTGCCAGTCCGTTTTGTAGTCTCTTAAGTTTACAATAGTGTTTCAATATAAAGAAGTCCTACTGTGCAATAACATATAAAAACTATTAATAAAAATTTTTTTAGGTTATATTAAGCGCGATAGTATGTTCAAGTCATTATATCAGTAAGTTCATACTCTTTTTAGTGTTTTGTACAAATACTTCCGCTCAAAATTCGGCGAGTGGGGAAAGGAGAGAGGCGGTAGAAAGTAAACAGGGAAAATGGAGGAAGAGGGGGAGAGCTAGAACTAGGACTGTATCTGGGACTGGGGTTGAAACTGAAACTGGGGCCAAAGCTGAGGCTCACGCTGCGGTTAAGGCTGAAGACTATCTTCAGCTGGAAGTAAAGCTGGATAGCGGCTGCGATTTCGTGAAAAGAATTTGGCCGTTGGCAAGCATCCGCTTCCCTGTCTTAGCTTCCAATCCTATTTTTGTCAAGAACCAGGATGTAACCCGGGCTCTTAAAACTTCTACTCGCTTGACCATACTTAAAACTAGACTTGAAACTAAATACTTGTTTTAGATTTGACGTCAAACGAAAATACAGTATTATTCATCATACCACTACAGATCAGCGAAACTGTGGGTGCAGTTTTGGTAAGATACTTAAATATGTATATCAATGTACTATCTAACCTCCAAAACTTTTGTATGACAAACGCAAAAAAATTTTTAAATCGTGATGACATACGTGATATTTTAGGGTTATTTCATTCTTCGTAGAACATTGCTGTCGACTTTTAAAAAGCACGATTTGCTGGGCTTTCAAAGCAGTTTCAAGTACGTTCAACTTTATTTATCTTGTTATTGTAGCAAGCTAGAGCTGAGGGTAGGGATGTGGGCTAGGACTAGAACTTTGTAAAGCAAATGTTACTTTCAGCTACAACAGAACATTTGGATAATGCTACGTCTTCGTGTCTGTTTTATAATCCAAAGTGTGGTGTTCAGTATAACCGAAGGTCTTTTACTGTGGCATTTGTTCATCAAAAGTAGATTGCAATAAGATATCGCTCTATTCAGCTGGTATTTGCTATTTCTAGCCATTTACTTCTTTACGCAGTCTATATGTGTATTCTTGCTTGACCGCAATATTCGATGGAAAAGGTTTTCACGTCGAGTCAATATACCAAAGAACATTTTTGATAAGGAGCTGATTGTGTCGAACACGTTGGATAACAACTTTCAAATTTTACATGCCATTTGGAATAAAAGCAATGACTTTTAATGTAAATAAATAGTTGTTTTAAACACACACAGCTAGAGCCCTGGCCCAGAGCCCTAGCGCAGAGCCCTAGCCCAGAGCCCTAGCCCAGAGCCCTAGCCCAGAGCCCTAGCCCAGAGCCCTAGCCCAGAGCCCTAGCCCAGAGCCCTAGCCCAGAGCCCTAGCCCAGAGCCCTAGCCCAGAGCCCTAGCCCAGAGCCCTAGCCCAGAGCCCTAGCCCAGAGCCCTAGCCCAGAGCCCTAGCCCAGAGCCCTAGCCCAGAGCCCTAGCCCAGAGCCCTAGCCCAGAGCCCTAGCCCAGAGCCCTAGCCCAGAGCCCTAGCCCAGAGCCCTAGCCCTGAGCCCTAGTCCAGAGCCCTAGCCCAGAGCCCTAGCCCACATCTCTTAGACCAGACCCCCAGCCCAGAGCCCTAGCCCAGAGCCCTAGCCCAGAGCCCTAGCCCAGAGCCCTAGCCCAGAGCCCTAGCCCTGAGCCCTAGTCCAGAGCCCTAGCCCAGAGCCCTAGCCCACATCTCTTAGACCAGACCCCCAGCCCAGAACCCTAGTTTTATTCCTAGTAGCATTGGCTTTAGTTTTAGCCCTTGCCCTTTCCGTAAGTCTAAACTCAGCCCTAGCTCCAACCCCAGAATCAGCATTGCTCTTACTCCTTCCTTTACTCTCCTTACCTCTTCTCCTTCTCTTCCCCCTACAGTATTTTACGATTGTACAGGCTTTTAAACATCAGTAAAATTTAGTAAAGTTTTATTGCAATTCGATTTCGTTGAGATCATGATAATATTATAAATTTACAATTGAATTTGTAAAGACTTGATATGTCGTTAGTTGAATACAACGTATATTTTTTATATGTATAGGTTAAAGGCGTATGAAAGACAAAATAGCATTCTATAATTAACTTTACAGCCGTTTTGCACCATATAGTTATACAAAAAAAAGTTTTGTCGTTTTTTGTCATTGAAGGTAATGCAAATTGACGACAAGACTTTTTTCCAAACATAATGATGATAAAGACAGTAAAGTAGTTTTTTACGGTTAGCAAAGTAACGTTAAAATGCACATACATCTAAAAATGTACTTAAAAGTACCCTCTATAAACAGCATCCACCCGTTTCATACTATCCATGTCATCTTTTTCACTCTCATAACTACAAGTCGATTGAGTTTCCGGTCGCTTAAAATTATTATTGCGGTGGAATTTCGGGTCCTCCAAGCCCAAACTAGGTACTGAAACATACGAACATTGATGACGTCTCATGTCATCTTCCATCCGATCCAATGGATGTTTATATTTGTCGAAAAAGATGGTCTGAGACGGTCGAAACACAATGGTCGCCATGATGGAGATGAACAACATTTCGATTGTGAGGAGGAAGGAGGTGTAAACTAAAAAAATTAATACAAAAGTTAAAATTTAAGTTTGCTTTTGGAGTTTTATCGCAGCTTGAGGCTTTTTTGAATTCCAATAATTATTGTGACATTTCGTCTTTCTTCCAATAACTTTTGATATAACAAAAAATTATTCAAAAGAAGTTGTAAAATACGCATGCGTCTCTTATGAATTATTAAATATAATACAGTACTTACATTGCCCAACAGCAGTATCAGGTAGTATATTCGAGTTGGTGATGATACCCACAGCGGCCAAGAAATCAAAGAAAAATTTTTGAACAGAATACGCCAATTGGCTGAGATCCACCATTCTAAACATCAATTGGAATCGGTAGGCTTTTAGAAGTTTCTGAAATGGATATTGGGTTAATACAGATTTTCGTGGTGGGACTCACAAGGAAAGGTCCCCACCGCGCATTCACTGGTGAAAAACTGGTACATACAAGTTGTAGAGCATTGTCAAATTAGTCAAAAACCGAAAAAAAATTTACCCCTTGTGGGGGTTTTTTAAAAGGTTTTCTTACGTCAAAGTTTAAAAATATTAATTGCGCTCGCGCTAGACTCGAAAAAGAAGAGGTGAGTGCCGTGCTGCAATAGCGCAGTGGTTGCGCTCTCGTTTAACGCTCAAAGCCCGTCGGTTCGGGTCCCGCCGGAGATGATCTCTTTTGTGCCTGGATTAACATTATTAAAAATAAGAAAATTATTTTTTTTGTCAAATTTTGTTTTTTTTTGCGATCTGTTTGTTCTATAATTATTTAAATAGTACTTTTATATTGTTTTTGTTTGTAATAATGGAGAAGTTTTATTCTGAAGTGATATCAATGCTGAGAATAAGCTTTGGTGATGCGGAGGCCTTCATTCCGACTCGAAAACACAAGAAAGTAAGTTTTTACAGTTATGTTTTGTTACTTTTTAGGTCTTTGGTGAAATTACAAGATGTTTAATGGAAATGGCCAACTTGGATGACGATTTTGATTGCTTTTGTAGCGAAACATTGGGATTTGGCGGAGAATTCGAAGAGCCCGGTGGCTATAATAACATCGAGGATGGTGAATATGTAAAATTTGACAAAAAAAAAATAATTATTTAATTTTTACAAATGTTAGTCTGGGCGCAAAAGGGGTTTGCCCCCGACGGGACCTGAACCAACAGGCTCGGAGCGTAAGCGAGCGCAACCACTGCGCTATTGCAGCACGGCACTCACCTCTTCTTTTTCGAGTCTAGCGCGAGCGCAATTAATATTTTTAAACTTTGACGTAAGAAAACCTTTTAAAAAACCCCCACAAGGGGTAAATTTTTTTTCGGTTTTCGGCTAATTTGACCATGCTCTACAACTTGTATGTACCAGTTTTTCACCAGTCCAATGCGCGGTGGGGACCTTTCCTTGTCAGTGAGATCATAGAAATACTATTAAAATGACATTTCATATAGAGAGAATGCTAAAAAATGCTTAAAAAGTCTTATTTTAACATTTTTAAACTAAATTTGTTACAATAGCTCAAATTTACCAATTTTCAGGTTTTCGTGGTGGGACCCAAAATTAAAATTTCTTTTGTATTTTTTTGTAAATATAAACAAAAATATAAAAAAAGAATAAATATCAGTAAAATAAGTATTTCGAAACAGCTTTTATAAAAAAGACAAACTTACACTGCCAGCAGGAATAATCATGTAGCTACCGTAAGACCCAACGAACAGCGAGCACATTCCAATTAAATTTGAAATTTGGAAGAACAAATGTGTTCTATCATTGATCTCGAAGAATACCATAATGTTCATTATCTCTAGAAAGATACGAACCAACGGCGATTGGAACACCAAACTTTCAATTTTTCGAAAATTTTTGTCCGTTGGGTCGATTTTTGGAAAGCAAAATAGACAACAACCAAGTGGAAATACTCGGACACTGATCTTGAGATTACGTTCTAGAAGCTTTTCACACATTGCTTGGCGACTGCCATGTAGGGTGGTCATCAGTGTTACCATGACGAATATGCATAACATGAAATAACTAAAAAAATTTATTATGAAAGGAACTTACAGTAGAACTACCCTACCCACCCTACTATGACACCACTACTACTCTATCGTCCCCTCTTCAAAACTACAATAAGATATTATACTTACACCAATGCCACAGCATATAAAAACACTGCCGACCGGGGTAGTACCATTCCAATAGAACCACATAACGACACTACTGGACACATGAATATTATCCAATATAAATCCGTTTGGATTTGCTCGTTACTAATATATTTTAAAACGTAAAACAAATGCACAACGCCGAGTAACATAGAGATTATGGAGAAACATATACCCATTGATATCATCATCATGTAACTTTTTGGCATTTCTAAAAAAGTAATTTTTAAAAAAACCCCAAGACAATCGTATTTTACTATATTAATCTATGTTACACTATATATTTGTTCTTCAAGACCCAAAATTCTAAATTTCAAGTTTTTGTGGTGAAACCCGAAATCTAGTATTATTAATCTAAAAACTTTGTTAAATCGTCAACATAACTTAAAAATAGTTTTTTATACTATTTCTAGTCACAATACATCAAGATTTTTATAAATTTGCGTACTGTCAAGCTTTCGTGCTGGGACCCAAAATCTACCATTTTTTAATCAAATAATTTAACAAAGCAAACTAAAACGTCAGAATACCTTTATAAAATTATGTAAACTAAATTTTTGTCAAAACAAAAATAATTTCAAGCATTTTTAGGTATTCGTTGTGGGACCCTCAACAATCACGTTTTTTAGTCAAACCGAGTTTAAAATAGAAAAAATAATATTAAAATAGCTAGTTATACTGTTTAAAGTCACAGTACTACAAAATTTCAACAAATTTACACATTCGCATGTTTTCGTGGTGATACCCAAAATATTCGTTTTAAATATTAATTTTGATTACAAACAAAAAACAAACTCTTTAAAAAATTTTTAAACGTTACTAATTTTTTTCAATTTTAATTTTAAAAGTTACAGTAAACCCACCTGCAAACCACTCAACTGCCGTCGGTACAATGATCGAATGATTTACCGGTGTGCCAATTATGCCGCGTAAAAAGTCCATTTTGACTTTAAATGATTAAAAAAAGCAGATTAAATATATTATTGAACTTCTATATAGAATTGTTTTTGTTTGATAACAATGTTCACCCTGAAAGAGAATGGTTGTTCATTTCAAAATTATTTAAAAACAATAGGCTAGGACGTCAGAAATAAGTCACGCATAGGGTTAACATAACAGAATACATATTAAAAATATTGAAAAATGAGTCATGCTGACATAAAATGAGCCATACCGCCAATAAAAATTTTGCTGTTTTTGGCTTTGTAAAGAAAGTTCTTGCTACTTTTTGTTTTGTAAAGAAAGTTCTTGCTACTTTTTGTTTTGTAAAGAAAGTTCTTGCCATTTTTTGTTTTGTAAAAAAAATTTATGCCATTAAACTACTAACCCCCCCCCCCCTCAAACACTCTAACCTCAACAATAAATAAAAATTAGCCCAGCAAAGAAGCCCCTCAGTACAGTTCCTACCTCTTTCTCAACCTAAAAAACTTTTTCATCAGCCAGAACCCAACCCTACCCTAAATTAAGATGCAAACTGACCCCAATTGTCCCTCCAAGTACTCTAAATTATCATATTATCATGCTTGTTAAAACATGATAAAACTAAAAAAAAATAAAGTATTATCTAGCTTTTTGATTAAAAAACCGTTCTTCAATTAATACATTTTTATCGAAAACTGCCATTTACAAGATCATTAAAGTTCATTCAACAAAAAAAACCAAAAAAAAGTTTGAAACAAATGGCGCGTTTTTGATGATTTTTATTTTTAGGCCGCTTAGCAGTCAATCTACTACTGATAAGGTAGCAAATGTTGAAAAATTTTAGCTAGGACAAGAATTTGAGTTTAAAATTAGATTTTTTTGGTTTATTGTCTTATGACAAATATTAGGTTGTTCAATTAATTCTGCGCCCTCTCTCAAAGCGAATTTGTGGGGTAAGAGGGCGCAGAATTATGTGAACAACCTAATAAAAAAATGGTTCCGTACAAGACTTGTAATGAAGCAGGGACTGGAACTACCATCGGACTAGGCCGGAGCTCAGAAAAATTTAAATTGGGCCGGAATTGAAAATCAAAGCCCGACCCGTGTGTCTATCCTCCCCATAGAGCGGGCCTTGGTTTAGCCCAATGGCGCTTGAGCACAAATGAGCCAACTTGACCCCTTCTTCAAAATAGATTCGGCCCACATCAAGTCGACCCGCATAGGCCGAGTAAGCCTTCTTTACATTGTTATTACTTATTTTTGCTATGCTCTAGGTCTGTCATGCCTTATGTTTAAAATGCACTTCTCCGGCCATTTCCTTTCTGCCAAAGCTTGCTGTGACTCATCATAAAGTGTAGCATGACAGAAGTACCCTACGTCTACTATGCCTTATGTCATACAAAAATGTTTTATAAAAACAGAAAAAGCCTGCCTCGCAGAAAAACGGAGTAAAATCCCAGCACTTGCAGTCATTTGTTGGGTCGTTTTACATCGAGGCAAATATTATGAAAATATATAATATTACATAAGAAAAAGTTGCGTAATACGATTTCTTGCAATTTCTCTAAGGCTATCTTATTATATCTGTATATTAGGCAATATGTCACTATATTAGGCAATAACAACAGGCAAGTTATTGAAAAGAAAACATTTAGTGTTGTGCCTGGACGGATTTGCAAAAAATTTGAACCGGATCGTACCTAAAAAATAGCCGGACCGGACCTGAAAAAGTAGCTGCCGGATGGTCCAGGCGAAACACTGGGCTAGAGTTAAAATAGCGTAAGGCTAAGCAAATACTTTTTCAAAATAAAACAAATCATATCAAAATGTAAATCAAACAGGACTTCCTCAGACACCAATGTAAACATGTTTGCTTATTCATATCGAATTTCAAAATTATAAATACAGAATTAAAAATTAAGTTCACTGCCACTGGCTGGCCAGTTACAGCGTTTTGACCTACCCTACCCTACCCTACCCTACCCTACCCTACCCTACCCTTCCCTACCCTACCCTACCCTACCCTTCCCAACCCAGCCCTACCTTACCCTACCCTACCCTACCCTACCCTACCCTACCCTACCCTACCCTACCCTACCCTACCCTACCCTACCTTACCCTACCCTACCCTACCCTACCCTACCCTACCCCACCCTACCCTACCCTACCCAAGAATACTTTCTGCCCACTTTTCCAAGAAAAACGACTATTGTAATACGGGTACCGCTTATTATTGTAATAAAATTTAAAATCACCCAAATTTGATGGTTTAGATAAAAAATTATATTAAAATATTAATTTGAACGCTTATAAAGAGGTGAGGCAATAACTCTGTTTTGTAGTCAATTTGATAAGTTTTATGAGTTTTCATTTTGCGTCATCATTATTCAATGCTAGTTAAACATACAAAATTAATTTCTTTACAGTTAGTAGATCAAAGCTGAAGTTGAGGCTAAAATAAGAATAATGCTCAAAAATGTAAGGGCAGGGTAAAACTAATGTTTAAAAAAATCAGTGCAGAGTAAGGCAGGAAAAGGCTACAAAAAAAGTGAGAGCAGGATAAGGCTTTGGCTAGGAGAAAAGTAAGGGCAGGGTAAGAGTAAATATTGGGCAAAAGTAAGTGCAGAGTACGGCTATGGCTAGGAAAACCTACGGGCATGGTAAAGCTAAATATAGGACAAAATTAAAGGCAGAGTAAGGCGAAAGATAGGGCAAAAGTAAAGGCAGGATAAAGCTAGAGCTAAGACAAAAAGTTCTCTTCTCTCTCCCCTTTCCCTCTCCAAGCGATCTGACAGTGGCTTAGAGTAAGCCCAAGGTACCGCTGTAAGAGAGCTCTAAAACCTTTTTGTTACAATGAAACCCTATTTTATCTATTTACTTGTTTGTTTGTCAACCCCCGTGCTTGCTAAAATAAACTTTAATTAATCTTCATAGCAAATAATAAAAAAAACGAAAAAAAAATTTTACTCCTTCCCACTTCTCCTTTATTAACCACCCCTACCACAGTATTATTTTGTCCCTGCAAACTAAAGCTAATTTATCCTATCACATCGTTATCGTGTCCAGGGCCGGGCGCTTAGGGGTGAGAAACGGGCCGGCCTTGTGCTAAAATTGAAACGGGCCGGGCTTGAAAATTGGGCCCGGGCCCAAAAAAAAATTTTTTTAATTTTTAAAAATGTTTTATTTTAATCCCCGTTGATGTTTTTTGATTTTATTGGGTACCATGATACATAAAATGATCTAAAAGAACAATGCAAAGCCAAATTTCCGTTTATTTTTTAAGTTTTAAAATTTTTTAAAACGGGCCGGGCCTAAACGTTGGGCCCCGGGCCTGGGCCGGGCCTTAAAAGTGGGCCCGGCCTTTTTTCTCACCCCCTACGCGCGCTGAGGGGAAGGGAGGAAGGCGGGAAAGCCCCTCCCCCCCCCCAAAAAAATAATTGGACATGGTCCCTGTGGACTTTTAGAAAAAATTTTTCGCAAAAAGGTAGCTAGCTACCTGTGCCAATTTTTTCGACCTTCACACCCAGACCAAAAGTCCAAGCCCGCCCCTGATTGTATCCCAACTCCGGCTCTTCTCTAGCGTTACTTCAGCTTTATTCTAAAGCCGCCCTGTTGACCAGTTATAGTAATCCACTAGCCCTATGTAATTACCTTTTGTAAGAATTGGAGTCCAACTATGTTTGTCATGAGAAAAACTCCTAAACAGTTAAAACTTCTCAAGATGTGAATAAAAACATTTTTTTTCCAATATGTTCCCAGCGATATTTCCAAACTATTCTTTTTAAAAACAAACAATAATTTGGACAAAAAATCAGAAAAAGGTTTACATAACAAACGACCATCCAGATGATCGTTATCCGTTCTTTCAAGAGGTTTTTTCTCGAGTTTACGCTCGAGAATGCTTGTTTTTAAACACCACAAAAAAATGATTTGAATAACTACCCTACCCTACCCATTAAAAACTACAAATTTTTTAAATAAAATTTTTTTGGCAAAAAAAAATTTTCGACTGGTCGATAAAATTCTCAAATTTTTTTGAATTTTTATTTACCCTACCCTGCGCTACCGTACGCTAGTTGTTAAAAATAAACTTATTAAACAATATCGATCGGTCGACAAAAAAATTAAAAAAATTTTCCAAAAGATTCTTTAAAATACCCTACACACCCTACCCTTCCCTACTTTATACTATCCGATCCTGCCCTACCCTACTCATTCCTATTCTAAGATTTTTATTCTAGCAAGATAATTTGCATTTCGTTCACATATTATTGATTTTTTAGTTTAACCCTACACTACCTAAAAACATCTACCCTACCCTACCCTACCCTACTCTACTCTACTCTACCCTACCCTACCCTACCCTACCCTACCCTACCCTACCCCACCCTACCCTACCCTACCCTACCCTACGCTACCCTACCCTACCCTACCCTACCCTACCCTACCCTACCCTACCCTACCCTACCCTACCCTATCCTACCCTACCCTACCCTACCGTACACACCCTACCCTACCCTACTCTACCCTACCTTACCCAACCCTCTCTACCCTACCCTTACCCTACCATAGAATAACAAAAATAGAACCCTAACTCCCTTTCTATTATCATCCTTACAATTAAACGAAACCTGTAATCTTATCATTCCTCACTACAAAAAACTCGTCGTTTTCCGGCGCCGCCGGTTTTTTGACAAAATGATAAAAAGATCATCGTGAAACGTTGGTTTCTCTTGCTGTTCCTTCCGAAATATAACCAAAACATAGTGTGTCATCCTTCCAAAATTCAATGGCAAGTTCAGACATAGACGTAAATTAAATATCATCAATACACAGGCACAGTAGCCCAGAGCTCTAGCCCTAGCCCAGAGCCCCAGCCCAGAGCCCCAGCCCAGAGCCTTAGCCCAGAGTCTTAGCCCAGAGCGCTAGCCCAGAGTCTTAGCCCAGAGCCCTCGTCTTACAATGTGCCCTCTAGTCTAGCCGATACCCTATCATTTCAAGAACACACTGGCTCTGGCACT